TAGACAAGAGTCGGACGCATGCACTGAGGCTCTGGGAGAATGTACAGCAGGTATGACAGCACTGAGCAGGGTGCCTTATGGTGATGGAGGCGTGGAGGCAAACAGCCTCAAGTGTCCTGGGCGTCTACTGAAGCGAGACAGGTGAACGCAGGGACGCACATTTTAAACCACAAAGTACACCGCACCTCTGGAGCCGAGAGAAAGTCACAGGCCTACAATTCCTCCAAAGTCCACCTCGACCGCACTCAACATCATCAACCTCCGGTAAAATGTCGAAGCTCATTCCAATCATCACACCCCTGCGAGAGATCAAAGGCCATGACAAAAGCGTATGGGCAGTCGCAGTGTTCCCCGATAAACGACGGATGGTTACGGGCTCGAAGGACAAGACGCTTCGTCTGTGGGACTTGAATACAGGTCTTGTGTTGAAAAAGATGCAGGGGCATAGTAGCAAGGTGCGGGCGTTGGCGGTATCAGGAAACGGGCAATTGATAGCAAGCGGTGATGAGAACGGAAAGGTCATCATCTGGCACGGAGAAACTGGTGAATTGCTCACACAACTCACCAAAGCCCACTCCTTTGGGGTCTACTCGCTAGATTTTTCTCCTGATGGAATAGTGCTGGCCACTGGTTCACATGACCAAACGACGAAACTGTGGAATACCAAAACCTGGCAGCGACAAGGAGATCCAATAAAGTGTCATAGTTATGTCTACTGCGTACGGTATTCGCCCTCGGGCGAACTTCTTGCCATCGCAACAATCACCAATATCCAAATTTATAATCCAAGCACGAGGGAGTGCGGCACCTTCAGAGCTTACACATCCAACTACTCACTCGCGTGGACGCCGGATGGCACACGCCTTCTCACAGGCGGCTCTAAGTCTGATCCTACCATACGTGAATGGGATACAACAACCAGGAAGCAGGTTGATGATTCCTGGACGGGTCACTCCGACAACATCCATTCAATTGCCGTTAATCCTGCTGGTACACTCGTCGCATCAGCATCTTGTGACAACAATGTCCGTCTCTGGCAGCTCTCAGAGCGACGAACCGTTGCCGTCTTCAAGCACTCACACGCGACGTTATGCGTCACTTTCTCCGTGGACGGCAAACACATCCTCAGCGGAGGTGACGATAAGATGATATCAGAGTGGGAAATGCCCAACGACATCAATTCAGAGGCACGTTTCTGTCTTTGACTCATGATATATCACAATTCGAACATGTTTCGTGCAGATCACGACAGCCGGCATTGCATGCATAGACGGAGACTTGCCTGCCTCTGAGGGACCACTCACGCAAAACATCAACACCGATGCGAACAACAATACTTTCTATGTTCATCTCTCAAAGGTATGTTTCCGTCCTTGACTCGTGATATACCACAATTCGAGCATGCTTCATGCAGATTCTCGCCATCACAACAGCCCGCGATGCATGCATAGCTGGAGACTTGTCTGCCGCCGAGGAACTACTCACGCAAGAGATCAATGCAGATGCCAACAACTATACTTCCTACGGCCATCGTTCGTTCGTGATGGCGCGAAAACACAACTGGGACCGCGCCCTTCAGGATGCAATCAAGGTGAGTCACATGACTGATGGCCCCCTTACAAAAAGCTAACTCGATGGTGACATAGTCCATCAGTATTCAGCCCTCATTGATAGGCTATATCTCCGAGGGAATAGCCCTCTGCGGACAAAGCCGCATCCGAGACGCGAGGGTAGCATTTGATGTTGCATCCATGTACACTAACCAAGATTCAGAAACCATTCATTTTCTGCTCTTAATCAAGGTGTGTTACAGTCGCATCGCATACTCTCTGTCTCATTGCATATTTCAGGCCATTGCGCTGTTCAATGCAGATCAACATGACGAGGCAAACCTGCTCCTCAAAGAACTCGCTGCCGGTTGTCCGAATGCAGATACTCGCGCATGTCATACTGTGGAAGTAAGTATCGTCTACGCTTGGTCACACTAATCTTCACAACTCACACATCAGGCATATTTATATGTTCAACTCGGAATCAACGACTTGGATGGGGCACGCCACGACGAAGCCGCCGACCATTTCACTGCCGCTCTCAACTGCAGCTTTTTATCATCGAAATCAGACATCCATGAAATATACAAGGATCTAGTGGTGGTACGCTAATACACATCTGAAATGCTTTCCATAACTCAGTCCCTTGTCCAGCTCTTCGGCTGGGATCTCGAATCGTTGTGGCTCACTGCACACCAGAAACGGTGTGATGCACTCCTTCGCGCAGGTAAACTTCAGGATGCCGTGGAAGCATACAGATACATGATGATTTCGAACGACGAAAACACTGGGGCCGACTGCCTTGACTGGTCCAATGGCAAGTTTGGAGTTCGTAATGTCGCACAGGCTACAATCCTCATCCTCATTTTTCTCAGCTTTCAAGGAAGAATGCAGCGCACTCTGTGTTGTCAATGGAGATGCCGCCCTCGCTGCGAGCGATTATGACAGGGCTATTGACATCTACTCGGCGGCGATCGACCTGAGTTCTCCATCCGATGCCATCTTTGCAAACCGTAGTAGGGCAAAGTTAGGTAAAATGCTATGGGAGGATGCGCTCCTCGACGCGCAAAAGGTGCGATGGCGTCCAGTTTCGTGGCCCATGTTGACATCGGCGATGCATAGGTCACCGAACTCAATCCTTCGTCTCACGTTGGATACCAGTTGATGCACGCAGCGCTTGGTGGTGCGCAATGTTACGACGAAGCCATTGAGGCTTTCACCATCATGTTGTCCAAGTTGGACGATGCTCCCGAAGCGCAGATACGAGGTGAGCCATGGAACACTCCTGCATCGTCTCGAAATGCCTATCTCATTCTGCAGATCTGCGTCAGCAGTATATCTGTCCATCCGAAGCAGAGGACGCTATTCAAAGAGCTGTTTGGATTGAACTCGAATATGCCCCGCTTCGTCTGCTCAACACCTCCACGGGTCTTTTGTGCGATAGATCAGCACAAATAAATACCTTCAAAACGAGTGCAAAGTACAAGGAGCTTTTGTCACTCACAACGAAGCATTCAGATCTTCAAATGGAGCACATCAGAAACGTACTGGCGACATACTTCCGCTGCGTCCTGCTATCACACAGGTGGGAAGAGACGGAGGCGCTGCTGTACGACATCCAAGACAAAGTCGTGTACGAGTTGGATGGACTTGCTGGCATCGCGAAATTGCAGTCTTTCTGCAAAATCGCTCGCAATGCTGGGTATTCCTGGGCATGGATGGATACATGCTGTATCGACAAGAAGAGCAATACCGAGCTTCAAGAATCAGTCAATTCCATGTTCGTCTGGTACCGCCACTCAGCGCTTACCATCGTCTACCTAGGCGATGTCCCTCCTTCATCCCAGCCCGGTGCACTAGCACGGAGTGTTTGGAACAAGCGAGGATGGACTTTTCAAGAATTTGTCGCTCCGAAAGTTGTCATCTTTTATCAAAAGGATTGGTCATTATATCTCGACGATCGCTCGTCCAACCACAAAGAGTCCCCTGCAATCATGAAGGAGTTGGAGGATGCGACGGGCATAGATGCACGAGCCCTGATCTCCTTCTGTCCAGGGATGAGCGACGCACGACAGAGACTTCAATGGGCATCGTCGCGTGTCACTACATTGCAAGAAGACATCGCGTACTCACTATTTGGTGTCTTCGATGTCCACTTACCTGTAATCTACGGCGAGAAGAAGCAGAACGCGCTTGGGCGGCTTCTGCAGGAGATCGTGGCTCGCTCGGGTGACATCACTGTCCTGGACTGGATCGGACAACCGTCCGAGTTCAATAGCTGTCTTCCAGCCCATATCACCTCTTATACCACTCCTTCATGCGCCCCTCCATCTTTGTCCGAAGATGAGATTCAGACAACTATCTCTTCACTGCAAAAAAATCTCGTGGTTGTGGATTTGGCTTCGAAACTTTACGACCGGCTTGATAACACGAGCGCTGCTCGTTTCGCGAACTGCAGACTTGCATCTGCCTTGCATCGCATTCCGTGTCACAGACGTCAGTTTGAGCTATGGTTCATCCCAGGAGGCTCGATATGAAGTCAAGGCAGACGGACTTCATGACCTACTGATCACAACCAAAGAGCTGATTGTTCAGTTCTCGCGGACAAGGCCCACTCAACAAACCTTCGTGCTTGTCCGTCCCTGGGACCCGTCTCTCCTCGAACTACCAGATTCTGCAGATCTGCTAAACGATACGGAGAGCGAGGTGGGTTATTGGATGCCGCCTTCTTCTCCGTCAGACAACTCACTTAGCCGTTCTCTCTTAAAGCAGGATGTGGAATCTTAGAATCGCGAGCATTGCGGCTACTTGTTCGCCTTGGGCAGCCTTTTGGCGCATTTTTGCTAGCGCGGCAGCGCCGCGGAGAATACAAGAGGGTCGTGTCAGATCGTGATATCATTGCACAGGTCAAAGATATGGCTTCTGTTGGAGACCTGATGGACATCAGGACGATAGAAATATTGTAGCTGTATGTTTTCCCCGAAGATTAGGGATCTGAGCAGTTTTCATTGGTATTTCGTATATGTGATACTACATGCATGTGTATTAGACTATTTTCCTTTCAAAGCAGACCTATCTGTACCACTTCTCCGTCCCCTTCATGCTCATCACATCTGTGCTCAGGTTCAATTTATGTTGTAAGTCTCACTTCCCTATGTACCACCCTGAAATTCTGTGCCGTGCGGCAAATTGCCGCAATTTACCGAGCCCACCAGCTACGTCCATTGCGTAAGCATTAATATTCAAACGTTATTTTCTGCTGCTTGGCTAGGAGAGTCACGAAAACTGTGCTGTGATCTCATCTAATTGAAAACCTAGTTTGACTAGGTCTCACTCAGTCTGGCTATCTGGTCATGTCGTCGTAACCTGTATATACTATCCCGTATCACTCGTTCTCTTCATTACTCTTCGGTACGATTCCTTTCACGATCTTCATCACTGTCAGTGCCCATGTCCTGGAACGCGTCAGTCCTCAGTTCCGTATCCTCGGATACAGAGCCTACTGTTGTCATCACCTTTGACTCTGCGAAGTACATCTTTAATGTCGGTGAGAATACTACCCGCGCGTTTCTCCAGAGCAGGAGGAACTGGAAGAAGACTAGAGGCCTATTCTTGACTTCTGTAGGCACTCAGCGAGCGAGCGGCCTTCCAGGTGAGTGTGATCCTGATCATGTACAAGCGTATCAAACGCCGATCGTCTCTTCGACAGGTTTATTGATGACTTTTGCGGACTCGGGTCTTACTAGCCTCAATATTGCCGGGCCAGCCGGGCTGTTGCACTTCATGGCAGTTATGCGTAAATACACATTTAGGTCCTTATGTTCTGATCTTCAAGCTTCAATGGTTCTTCTTAACACTATCAGCATAGGGAAAACCTCTCCGTGAACCCGATCGAAATACCTACTTCCCGCCTCCTGGATGAATCACCTGACGATATACCCATCTACAAGGACGATAATATTTCTGTGTTCGCATTACCTGTTTCTGTCGAGGATCAATCACTGGAGGCCTCGGGATCGGTCACACCGCTGCACTCTGAAACCAGTGTCGTCAACAAGAAATCGGGAAAGAGGAAGCGTTCACCTTCTCCTTCTGCACCGCCGCTACAGGAAGTCATATCTCACCCTGACTTCGATCCCACCACGCTCGTCGGCGACATGGCACAGGAATGGCTTCGACACATCGTGCGCACAATGTTTCCTGGGTCTGCCGCCAAACCCGCTATTTCGTCCGCGAAGGTCGAACATGTGTCCCAACCGTCAGGCTTCAACCGTCCCTTACCTTCATTACCCCCAATGCAATCTACGTGCAACACTCGCATATGCGGTGGTTGGTCCGCGGGTTCGGGGAAAGTTTGATGTCAAGCGCGCGGAGGCACTTGGTCTGAAGGCTGGGCCGTTACGTGCACGGGTTGCAAGGGGAGAGACGGTACTTGTAGTGGGCAAAGATGGAGTGGAGAGAAGTGTGGGACCGAGTGATGTCGTAGGTGCTAGTGAAGATCCTGGGGTGCGTTTCCTTTTCACGCTATGTTTCAACCAGTCGTTCTCAATGTGGGAGTCAATGAGCTGATCGAATTACAGGTCGTGTTGATACTGGATGCGCCCAGCACTGCGCATATAACTCCTCTCGTCAAGGGGTTTGAGAGTGGCGCATTCTCAAAATACTGGGGCAAGGGCCGGATAAGAAAGATCATGCGCTGAGGGTTGTATTTCATCTTTGTGGCAATGATGTATTTGAGGATGAGCGGTTATAAGGCGTTCATGAAAAGGTTCGAGGACAATGTACACGTGAGTGCCTCTTGTTCTGGCTGTGCATTGGGCTGTTCTGATGTGATAAAGAGCAGCATATCGTTGCATCTAGAGACTATGTGCCAGATCCGATCACATTTACTAGCGCGGCGTTCAACCAGCTAAGGCTCAACTACCTGGATAGCAACATTTTCCCCGTGCCCAAATACTCTCTAGAGGCTAAGAAAGCTCTCGACAGTAAGTTTGTCCAATTCCCGATCTGTCACTTATCTTTATAATTGTGGTAGCGACGGACCTCCCATCCCAATACTGATTGTATGCGTGCGCATACCATCATCGACATCCGTCCGCCACGACCACCACTACGAGACTCTGAGGCGGAGGCAAATGATCTTTTTCACCCCGCCGCAGTTGTGTGGCGAGCCCCCATCACTCTCTGACGCTGCGAGAACACAATTTTCCGAGGCACAAGCACACGTCGACGAGGCTACAGTACCCGATGTCATAGGTAAGGACGTCACGGTGGTTACGCTCGGAACAGGCAGTGCCATACCTAGCAAGTACCGAAATGGTTCGTACATCTCCATTTCACCTCAGAAACCCAACTGAATTACTTGAACAGTTTCTGGTACACTCGTATGTATCCCAGGAGCAGGGTATATTCTCTTGGATGCAGGAGAGGGTACATGGGGGCAACTCTCCAGGAACTATGGAACTGCTGTGTGGGACGTTTTGAGGGGCCTAAAGTGCATATTCATAAGCCACATTCACGGCGACCACCACATTGGTCTCGCAAAGATTTTGGCGATGAGACAGCATGTACGTATACCTACTCAAACCCTGATGATATCCTGGTGCTAAGTTTTGATATGTGGAAAAGCTCGATCCGCCCCCGGAGAGAACCACTCTACCTCATCAGCAATCGCATGATATTCCTCTATCTTCGGGATTATAACGCGCTTGAGGAGCTTGGGTTCTCGGAAGATGCTCGGGCCCGTGTGATACCTATCCTGAGTGATGAGATTCATTGGCGAAACAAGGGACGGGGCGGGTGGAATTATGGTGACCAAGATCAGAAGGGGTGGGTGTCAGTTTGAGCTTCCTGACTTTCTCATATATTGACGCGTTTTCTTCTTTTCTTAATGTAAAGATCGAGGCTTGCGGCAGGAGCGTTGTGCAAAACGCTTGGATTGCAGAAAATAAATACCGTCGATGTGGAGCATCGCGCGAGGTGCCATGGGTTAATCGTCAAGCATTTGGATGGGTGGTCTGTCGTGTACGGCATCGCTTTTTCTTCACCTGTTGTGTTACTTACAGCGCTTCCTCAGGTTCTCGGGTGATACAGTCCCAACCCAAAAGCTCGTGCAGGCAGGCGCTGGAGCCACTCTGCTGATCCATGAAGCCACCATGGCCAATGATCAAGTTGAGATGGCGCGCGCCAAGATGCACAGCACCTTTGGACAGGCAATCGATATAGGCAAGAGGTGCGTTTCCCTGCAATATGATCACAGACCTTTGTACAACTTGTGAACAGCATGAACGCACAAAACATCCTCCTTACACACTTCTCGGCTCGCTACCCCAAGATGCCACCTTCTGTATCTGAGCGTCAGGCTGGCGACCCTGTTGTCGCATTTGCATTCGACCACGCTAACATCAAGATAGGGGACATGTGGAAGATGGGCGCGTACGCACGCGCGATCGAGCAGAGTTTTATTGATATTGCTGATATTGAGGGGGAGGAGCTGGAGGTGATTGACGCCGCACACGTGGATATCAGTTGATGCCATACGGTTGGAAGCCTGATAATTCACTTTCCTAATCTGGGTTTTCAGGGACTTGAGTATTTCATGCAGGCAAAAAACAAAACCCTTCTTGGTATTCGTGGAGGGACTAATTTCAAAAGTATTTGTACCAGATATCAAGTAGATACTAGGCCAGCCAGGTGCATTTCTGTGCTATCTCCTGTAAATATGCGGGTACTTGCAAATGCGATCGGTCCTGCCTCGACGTTGTGCTCGACGACGACGTGCATGCTAGCAGCGCCGCGGGAATCTATGTAAGAACACGTGAGAATCTCGGAACAACTAGGTTCTTCGAGGTTCTTCGACGTTACTCTTGGTCTCGTGGAACTATGCTCTACCACTGGCAATTATAAAGTTCCTGCTAGATCATAGCATGTACGGCCCGGCGATTATAGTATTCAAACGTTCACCCTCAAATCATGATGATCCTGATAACAAGCTTGGACCCTGAACCCGCGCCGCGGCCCACAATAAAATCGCTTCCTCAATGAATCATCGCATCGTCTCCCATTCTTCTGCAATCATCATTTCATGTCTCCTGATCCTACGTCTCAGCAGCTAGACGAGGAAACTCCTTTGCTTCGATCAGAGGGAAATGCGCTGGCGAAGAAACCACAGACACCTCTACCATGGCGCCAATTCTCAATGGTCCTAGTGTTGCAGATAGCAGAGCCAATGACATCGCAAGTTATCTCACCTTTTGCGCCTCAGGTCAGCGTTTAGCGTTGAGGATTCAAATAGACAGTCATAATTTTATCATGCCATACATAGCTCATTCGTGACATTGGGATCACCCACGGAGATGAAGCGCTTGTTTCGTTTTATGTTGGGCTGTTGGTAAGTGGAAATGCAGAGAGCGTTTTCATTGTGATAATCTCGGCGTTATGGTCTAGCACTCGCTATTCTTTGCAACAGAAGCGCTCACCATTTTCCACTGGAGTCGTCTCTCTGACTATATCGGGCGCAAACCTGTGCTGCTAATTGGACTGTTCGGGCTCTCCCTCTCAATGTTCTGCTTCGGTTTGTCCAAGACATTCTGGACCTTGGTAATAAGGTCTGTCCCGTGTCTGCGCTGTTTTCTTCTGAGTCAGCGTTTATATCTTATTGTAATAGTCGTTGCTTGAATGGCGCACTCAATGGAAACATTGGCGTTATGAAGAGCATGGTGGCTGAAATGACAGATTCGACTAATATGGCCCGTGCATGGGCATTACTCCCTCTTGCATGGTCCAGCGGTGCCACGCTTGGGTGTGTTCCCCGAAGTTTTTGTTTTCTATATGTACTGACTCGGACACAATCATAGGCCACTCATTGGTGGAGGACTTGCGCGACCTGCGGATAGGTTCCCTAATATATTCGGAGGTTCTGAATTTCTGAAGAAATATCCATATTTCTTGCCGTGCGCGGTCCCTGCCACGGTGTCAGCGTTATCATGGATTGTCATTTTTCTTTACTTGAATGAGGTATGTTGTCCCATTGTGTGACAGAATGAATCTTCATATCAGTCGCAGACCTCAACTCCCCAAACAAACATTAGCCAACTGCTACCTTGGAAAAGGCGCGCGATTGTTCCTTCACCCGCGCTGGAAACTCCGCCAGTATCATCTTTGATCGGCGATAAGCCCGTCCCCATTCGAGCTCTTTTCGTTCGTCGTGTACTTATCGCAACCGGGAGCTACGCAAGTATTGCCCTTGTTGATGTCGCATTTCGCACTGTACAACCCGTGTTCTACGCTACTCCCATATCGCTGGGTGGTCTGGGACTCGATACTCCAGCCATTGGAACTATCCTTGCGGTCCAGGGAACTTCAAATGGCGTAATGCAGATATTAGCCTTTGCCAAGCTTCATGATATCATGGGTGCGAAAAAACTTTGGTTGTTCGCCATGACGTGCGCCCTGCCTATGATTGCTCTCTTCCCGGTCCTGAATACGCTAGCGAGATTAGTGGCGTTGTTCAGAGTATATGGTATTTGGTGGCCCTGCAGATAGCTCTTACGAGCTGTACGAATTTCGCATATGGTTTGTCGTCGTCATTCTTTCACTGATATGTCTGATGTGCTCATGGAAGGCGTCTCGTTTATATATATCGCTGCGGCTTCTCCTAACCGAGCGTCCGTGGGCGCGACAAACTGGGTTCGCAGCAAGTGATCGTCTCTAGTTCTGCGCGCTGTTGGACCAGCTGCAGCCAACTCCGCATTCTCAATTAGCATTGAGAGACAGTATCTTGGAGGAAATCTGGTATATTGTGTAATGGTAGGTATGGTGTGCGTGGCGACGGGCGTTGGCATCTTGTTACCTCGTACTATGTGGATTAACTAGCTTAGAGCGAAGCGAGTCTTATTTGTTGGGTCAATGCGACTAGCCCCACACTCGTTGTGCCTTTGGCATAGGAACAAATGGAGTGCTTCGCGCTCCTTTTTGGCTGCATCTAATCATGACAGATTTTGATCGAGTTTAATTTCCTTTTACTAAGTTAGTACACTTAGCCATGACTTCGGTCGGAGTCAGGCCAGAATGATCCGGTCCGTCTTCCATGTAGGTAAGTACGCAACCGCTTGTGACCACAATGACTTCAAGTTGCGCAACTTGATCGGCAAATCGAACCGTATAACCTATCGTCCAATGATAATCTATTCAACATTTTTCGAGCCTGCGGAAAGTCATCCAATTGGAGAAATATGAAATGGCAAAATAAACTAAGAATTGAGTGGGGTACTGAGGTATCAGAAATCGATTGGGAGCCCTGCAGAGTCTATGCTAACAGGTTACGAAATGCTAACAGGTTATACGTACACCACTCATGCAATAAGAACGCTACCTCAATGGATCATCACATCGTCTCCCATTCTTCTGCAACCATCATTTCATGTCTTCTGATCCTACGTCTCAGCAGCTGGACGAGGAAACTCCTTTGCTTCGATCAGAAGGAAATGCGCTGGCGAAGAAACCACAGACGCCTCTACCATGGCGTCAATTCTCAATGGTCCTGGTGTCGCAGATTGCAGAGCCAATGACATCGCAAGTTATCTCACCTTTTGCGCCTCAGGTTAGCGTTTAGCGTTGAAGATTCAAATAGAGAGTCATAACTTGATTACTATAGCTCATCCGTGACATTGGGATCACCCACGGAGATGAAGCCCTCGTTTCTTTTTATGTTGGGCTGTTGGTAAGTGGATAAATAGAGAGCGTTTTCATTGCGGCAATCTCAGCGTTGTGGTCTAGCACTCGCTGTTCTTTGTGACAGAAGCGCTCACCATGTTCCACTGGGGTCGTCTCTCTGACTATATCGGTCGCAAACCTGTCCTGCTAATTGGACTATTCGGAATCTCTCTCTCAATGCTCTGCTTCGGTTTGTCCAAGACATTCTGGACCTTGGTGATAAGGTCTGTCTTGTGTTTTGGCTATTTTCTTCTGAGGCACACTTCACATTTCATTGTAACAGTCGTTGCCTGGTTGGCGCACTCAATGGAAACATTGGTGTTATCAAGAGTGTAACGGCTGAAATGACGGATTCCACTAATATGGCCCGCGCATGGGCCTTCGTTCCTCTTGCCTGGTCCAGCGGTGCCACACTTGGGTGTGTTCCCCGAAGTTTTCGTTTTCTACATGTACTGACACAATCTTAGGCCACTCATTGGTGGAGGACTTGCGCGACCTGCGGATAGGTTCCCTAATATATTCGGAGGTTCTGAATTTCTGAAGGAATATCCATATTTCTTGCCGTGCGCGATACCTGCCGCGATATCAGCGTTGACATGGATTTTCATTTTTCTTTACTTGAAGGAGGTATGTTGTCCCATTGTCTGACAGGATGGATCTTCATATCAGTCGCAGACCTCAACTCCCCAAGTAAACATTAGCCAACTGCTACCTTGGAAAAAGCGCAACACTGTTCCTTTAGCCGCTCTAGAACCCCCACCAGTATCATCTTCGATCGGCGATAAGCCCGTCCCCATTCGAGCTCTTTTCGTTCGTCCGGTATTCGTCGCAACCGGAGGCTACGCAGGTATTGCCCTTGTTGATATGGCATTTCGCACTGTACAACCCGTGTTCTACGCTACTCCCATATCGCTGGGTGGTCTAGGGCTCGATACTCCAGCCATTGGAACTATCCTGGCGGTCCAGGGAACTGCAATTGGCGTAATGCAGCTATTAATCTTTGCCAAGCTTCATGATATCATGGGTGCAAAAAAACTTTGGCTGTTCGCCCTGACGTGCGCCCTGCCTATGATTGCTCTCTACCCGGCCTTGAATACGCTAGCGAGGTCTAGTGGCATTGTTCAGAGTGTATGGTATTTGGTGGCCCTGCAGATAGCTCTTACGAGTTGTACGCATTGCGCATATGGTTTGTCGTTGTCATTCTCTCACTGATATCTCTGATGTTTTGTGGAAGCCGTCTCGTTTATGTATATCGCTGCGGCTTCTCCTAACCGAGCGTCTGTGGGCGCGACAAACGGGTTTGCGCAAGTGGTCGTCTCTGTCATGCGCGCTATTGGACCGGCTGCAGCCAACTCCGCGTTCTCAATTAGTATTGAGAGACAGTATCTTGGAGGAAATCTGGTATATTGTGTAATGGTAGGTATGGTGTTCTTGGCGATGAGCGTGGGCATCCTGTTACCTCGCACCATGTGAACTGACTAGCTCAGAACGAAGAGAATTTCATTTGTCTGGTTGATGCGGTAGTCTCGAACCAAACGTTCGAGGACCTCCCCAACTCTACTTTCCAGACCGTCTGGCTCGCGATGACTTATTATTCCAGTCTTTGGCGGGAAAGTAGATGACGGCATCCTGTTCTGAACATCAATTGTCAACATGAGATTGGCTGCAGGACAGACGTAGTTGAACATGTTAGCCTCTACAGCGTCCTCTCAGGCAGTTTGTGTCCTGACGTACTAGGGAGTCCCACATTTTGCTTCAAAACACAGGGCTCGAGGTTGACCGGATGCTCGTATGAAAAATCTTATCTGAGTTACTGACCTAAGAGAGGGATTGTCTTCCCTAGACACCACATACGAATCCCGAGGCGGGTAGTTCGGTGTTCACCCCCACTCTGAACATTATTTTGGTCTAGATGGACGAGGAAGGTAGTCATATTAATAACCAGAACCTTGAGTTTAGCTTTGCCTGCAAACTCAAACAAGAATAAAGAAAGTGAAAACATGTTTATGGAGCGACGAATATGGTGTCAAAATCAGACAAAAGATTCGTCGCTCCAAACTTGAATAGCAATCACGGCCCGTCTTTCTATTTTTCCGGAGGAATATAATGCGTGACAGGGAGTGAATCAGCAAAGCAACTTGGCAAGAAGGACACATGATAGTCAGCACCGTACATGTATAGCAGCATCCTGTTACCGAATGACAGTGGCGGTACTGCAACGGTGGCAGCGTGAACTAAATTTGGTGGAAGGCCGGCACGCGTGCAGTCACGAGTTGTGCACCACGTGTGATAACTCTGGTGAAGGATGATAAGTCAGGATAAGTTTTATTGATTTGCGCACCTGACATGGGTGAGAGGTGAGGTTGTGATAGAGATATAAAGAGCTCCTGCAACCCCATTATCTTTAATATATTCACTCACCAATTAACGCTCCTCATATTGCAAAGTATATCTCCGATGGCAGAACCTAAGGTAGATCTTGCATCGCTCTCGCTCTTCCGCGCGACGAGTGCGCAAACTGAAGAGTCACGGCGCCGGACTTTTCCGCAATGGGGTGGTGCTCTGAGTCTGACAGACTTCCTTGCGCGAGATGCGACGATGGAATCGGGCGAGCACGCCAAGGATGGAAAATGGATCACTTGGTGAGCGCCTCACTTTGCTGGTAAAAGGGAGCTAACGGGAGAGAAGGGTACTGGCGCCACGGAACGACCCCACAACGCTTGATTTTATGAGTGCCTGCGAGACGTAAGCGACTCGAGTTCCCTCTACGAACGAGCAATTTCTGACGCGCGTCTATGGGAACAGATACAAGCGCACAGGCCTTGTCGCTTACCCCTCTTCCTCCCCTCTTGAGTCCAACTCAGTGCACGAAGCAACTTGTTACGGTGTCGCCTGCGTGTTCACTCCACCTTCGAAGCGCAGGCGGGGCTACGCAAACCATATGATGAGCCTCCTGCATTGGGTAAATGCATCGCGTACCAATCTTCCTAAATTCCCTGAGGCATGGGGTGCACCGCCGGAAGAGGTAGCGGATGCCGGTAATGGACTATTCTCGGTGTTGTATAGTGATGTTGGGGAAGAGTTTTACCGGTCGGCTGGCCCTGGAGGTAAAGGGGGTGGATGGGAGAAGCGGGGAGCAATCTCGACTATTTGGGAGGTGGGCACAGAGGAAGGTGATGATGAGGGATGGAAGTGGTTGACGGAAGAGCAGCTGAACGGGCTTTGGGAGCGTGATGCCGTTCGGATCAGGAGGGAGCTGGCGAGCATACCAACGAGCGACAGCTCATACAAGGTGGAGCGCCCGGCGGCATTCGCGACATACCTGCCAACGGATGGTGTCTGCGGGTTCCATATCACAAAGTCAACGTTCGCCTCCAATTTTTCCATGGCAAACGGATTCTGGGGCGTAGAGTCTACGAGCGACCCAGGTACATATGCGAGCTGGAGCGTTGACTTGAGACCACCTCCACCAACGCTAATCGTCACGCGACTCTGTGCTAGTGAAGAGTTGTTCCCTGGGCTGATTGCGAAGATCAAACAGGCGGCTAGACGAAGCGGAATTGGGAAAGTAGAGGTGTGGAATTTGAGAGTAGGATTGAAAGAAGTTGCGGAGAAGACGGGTGGGCGGACGTCCACACGAAATGAACACTTGCCACAGATAGTGTGGTATGGACCTGGGACGACGGGAAACGTAGAGTGGGCGTATAATGAGAAGTGAGTCTTCCTGCTATCCAAAAAAAGGGACTAACTGAGAGTGTTCGACAGATTCTGCTGGTGTTGATACGTGGCGGTCGCGAGACAACTAGCTGAGTGTGCTAATAGAATGGCTAGGGAAAAGAATCATGTGTTCCCTCTACACTGTGAGCTTATAAGACGAAGAGAAGGGCAATAAGCGCCTTACGTCGACCACTTGGAAAGCTTCGCCGCTCGGCGGTCCGAGCAGACATGGAAACTGCAAAATAAACTGTCTTGAGAACTCATTCGACAAATAACAACACGCTAGCTCGCTGAGGACAAAGGTATCCTACGGTTTCCTATGACCGTGAGAATCGGTGAGATTAGACAAAACCCGTCCCCCTTTTATTACAATTTTAGCTACTCTTCCATGATGATGGTTTCCACTTCCATGGACATTAGGGGCAAAACCACCCTCGTTGAGCAGTGTCGCACAGACATAGACAAAGATATCGCTGCCTCGAACGCCCTTCGCTCCCGCAAGAATACTCTCGCCTCCATATTTTCCCTTCCACCCGAGATTCTCGTGACTATCTTCACATACATCGTAGAAGAAGAGAATTCCAAGATTTATACAGGCATACCCCGCCGTGGTGGTGCTCCTACTTCAATGATAGTCACACACGTTTGTAGGCACTTGCGCCAAGTTGCCCTCGAGTGCCCGAGTCTTTGGACATTCATCGACTGTCTCTCTGCTCCTTGGGTACCCATCATGCTTGAGAGGTCGAAGCAAGCTGCTTTGGTTGTCATATACAGTGCGCCGCGCGCGCCAGAATATTGGCCACTGGTGCAACTTCTTTCGCAGTTGCCTCGGATCAAAACCCTCAAGTTGTGCACATTCTCAGTTGATGTCGATCGCATTTTGGACTGCTTATCGTCGCAGCCCGCCCCGTTACTTCAGATATTCAAATACAGCCTAGTCCTAGAGAGTCACGATCCGAGAATTTCCATCAGGCCCATATCAGACACCATTTTTCAAGGACGCGCCCCCCTACTTCGGAGCGTTGAGCTGGCGGAATGTGCCTTCATCTTGACATCGCACGTTTTTAGCGGGCTTCAAACTCTATATTTGATACAATTTGACTCTTGTCCTCTTACCCTGTCGCAACTCCTCTCGGCTCTGAGACGTATGCCTGACTTGGAGCTGCTTAGACTTTCTTGTGACTTGTCGCCCAGAATTTCTGAGGACACCGTGCTCTTCGACCAAGTTCCGCTCACTCGGTTGAGATGGATAGAGTTGAATGGCGTCTTCCGAACCGCTGTATCTCTCTTTTCGCATCTAATCCTTCCTGTTGATGCCAAGTTCATTCTATTCCTCACAGAAACTGAAAGCCCACAAAGCTTTTCTGATCTATTTTCTGCTATCTACAAAAATCCTGACGAATCTTTTCCCATCATTCGGTCCCTGCATGCCCATCTTCACGATGAAGTCAGTGTCCAATTCAGCACGTCATCGGCGAACATTTCTAACAGCGATATACAATTCTACATCTCATTCGATTATGACGACAACCCTGCCATCATATTTGACATGTGTCGGATGGTCCTGCATTGCAAGATCCAAACCTTGTCTATATCAACCCTCTATGATCTCTCGCAAGATTTCTGGTGCGCGGGGTCCGCCCACCTTCCGGAACTCAAAAGTATCATTCTGAGCTCGGTACCCATTGAAGGCTTTATCCTTGCGTTCATGACTGTAGGCGCGTCTATAGCCTACCCTTTACTCCGTACTCTGGATCTTGAGTATGTCAATTTCGGATGCGATGAACCCGAAGATCTTCGGGAGATTGCTAGAATGCGAGCCAAAGGTGGTGTTGGCATACAGAAACTCAGAATAATGGGCTGCAGGAATGTGACGGAAATAGATGTGCAGCTCCTTGAGGGAGTGATTGCAGATGTTGATTGGGATCATTGGGTATGGCCCGGGAAGAGTTGATGGTCAGCGACGGCGGCTGTGTTTGTCCCACAAGCTTGGATGAAGATTCGTCTGCGATGCGTATCCGGAGGACTAGTTTGATGTATCAAGCAAATTGCGATCAGTCTTAGACTGAATGAAATATACTAGACGGATATTCTCTCGAGGAAATCCGTGACACATGAGTGTATGTACTATGTAGGCTTCGAAATTCACGACTAAGGTCTGTTTAGGGGAGCCAGCTGAGTGTTGCGCTAGTAGAATGGCTAGCAAAAATTAAAATCACGTGCCCCGTCTGGGCCGTCTTGCACAAACTCACATAAGACGAATAAGAAGGGCAGCTTCAAGTTCGTCATAAGCGCCTTATGTCGACCACTTGGAAAGCTTCGCCGCTCGGGCGGACGTGGGAACTGCCTGTCTTGACTCTTGAAGCTTGAGAACTCATTCAACACATAATCATACACGCAGCTAGTTCGTCCATTTTACGATTGAAGGGCACAGGGAGACTATCCTACTACTCGTTCGGAATTTGCACCCGATCATCGAGACCTTCGGACAACGACTCAGAGATTCCGAAAGTACATTTTTTTGACCGTAAGAATCGGTGAGATCAGACAGGACTATGATTGTCCCCCTTTCATTGACCGACTACTCCCGTACTACGTAGGTCCTACTTGATGATGGTTTTCACTTCCATAGACATCATTCCTAGGGGTGGAACCACCCTCGTTGAGCAGTGTCGCACAGACATAGACAAAGATATCGCTGCACTATTTGCGTCCTTGAGCGCCCTTCGCTCTCGCAGGAATGCTCTTGCCTCTATATTTTCCCTTCCACCCGAGGTTCTCGTGAATATCTTCATATACTTCGTAGAAGAGGGGAATTTCAAGATTTATACGGGCATACCCCGCCGTGGTGGTGCTCCTATTCTAATGATAGTCACACACGTTTGCAGGCACTGGCGCCAAGTTGCCCTCGAGTGCCCGAGTCTTTGGACATTCATCGACATTGACTGTCTCTCTGCTCCTTGGGTACCCATCATGCTTGAGAGGTCGAAGAAAGCTGCTTTGGTTGTCATATACAATGAACCGTCCTCGCCAGAATATTGGCCACTGGTGCAACTTCTTTCGCAGTTGCCTCGAATCAAAGTCCTCAAGTTGTGCACATTCTCAATTGTTGTCGATCTCATTTTGGACTGCTTATCATCGGAGCCCGCCCCGTTGCTTCAGATATTCAATTACAAGGTCCTGGGGAACCATGATCCGAGAATTTCCGTCAGGCCCATATCAGACTCCATTTTTCAAGGACGTGCCCCTCTACTTCGGAGCGTCGAGCTGGCAGAATGTGCATTCATCTTGACATCGCACGTTTTTAGCGGGCTTCAGACACTAGATTTGAGACAAATCGGGCCTTCTCCTCATCTTACCCTGTCGCAGCTCCACTCAGCTCTGAAACGTATGCCTGATTTGGAGCTGCTTACACTTTTTCTGTCGTCCAGAATTTCTGAGGACACCGAGCTCTTCGACCAAGTTCCGCTCACTCGGTTGAGAAGGATAGTGTTGAATGGCTGCGCCATCCGAACCGCTGTATCCCTCTTCTCACACCTAGTCCTTCCTGTTGATGCCAGCATCGCTCTATGCCTCACAGAGATTGAAAGCCCACAAAGCTTTTCTGATCTATTTTCTGCCATCCACAAGGACCCTGACAGATCTTTTCCCATCATTCGGTCCCTGCATGCCAAATTTACGGACGATACAGTCAGTGTCCAATTCAGCACGTCATTGGCGTACATTCGTAACAGGGATATAGTACGACTCTCCATCCAATTCGAATATGCTAGCGACTCTGCCATCATATTTGGCATGTGTCGGATGGTCCCGCATCACAAGATCCAAAAATTGTATATATCAACCTCCCTTGATCTCTCGCAAGATTTCTGGCGCGCAGGGTTCGCCCACCTTCCGGAGCTTGAAAGTGTCAATCTGAGAAGGACATCCATTGCAGGCTTTATCCTTGCGCTCATGCCTGTAGGCGTGTCCATGGCCTGCCCCTTACTCCGTGCTCTGGATATTTATGATACCGATATCGGATGCGATGAACTTAGAGACCTTCGGGAGATTGCCAGAATGCGAGCCAAAGGTGATGTTTGCATACAAAAACTCGGATTGATGGACTGCAGGAATGTGACGGAAGGAAATGTGCAACTCCTTGAGAGAGTAATTGCATATGTTGAATGGGATGGGCATGAAGATGTGTTGATGAACAGCCACGGCGGCTGTATTTGTCCCACATGCTTGGACTCGGATGATTCAGAAGATTCGTCTGCCGATGCGCATTCGGAGGACTAGTTTTGATGTATTACATCTAGACAAATTACGATCAGTCTTAGTAGACTGAATGAAATGGATCTTGTCTCGAGGAAATCCATGTTACATAATTGTAGGCTTCGAAATTCATGACTAAGGTCTGTTTAGGGGAGACTATATAGAACTTGGTCGGAATCTCCTCCCCTTTTCTCCATCTAACCTTTTAGCACATGGCTCAAATCGAAGAAAAATCCGAACTCTTCCCTCCTATCGCAGACGTTGTTGATAAAACCCATGCCGGAGATGAAGATATCTCCGCTAGACCACTCGAAGAGATCGAGTCTCTTTGCATGCAATGTGGGGAGCAGGTAGGTTTACAAACATTCCGATTACCGGTGGAATACTCACGTCAGTCAGGGAGTAACACGCATGATGCTCACATCCATCCCGTTCTTCCGGGAAGTCATTGTGATGAGTTTCCGCTGCGAACATTGCGGCCACTCAAACAATGAGATCCAGTCGGCGGGGAAGATCAGATGTGCGCACTCGTTTCATCTCCTGTACTTCTACCTCCTAACATTGTATCTCCGAGACAGCTGAGGGTACTATGTACACAGTAAAAGTTCTTAACCGCGGTGACCTTGACCGCCAGCTCATCCGTTCCGAAGCATGTAGTATCAACATCCCCGAGTTTCAGCTGGTTCTTCCGCCTTCCCGTGGGCAGCTTACAACTGTCGAGGGTCTTCTCCGGGACATCGTCGCGGATCTCAGCGTACAGCAGCCACTCAGACGCATTCAGGACGAGAACGCCTATGCTAAAATCCAGGAAATCATTGATTGTCTCAAGGAGATCATTGCCGATACTGAAGACGAAGACGAAGGCAAGGACAAGTTTGAGAAGAGAGAACTATCGAACGAGGATCCAGTCGCACGTGCAATTACCATCACTTTAGACGACCCATCTGGGAATTCCTTCCTCGAGTTCGTGGGCAGCATGTCCGATCTGAAGTGGAACATGCGCACATATGAGCGGTCGCTTGAGCAAAACCGGCAGCTTGGATTGGCACCTCCTGCGGAAGACGCGGAAGACAATGCAGCAGACGAGGCGGAACAAGAATCAGAGGGTTTAAACGAGGAAGTGTTCGAGTTCCCTGGAATCTGCTCGCGTTGCGGACGACCACTTATCACGCGCATGAAGAGAGTTTCTATTCCCTATTTCAAGGTGTGTATCGAAGGCATACTGAACCTGCACCCCTGACAACCCCACCAGGACACCCTTATAATGTCAACTAATTGTGACGACTGCGGATATCGGGATAATGAGATCAAGTCAGGGGCTGCAATTTCTGAGCATGGCAAGAAGATTACGTTGAAGGTTGTAGATAGAGACGACCTCAGCCGCGACATACTTAAAGTAAGTGCATACTGTTTTTTCTAGATCCTTTGATTCAATAGTGTCCTGTAGAGCGACACGAGCGGTCTCAGCATACCGGAGATAGACCTCGTTCTTCACCCCGGCACACTAGGTGGACGTTTCACGACTTTAGAAGGCATTTTAGATCAAGTATACGAGGAACTCACTGAGAAAGTATTCAACGCAGGGGATTCTGGGGTCGTAGATGTCGATGACAGGGCCGAATTCCAGGAGTTCTTAAGAAAGCTTAAGCAGGTATGTTTTTTTTCTTTTCTACCATCACGCGACTCTCATTTTCATCTTTGCAACTAGGTCAAGAATGCCGAGATACCATTCACCTTGATTCTAGATGACCCCCTGGCGAACTCACACGTACAGAATTTATATGCACCCGATCCAGATCCGAACATGGAGATCGTCACATACGAACGAACGTGGCAGCATAATGAAGATCTTGGACTGAATGACATGAATGTGGAATCGTATGGTGGTGATGATACGAAGGATGGTGATACTAAAAGTTAGAGGTCATGTGCAGACGGTTGATTGTTGCTTGGCCCGTCATCATAGTAGTATGAACGTAATAATTGCCAGTGTCTATGGCTTGCGTTGGGCGATCACCAGCCCGTCACAACTCAAGGCGGACACCCTACGGAACTACATGGACATTTTGCATCTTCTCTTATTTGTCCTGCAACTAGAGTACGGGCTTCTGATGGGCGTCGCGGTGATGCCGATGAGGCCTTGGGCTGGTTTGAATTCAAAACAACAATATTAATCAATTTGAATTTATCAAACGCGTTCGACAGTATCACGTGATCAATGATAATTTTCGATCACCCATTTCAGAAGTTCTGGAATCTGCAACCCGAAAGTTCTGCCTCGTAAACGTCCTTTGCATCTAATCAGTGATCACGTTTCGGACGCTGAACGTATCCAAAAATGCAGAGCGACGACGTGATATGGTCCGTAATTGGCCATGAATTCTGCTCGTACAAAGTCAAGTACGTTCATCGCCATGATGAACCCCGCATAACCTCACTCATCATACATGCTGCAGGACTGTCACTCAAAATTTCTGCCGGAACGAGTACAATGTCACGGGTCTATGTACACGGCAGTCATGTCCACTTGCGAACTCACGGTATGCGACGGTGAGGGAGAATGAGGGCAAGTGTACTCGATCCAATGTTATATGTCATGATTGATGTCCACCCAGGTGTGCTGTATCTGTATATGAAAACGATTGAGCGGGCACACACACCTGCAAATATGTGGGAGAAGATTGAGTTGTCAAAAGACTATTCCAAGGCACTAGAGCAGGTGAATTGACTCTATGCTCAAGCTACTTTCGATTGACGTGTAATGCCTGCGTCATCCAGATCGATAAAGAGCTCAAGTATTGGCCAAACTTTACTATTCACAAATGCAAACAGCGTGTCACGAAGATAACCCAGTATCTTATCAAAATGCGTCGAATAAAACTACGGCAGGAGTGCGTTTCCAACTTGTGTGACCTTGTACTCCTCATTTACACTTATTTCAGGCCAAAGCTCGTGGGCGTGAAAAAGAAGTTAGATAGGCGCGAAGCGACACGGGAACGCAAGGCTCTCTCTGCTGCCCACCTTGAAAAATCCATCGAAAAAGAGCTGATCGAGCGGCTCAAATCAAAAGCGTACGGTGATGCGCCACTCAATGTCAACGAAAATGTCTGGCAAACAATTCTCGACCGGGAAAAGCGTGGAAAGGAGAAAGAACTGAATGCTGGTGCTCAGTTGGATATGGAAGATGACGAGACGGATGGAGAGGAGGAGGAGATGGAGGAGGACTGGGACGCAGAGGGAGGCGAGTTTGTTAGTGATTTCAGTGGAGACGAAGATGGTGATTTGGATGATGAACTGAGCGATCTGGAAGATGTAGTAGACGGAGGACTAGGCGCAGAGGAGAGTGGGGTTGACGAGTCAGACGACGACAGCTCACCAGAAGATCAAGCACCGTCCAAAACCGTCCTTGGAAAGCGGAAAACCAAGCCGACAGCAAAAGCACCCCCAAGAAAGAAATTGGCCAAGCCAGGGAGAAGTTCGTTGTTTCTGATTTCGATATCCAGTGACTTATCATTACTCTATACAGGAGGCCCGAGGGTGGAAGTGGAAATCGAACGAGAAATGGAGAGCGTGCCACTCACAAGGTCCGCATTGGCCAATTGGTAGCCATTGGGGACTTGTTGGCCCCTCAGCTGTTTTACACACATACATATAGATTCCACTGCAGTACGAGCAACCACATTCAGGATTCATGAGCGATCTTGATTACCGTCGAAAGATATGAATCAGCTCTCCATAGGCTGATCACCGTCATCATCACCCGCTCTCGCCATTGTTGTTTTCCCCCATTGAATGAGCTCTGACAACCGTGGCTGAAATGCCAGTGCCTTCCTGCTCAACAGCGATCTAAAAACCTTTCGACAAAACTCAGCATAGGTTACTCGTTCCTCCCCAGACAATAGGCTCTGGTGTGCAAGCCATTAACTCCATGATCGGACATCAGGGCAATTGTACGAACTTCATAGTTGTCTCTCATAGCCGAGAGCATAGAAACCAAGAAGCCGAGATACTTGTAGTTAACAGGGTCCATGTTATTTTGCAAACGCTCAGCAAGATTGGCGAATACCGCTGGTTGACGATGAGCGAAGTATTTGACTCTGATGAATAAATTCTCACATTCAATCAGCGTCTGCCGGACTGTCGAATATTCTTCTAGCGATATCTCAAATGTAGATGATCCGGTAGACGGCTCAGCCAGCACGCCATGTAAAAGTGGGTGTCGAAGACCATCCAGAGTGAATACGATGGATGCATACTCGTGTTCGATTGTCGTCTTGGAGGGGATAGTACATGCGAGGAGGACTTCAATAAAGTAGTCCTCGTATGCCTACAGGCGATGAATATTTTTCTATGAGAAATAAAAATTCGACTTACATTGTAAGCCTTCGAGTCAAGTCTGAGAAGTGCGAGGCAGAATCGAAGACCAACTCGGCGACGCCACAAGGGATCAGGTATCCGCTCCCATGATTCAGGTCCAAGGTGCATGTGGTTTTTCCAACTCTAAAAGGGGAGAGCTGAGTAGCAGCAGTCGAAACAGGTATCGAAACAAACCGATCCATTCTGAACCAACACATTTCCGACTCCTACCCAACAATCAATCCATCTATCAGCTGTCTCACGGCGACTATCGACTGTACTTGGCGCGGGGGAGTCGACTACGTATCTGCAAACAACCCGGAATATTGCTGAAGCCAGCGGTCCACAGACCTGGAACCTGTCAGTCAGGGAAAATATGAAAGGAACAACGAGAGCGACCTTGCAAACCGCTTCTTCCTTCCGCTTCCACTCCATTCCAGAAGTTTGTGCAGGCTCGTCACCAAGAGCAGCTAGGATTTCAGGGTCGTTCAAATCGATGAAGAACTTGTCGTACTCGTCCTGGCTCTCCTGGTTATCAACACTCGGTGATATTGGTGGTGCGGTAGGCCGGGGTAATGCCCTCATTCGAGCATCCAGAAAAGCTGACACCATCTCTTGGCACGCAGCACTCGAGTCATTTTCTATGGCGATAGGATTTTTTGGACTGAAGACGTCCTTTACCCATGCTGATGAGGAAGGCAAGTCAGGGAATATTTCGTTGACGTTAGTGAACCACTCACGTCCCTCAAGAAAGGCAGGATCTGGATACTCATATCGCTCATCCGTAGTGTCCAGTGAGCATGTCTCAATCATGCGAACAACCGACGTGAGAAGACTCTTGACCATCTCCACCGTCTTGTTCTTCACAATATTCTTGTTGTCTTTATTTGTTAGCATGCGCGCCTCCTGGTATTCATCCAGTAGAATGCCGGTAACCTCGGCAAGCCAGCTGAGAATCTCTCCAAGCTGCACGCGGTGATGACGCATAACAGCACAAATATGCTCAATACCTCGGATGCACACAGCCCTGGTAAAATCGTGTGCATCTTTGAAGTTGACGCATCGTCGAGCTTGCCCAACACGGTGTCGAACGTTGGAGATGGAGGGATCAAGATGAATAGCGACCGCCATAGCATTAAGTCGGTTGAAAAGCATAGAACTTTCCTGCCCAGCTGGCTGAACGGCCCTTGTCGATGACACCGAGCCAACTGGGACGACCATGTTCAGCATTTTCTTCACTTGTATACTCTGTTGTTTTTTCTCCGCGTCACTTGTGCTGTCCGCCTGCGCAACTTGTACGATCATCTTGAGGAGCACCTCGAACACGTTATCGCCCCTGTCTTGTACCGAAAGCAAGGATATGTCCCTTTGCACCATGAATTGCATAAATTTAGGCTGCTCGTGGCGGAGGCTGGCAAATCTACGACTCCGGAAGATTTCCACAAGGTGGTTGAACATTATAATCGCATTGTCCAAGTTCCAATGCCAACTCTTCCACAGGAGGAAGCATCGAGAAGCGACGACGGAGACGTACTCGTCTCGTTTGTTCAGGGATGCAGTATGTGTGAGTGCATCCTTCTGTGGATCGGCAACAAGGGAGATGAGCGTCAGAGTAGCCAAAACCGTTTCCCACGAAGGTGCGATTCTACTGAGGGATGTTGACATCCCGTGCACAGAGAACTGCGAGAGCGCACAAAAAGAGAATATGTTCCGCCAAACGTACTCGCTTGCCTCAACTGCAGTGGTGAACGATGATGCTTCGTCTTGGATCAACTGCTTGAACAACAGCCAAAATGGCTCTGATGATAGTTTGCCAGGAGACTCAGACGTGCAGTTAATCAAGAGGTGAAAGAGGCATATCCATGACTCTACAGCTTGAACGGGAGTTGAGGTGATCTCCAGAGGGCCATCGGGTTCCTTAAACGATGCTAGAATCTCCCGGAGGTCTACATCTGATAGAGGCCGCATGAGCAAGAGCGCGAATTTGAACAACTCTCGGGTCTCTGATGACCCTCGCCGAGTCCTTGCAGCGTGCATGATTCGGGCAGCGAGCTCTACTGCAAACCAGCAAACAAGCAATGAGAAGTGATGAATATCTGCCTCCAACACCCGCGCCACCAGAGAACCCATAGTCTCGTGTACCGTGAGCTCCAACGAACTGAATTCCTGGTCGTCGATGCTGAGACACTGCCATGATACCAACTGGCACACCGTTCGCATCGTGAGTTCCCAATCCTTCCCAACCACAGCCGTCCATTCGTGTCCTTTGAGCACGTCATCCGCAAGTTGGTCGCACAAGGGTGCAATTACAGTCGTAAGGACATGCACCGATGTATCAGGTCCAAGGTCGAACCCTCGAATAACGTATGGCATAGGAGCAACAGGCTGAGCGTGCCCTGTGACGAGGCATATTAGCTGGTGAAGAAACCCGCGGCCGATATATGTTCCGGCCGAGAACGCAATCCCTGAGGGCAAAAAATCAATGCCCAAGTCGACTGTGGTCAACAACGTCCGTTGATCTACAGCATGCATAAACTCGTGGACGTCGGTATAACCCTTCCTCCGCACAGGTGACGATCGTTCGCGTGGCTGATCTAGTGGTATATCAAGGTCAACATGGCTTTGACGCGAATCGACGCGGGACGGTGGGGGACGTGGCCGAGCATGTGATTTTCTCTGGCGTTCATCCTGACTGGACTCGACACCAGATTGAGGCTTAGAATCAACACGCGAAAATGGAATTTTCTGGCGCTTAGATTGGGTATCTTCTCGACGAACTCGAGATGAAATCGAAGATGCGGGACTGCCGCATTGATCCAGGTTGCTTTTGCCACCTATCCATCTCCTTCCTCCAAGTCGGGTCCAGTGCCTGATGGAATCCTTCATCACCCAGATCAATTCGCAAACCCCTTCGCGCAATATGCGTGCCAGATTGGTGGAAGCTGTAGAGCTCTCCCTTGGCTTGCTTACGCTTCTTCTTTCTCCGTTCCTTTCGTAGTGCCTTGGACTCGTGCTCCGCCGGTATTGTCGATTCTGTCCGCTTGTGGACCTTGTTATGATGTGAATGATGAGAGCGGTGGTCACGATCAGAAGAAACGGCGGGGAACGAGAGAAGGGTCTGGTTGCCCATTCGCGCACCACCTGTTACAATGTTAAGCTTTGGCCTTGAGCGTCCAGCCCTGCTTTCACCCAGGTCTCGTGATTTTACACCAGAACCTCGGGGCCTCCGACTTGACTTGTCCCTCTGCTTTCTCGCACCACCCACAGTCCTAGTCCGCGTAAGCATCCAGTCAATCAGACTCTTCTCGCGCATAGGTCGGCGACTCCGGCTCCACGCGTCGATCCGTGCGTCGTCAATCATACCGTCGCTGTCCTCGCCATCACTCTCCGATCCACTCTCGGAACTGGAAGAGATGCTAATAGCCGGGGATCTTGATCTGACTTTGGGAGACGCCCGCCGACGAACTTGTGATACGATGTCTGGTACCTCAGCATCAACATCCGTGTCCTTATCTTTAGGAATTTCGACGTCCGAGCTCTCAGGGTCACCCTGAATTATAACGTCACGACCACCAGCACCCATTCGGGCGCGCGCATGTCCAGGTCTCAAGGGCTCGTCGCCACTATCAGACTGGCGTAGGAGAACGCACCCTTTGCGTACTGGCTAGAGTTTTCACTTGGGAACCTTGCCGCTCGAGCTGCCTCTTGATCATAACAGGCAGGCATCATACGCTGCAGAAGGCGAAAACGTTTACGATCTTTGGAGGAAATTTCGGGAGAAGGACTGCTGGACTCCTTGCGGGGCTCACGGGCGGGGGAATCATCGGACAAATCCAAGTGATTGTCCCCGTCAGGCAATGTAGACGAAGAGTGTGGTGGTGTCGATGGTGCCGAGGGAATTTCAATTGCATCGTTGTCGGTATCAGGGTTGACATTCTCCGCATTGATCGAGTTGCTGGTCGTTGTGGTCGAAGAAATTATAGTAGTCGTAATCGTCATCTTGTTGAGATTCGTATTCGTCAGCCAGAGGGGGATTCCTTGCCGGCGAACGAGACTTAAGCTGTGAAAGACGAACTTGAAGGGAAAGTGAGGGCGAGGGCGAGCGGGAAGGAGACGGTGTAGCACGTTGCTTTCCCTTTAAAAGCCTGGATAGGACTGGCGGGGACCACTAAAATGGAAGATATCCAGCACGTCAGCATATAACAAGTGTTTCCAAATGAATCCTACCTCATCTAAGCGAGATGGAGACCGTCTCGAGGATGCTGAAGATGGACCCGCAGCAGGCTGCTTTGACGATGACGCTTCCAGCGGAAAATTCTTCAGACGTTTCTTCTTGGCAGTTTCTTTAGCGTCTGCCTCGTCCTGTGCCCTCAGGCGAGCTTCTTCCTTCTCTCTCTTCTTTGCCTCAGCCTCGGCCTTCTTCCGAGCCCTCTTCGCCTCCCTCACCAACTTACGAACTTCGTCTGTCCCTTCAATCTCGTCGCTTTCAGAGAGATCTCTTAGAGCCTCGGGGAGCCATCCTTCCTCCCGTTCACGGTTATCACGATCAACTTCAGCGATGGTGACTCGCTGTTTTCGCCTCCTTCCTTCTACATCCACGTAATCTCGGTCCTCTTCTGGATTGTCAACAGGAAAGATATACTCTGCTTGTGTTTCACCTTGCGTCTGCCCATCCGCCCACTGTGACCCATCTTCTCCATGCATCTCGCGACGCTGAGGACTCACAAACTTCACGATCGCATCGGGGTTTGCCTTCATCTGCGCCTTGTACTGCGCCTTGTCGAACGCGTACGGTTGAAGCTGACGTGCCTCCCTGCGGCGAAGGGAGTAACGGCTGACTGGTTCCGGGTCCTCGGGGATAACGAGAGGTGGTGACGGCGGAACAGGTGGAGGAGGCGGGAGTGGTAATCGATCCCGCGATTGTACAGCCGGGGATGAGGGGTCTTGAGTTATTGGGGTGATTGGGGTCAACAGGCGCCTTGAGCGGGATTCAGGAGAGATTAGAAGCAGTTCGTCAGGGGACGGAGATCGATGACCAGAGGGATGTGGAGTGCGTGGTGGCGCTTCTCGGGGCATATGAGCATGCTTACGAATAATTTGGGGAATGGGACACTGGGACGACTGCGTTGAGGGCCCCGGGGGAGAAGAAAATAACGACCACGAGTCTGCTGGGCGCGAAATGGAAGGGGACGGACTCGAAGCTAGTCCCTCGTGCTGAGCTTGAGAAGGAAACGTCATAGGAGCGGGCGATGAGGGGAAGAGGGCATCATCTAGCTGAAGTTGAGAGGAATCAGGAAGCGGTGACTGGGTATCAGCCTGTTGTTGCCCATCGGCTGAAGTAATAGGATGGTGCAACAAGTTTTCAGATTCAGCTGGAATAAGTGAGGGGAAAATACCTAGGTCGTCGAAACTCGGCTCATGGACATCTGTGGATCGAGTCTCGTTGTGCAATGATGCATCGACAGCTGGAAGTGATAGGTTGGACGCAGGGTTAAACGCAGCCCGCATTGGCGAGTGCGTTGCGCTTGCATGCAGTGCAGAAGATGTGGTGGATTTCACAGGCGATGCATGGGACGACGAAGTAAGATCGACAATCACCTGCGACTCGGATTCGCTATGAGTTGTCTTGAGAAGCAATGAGCACCGCAATAAGATTGATGTGAAAAATATGGCTCTACCTTGACACGCTTCCGTGGAGATGGTCGACCTTCTTGCCTGTCATTAAACCTCCCATGCAACTTGGTGGCAGGTCCTGAATTCAGTTGCGTCTTCTTGGGGGAGAAACAGGTATAATAATCTGCCTCTGAGACATCAAATTCGCGTTCTTCAACGTCAGATGTGTCCACGACTTCATCAAGGTCCATGCAGAGAATTCGGATTGGATTCAGTGATAACTGTAAGAGACAAGGTCGAAGTCAGTGTGACAGCTACACGCGACGTGATTCATCACGTGATTGTGACCTCGTATAATTACTTACCTAATAGCAGTTTTGGCTTCCTGTTATATCGGCACTAGTCCTGTCTGCCAACCAAATCTCACATGATCGACACCTAATTCACAAACCATCACCTCACAGCATGTCAAGTGTCGATATTATCCCTAGGAGGACCGCAAAGAGCTAGTTACTGCAGTTCTTTCAAGGGCCGATTGAGGAAGGCACCTTGGTAGCTCGGGAAAGGGCAGGAAGGGAAGAAGTGGTATCGATAACAGTAGCAGCTGCGAGTCTATTGTAGGCGTCCCGATGCAAACACTGACGATCACATCAAATCAATGTGCAGTCATTCATATGTCCATGTTCTCAAATGCTACTATTCTGATTCCTCATCGTGATTGACACTTCCGAGGCACGCTAAGGAACATCACGACGCTGATGCAAGTATGTAGTGCGCAACGTTGATCAAACGATGTACTCGTCATTGAACTTGAAATTTTAGCTTCTCGCAGTTGTCATAAGTACCGTGTCGAGGTGGCTCACAAGACTGTCTGTCGCATCGCTTGCATGACGCGGCTTGCAGTGATCTCAAATGTAGTGGGTACATGAGCATAGTTATTACAAACTGGTTGTACGTGGGGCAGGGACCTATCATTCACCATTCCGCTCGCATTGCACAGGCCAAGCTTTATATATGGGGGAGACGAGGTTGATAATTAGCCATGGGTAGTAATCTGAAGGATGTCACTGCTTCGAGTCCATGTAGCAATACGAGCGATAATAGAACTGAAATACTCGGGAAACGTCCACAAAACCTCTCTAACAGCAGTAACAACCACCTCCATGTTCCCCTGCTACTGGTATCTGCTGTTGTGTATCAGGGTCCGGTGGATGATCATCGAGGTATTCATAAGGTACCAAATCCTCGTCTGGTTTAGGAGCACCCGCTGCAGCATTGCGCTGTAGATTTATGGATGAGACACTGAAGACAGACTGATAAGCATCAACTGAGCACACCTCTTTAGCTTGCGCGAAAGGAACATCGACCGTAACGACGGGTGGCGCTGCATGATCAGACCGCCAGGTGAATAGGTGTCCTAGCTGGGCTTTGAAGGTGGTAAGAGTGGCGGCTGATGGCAGGGTGGTGCGCGGTGCTCGTGCTCGTGCTAACGGAGGACCTGACCGAGGGCTCCTTGTCACAGCGAGACTGAGTCTCTCGAAGCGCCCCGGGCGCTGCTGAGGTCGCGGTCGAGAAATGTGAGGATGCTGTAATGAACAATATGTGAGCGAGTGACCCGAAGAATACACTTTAGCACATACTCCATGCATTCCCCGGAAAAATCCAGGTTCCACATCGTAGCCATCTTGATCTTGTCCTGGGATCTCCGCCTGCAAATCGGTAAGTAGCGAAAGGGTAGAGGGAAGGAGGACATACGCCAAGAATGCGGTCATCGGATGCAGCGAGCGCACTACATTGTTTCCGGAAATCTGAGTGAGGGAGAGGTGAGGGTTGTAGCCTCGGGTGAAATTGCTGAAGACTTGCCAGTGGACCAATCGAGGCAGCTGGCCTTCGTCGCTTCGTCGATGTTGTCCATCATAGATTTGTGTGATTCGAGAGCTTTATCGACTTTGTGTGCGGACAGGAAAGCCTGACACCGTTTCTGGTGTGCAGTGAGCCACAACGATTGGAGATCCCAGCCGAAGACCTGCAAAGGGACTCAGTTATGAAAAGTATTTCGGATGTGTATTAACGTACCACCACTAAGTCCTCGTATATTTCATGAATGTCTGATTTCGATGATAGACCGCTGGAGTTGAGAGCGACAGTGAAATGGTCAACGGCTTCGTCATGACGTGCGCCATCCAAGGCTTTGATTCCGAGTCGAACTCGTAGATATGCCTAATGTGTGAGTTGGAAAGAATCTTAGTGTTGACGACCCAGCGCGGCTGTATGATACTTACTTCCACGATATGACATGCGCGAGTATCGGCGTTCGGACAACCAGTAGTGAGTTCTTTGAGAAGCAGGTTTGCCTCGTCGTGTTGATCTGCACCGAAGAGAGCGATGGCCTGAAAACACGGAATGAAGCAGATTGTATGCGAGGCAATTGTAACGTACCTTGATCAAGAGCAGAAAATGAACAGTTTCTGAATCTTGGTCGGTGTACATGAATGCAACATCAAATGCTGCCCTCGCGTCCTGAATGTCACCTTTTCCACAGAGAGCAATTCCCTTGGAAATATAGCCTGTCAATGAAGGCTGAATGCTAACAGACTGTGTCACCGTCGAGTTAGCCTTGCACAAGGGTGCGATGATGGGTCAGTAAATCTCACCTTGATTGCATCCTGAAGGGCGTGGGCCCAATCCTGTTTTCGGGCCATAATGAAGGAGCGATGGGAGTAGGCAATATAGTTGTTCTCATCAGTGTTGATCTCTTGTGTGAGTAGTTCTTCGGCGGTAGACAAGTCTCCATCTATGCATGCATCCCGGGCTGTCGAGATGGCTAGGATCTGCACGAAATATGCTCGAGTTGTGGTATATGAGTCAAGGACGGAAACGTGCCTTTGAATTTATGTAGTTGGGTACTGCCCACTCCGAGATCATCTCATCTTCACCTCCGCTGAAGATGTGCTTGCCGTCCAAGGAGAAAGTGATACATTGCGTCTTGGATGAGTGCTGGAATATGGCAACGGTTCGTCGATCTGAGAGCCTCCAGAGACGGACGTGGCGGTCATCAGATGCGGAGACGACGAGTGTACCAGTAGGGTTAACGGCGATTGGCATTGATATCGCGAGTGTGGCCCGTCCAAGGATCACCGACCTGCTGCCAGGTCGTTGTATCCCATTCACGTATGGTAGGATCGTCATTATCACCGCACGTGAGAAGGCGAGTGCCATCGGGCGTCCATGTGAGTGAGAGGTTTTTCGATGTGTGACTCTTGAAAGATGCGACGCGTTCCCTCGTGCCTGGATTATAAATTTCGATATTGTCGTATGTTGCGATGGCAAGAAGTTCTCCAGACGGCGAATACCGAACGCAGTTGACGTCACTACCAAAATTGATTGGATCTCCTTGTTGCTCCCAGGTTTTGGTATTCCACAGTTTTGTCATTGCGTCCCTTGAACCTGCAGTGACCAGCACTGTTCCATCAGGAGAAAAATCCAGCGAGGTCCAATCGGAGTGGGCTTTGATGGGTTGGGAGAGCAATTCTCCAGTTTCTCCGTGCCAGATGATGATATCTCCGCTATCATCACCGCTTGCTATCAATTGCCCATCTTGTGATACCACCAATTTCCACACCCAATTGCGATGTCCCTCCATCTTCTTCAACATAACACCTGTCTTCAAGTCCCACAGACGAAGCGTCTTGTCGCCCGAGCCCGTAACTATCCAGGGTTTTTCGGGGATAACTGCGATTGCCCTCAGGTGTTCTTCATGGCCTTTGAACTTCCGTAGGGGCGTGGTAATTGGAATGAGCTTCATTTTACTGGAGGTTGATAGCGTTGGGCACGGTTGAGGTAAACTTTGGAGGGATCGTGGGTGTCTTTCTCTAAGCTGCAGAGGTGCGTGTATTGTGCGTTTTATGCTGCTTCACTGCATTAACCTGCCTCGTTTCCATAGACGCCCAGGACACGAGGCCTCCACACCTTCATCACCATCGTGGCAAGAATGCACCCTATCGTCATAACCGCTGTCCTCGATAGTATACCCTCCCAGCGCCCCAGTGCATACATTCGTCTGACTCTTGTCTTCAAAGCTTCCAGAATGTATCTGATCTCATCCAATCGAGCAGTCGGTGCTTCCCGCCACCGAATCTATCTATCTATCTTGCATGAGTGCATGAATATCGTGGTTTTTCGCATCAAGCAGCTACTCCTGCAACATGGCCGCCAACCTCGGCGAGCCCTCACCGCAGATCCTACCGAGTCATGCGTTCAAAGGATCGTCATCGTAGGTATTTTTGGAATGTCATCTACCATGGGATCAATAGTCCCTATACCTGGACCGCCAAGAGGCCAAGGGAGTTTCACACCAGTTCTTTTACCAATGGCCTCACCCTGATTCTCATATGCCAGGCGCCGCTTGATTGATTTCTAGTGACTCGTCACTATTCTCGGGTGCCATGTGCTATCTCCTTCCTGAATGATGATTGGTGCACACTAATGGAGACGAAACAATGGATGGTCTGCCTCTGGAACGATGGAACCTGCGCCTAAGCATCTTATCGCCCGCATACACATCTCTGTGTACGGCTCTGTTCTAGCAATACTGTGATAAGCCTACTTGCAGCCCCAGTCCTTGGATCGTTCGGTATACGAATGCTTGGGTGGAGAGGAGGCCTGCATTATTTAAACATCTCTCGTGGAGGGTGAGTCTTATCCTTAGACTCGGTCCTGAGCCTCGCTAACGTCGTCTAGACCCTTCAACATTGACAGTGTTGCCTCCATGTTTTTAGTCTGCAATGTGTAGCTTGCGGTGTAGATTTATGTGGACTTCGACGTTGTCAACTCTAAACTGTGTAGCTCGAGCAATCATCTGACTATCTGAAGCAAATCGAACTTGAACCTCAAATTTTGCTAGACGTGGTTCTGTCTTGAAATAACTATTGATGGATGGCAGCATCCTTGACTCTCCGGGTGCTTCGACAGTATGTATAGTAGTTTCACAATGCATCATGTTTTGGACTGATGTCTTTACAGCGGAGGGATGTTGGAGTCGCTGATCATCCGAGAATAAGAGCAGTTTGACTCGGATTGGTAGTCTTCCAAGGTATAGTCTATCTCTGAACTCGCCCATTGCGACTAGAACAGTTTGTGTTCTTGTGTTCTTCGAGAATACTGCGGTTGATAGTTACAGGTTCGCTCATGTTCAAGAGTTGCATCAAACCTACTCGTCCGGTCGTGATTGCATCAGGAAGTAGTGGATTGCGGGTACGTTACTAAAATTCTGCAAAGATATGTTGACTTTGTGTGTGTCTTCCCTTGCTACTAGTACCTGGAATCGACGAGAATGGTTCGTTGAGTGTACGAATGAACATTGCATCTCCCGGTGGCTATTCGAGCCTTCATCCTCCTCCTGCTTTCCTTCCTCATCTCACCCATCATTTCTGGTTTACGAGAGCATTGGTATGCAGAGCTCTTTGTCCAGTATGAAACACATCCCTTTGGGGTCCACCTATAAGAGACTTGTTGTGATACTCAATTTCCTGCAGGCGAAGGGATCACCCACTCATAGGAGTGCTCCATACCTTAGCACGCACCAGACGTCATTTCTAAAGTTTATTATGTTGCGTGTAGAGCACTGCAACGGAGCACTTCACATCATTGATACTCTTCAAGAACGACGCTTTCACGAGCCTGCTCAGTCCATCGATCTTGTGGAAGGTGGAGTGAAGGTAAACGATCTTGCGAAACAGGCGAGCGTCGTTGTGCACCGTCAGACTTTTTAAGAGTTTTGATGCATATGCGTGTAACGTTGTTAATACTTGCGCTTTATTATCAACTGCAGTTCTGTCGCCGCCCAAAGCACGCGAAAACGAATTGTTAAAATCTTTCGCGAGTGTCATGTATCTTACATGGCGTTTGGTGTCTATATTTCTAATACCGATGCGCATCAATATGGCATATTGACTTCTTCTGATAGGTTTGATGGAGGTTTGCAGCCAGCACAAGTCGCTCCATCCAGCGAGGACGCCCGCGCGTGCGAGTGATTGCGCTGCATTGTCGGTTCGTCGAAGTCCAACTCATCAATACAATCGAAGGCCAATGCACCCCCCGCATCAACTTTGCATTCCATCCAAACTATCGTGAACAGTGAATCGAAAATAATTTCCTTTGCGACCCGCATATGCAACTACTTGACGCTTGCATAGACCGTACTTGACCTTCGAACGGATGCCTTCGCTTACGGTCATTTGTATACAACGTTGTCTAGGGTGAGACCACGAAGAGACACTTTGCAGAGACGAACGAAGGACAAGACTGTGCTAGTATTGTATTTCCTGAGCTGCTACTGTGAATACAGTATATCGTCGAAGAGCTGACCGTAATCATAATTTTAAAGCGTTGCAAGATCTACCAAGACGCATTTAAGCGGAAAATGACCATCTGAACTCGGAAGAAAATGATTGGAACGAGATCTCAAGATATTCAAGAATGGCTGCGAAGGGCCGGAAATGCACAAAAATGGATATCAAGAGGCGCAAAATTCGTTGCAAGGTGATTCGATCTGAAAAGAGGCAATCAGTAGGATGACTGGCACGAGTAGAACACTGCACACCAGATGTCCGCACGGTGATCTATCTCATCCACCAAGTCAATGCTGCTGTGATTGTCGAAGCTAGATTTCTCCAAGTACTCATAGGCCATGGACATTGTCAGCTGGATTGAATCTATGCCCTTCTTATTTGCCCCTTGAATGAATGAAGCAGTTTTCAGGCCCCACTTGGCAACCGAGAATGCGTGCTCAGTGGCTACTTCCGTTCCAGTTACATTGTTGAAGGACTGTGGTATCTTCAAACGAGCCTTTCGCCTTGCACTAGCAGTGGGCACCCTAGGATTATCGATGGTGATAGTATTATCGGCAACAAGAGTGAAAGCATATTCAAGCTAGTATTAAATAAATCAGTACAATAAACTGCACCACTGAATTCGACACACCGAGGCGGCACACAATCCAAGGGCGCCAGCTATGCCACTTTTTGCTAGAGTATCAGTATTGAGGGCAGGAACATCGGCGTGCCCAATAATCCGGGAAAGATGGGCAGTCGCGAGAAGCTCTTGCACAAAGGCAGAGTGGAAGGTTTCAGCCTTGTTGATATTCTCAGGATCAGGGTACAGAAATGCAAATTTATGGAGGAAGAGTTTTGTGAGTGATTGTGGCGGAGTGTCTCTGTTTGAATTTAAAAAATTGATCACCACAGCGAGTGCAGTCGATCCGAAGTTGCTGCGCCATTCATTGAGACTCTGAGTGACCTGAAAATAAAATAGTCAGAACACCGTCATTTAAATGGGATATGAGCTTACAACATCAAAAACTGAGCCAGATGTTACAACCTTGTACCGGATGTTTGGATAGACAACCTTGAAAATTTCCTGACATGCATGAAGAAGTTTCGCATCAGTGATTGTCCAAAGTTCGTCCTGGGCACCGAGCCAGAGAAAGATCGTAGGTAAAAACTTCCTGGCCCATTTGCCATCTTTGTGGCATCCGGGAGGGAGATCAGTATTCAGGTACGTTGAACGTGCCTTCGACACTGGTTCCACCCAATTGCCATCCTGGTGTGCCTTTTGCAAAAAGGACTTCAGGTCCCAGCCAAAGAGCTGGACAAGGGACTCGGTTACGAAAAGCATTGTATATGCATCATCTTAACTTACTACCACCAAATCCTCGTATATTCCATGGGTGTCCCATTTCGATGATAAATTGCTGGAGTAGAGAGCGGCAGTGAAATGTTCAGCAGCTTCGCTGCGACGTGCGTCATCCAAGGCTCTGATTCCGAGTTGAACACGTAGATATACCTAATGTGCGAGTTGCAAAGAATCTTAGTGTTGATGACTTAGCGTGGCTGAATGATACTTACTTCCAAGATATGACGAGTATCAGCATTCGGACAACCGGCAGCGAGTTCTTTGAGGAGCAGCATTGCCTCGTCATGTCGATCTGCATTGAAGAAGGCGATGGCCTGAAATATGGAATGAAGCAGGGAGTATGTGAGGCAACTTTAACGTACCTTGATCAAGAGCAGAAAATAAACGGTATCTGGGTCTTGGTCGGTGTATGCAGATGCAACATCAAATGTTATCCTCGCATCCCGGATATGGCCTTTTCCGCAGAGGGCAATACCCTTGGAGATATAGCCTATTAATGAAGGCCAAATGCTGATGGACTATGTCACCGTCGAGTTAGCCTTTCATAAGAGGCGATGATAGGTCAGTGAATCTCACCTTGACGGCATCCTGAAGGGCATGATCCCAGTCGTGTTTACGGGCCATAATGAAGGAGCGATGGGCATATAGATTATGGTTCGCTTTGGTGTTGATATTTTGCGTGAGCAGTTCTTCTGCAGTAGATAAGTCTCCATCTATGCATGCATCGCGGGCTGTCGCGATGGCTAGGATCTGCACGAAACATGCTCGAGTTTTGGTATATGAGTCAAGGGCAGAAACGTGCCTTTGAATTGACATTGTTGTGTACTGCCCACTTTGAGATTATCTTGTCGCTTCTGCTGAGGATGTACTTGCCGTCCAAGGAGAAAGTGACAGATCCCGGCGCGAATGAGTGCTTGAAGATGGCAACGGTTTGTCGATCTGAGAGCTGCCAGAGACGGACATGATTGTTATATGATGCAGAGGCGATGAATGTGCAGGCAGGATTAATGGCAATGGCATGGATCTGGCTAGTGTGACCTGTCCAGGGATCACCGACCTGCTTCCAAGTTGTTGTATCCCATTCGCGTATGGTAGGATCGTACGTATCACCGCCTGTGAGAAGGCGTGTGCCATCCGGCATCCATGCGAGTGCCAAGTTGTGTTTTGTGTGAGCCTTGAAGGATGCGACGTGTTCCTTCATGCCTGAATTATAAATTTCGACATTGTCATGTGTTGCGAAGGCAAGAAATTCTCCAGATGGCGAATATCGCATACAGCACACACGACTAGCATACCCGACTAGATATCCTTGTCCTTGTTGCTCCCAGGTTTTGGTGTTCCACAGCTTCATCTGCCATCTATCTCCTGAAGCGGTGGCCAGCACTTCTCCATCAGGAGAAAAATCCAGCGACAAGATCGAACTTGAGTGGGCTTTAATGGGTCGGGTGAGTGCTTCTCCAGTTTCTCCGTGCCAGATAATGATCTCTCCGACAGCATCACCGCTTGCTATCAATTGCCCATCTCGTGATACAGCCAGTCTCCACACCTCCCTGCGATGCTCCTTCATCTTCTTCAACTCAACACCTGTCTTCAAGTCCCACAGCCGAAGCGTCTTGTCCTTCGAGCTCGTAATCATCCTTCGTTTATCGGGGAACACTGCGACTGCTCCTACACTGTCTTCATGGCCTTTAAATTCTCGCACGGGTGTAGTGATTAGAATGAGCTTCGACATTTACTGGAGATTGATAGCGTTGAGAACGGTCGAAATGGACTTTGGAGGGATGCGGACGTCTCTGAAATGGCTGGTCTCGGTACAAGTCTAAGGAGACGTCAGGTCTTCGGTCTTGCGATGCTCTGACGGAATTTGAAGACGGCGGCCAAGCATGGCTGACCATTACACACTAGGGTGTGACATGGGCGTTGCCCGGATATCCACCCGCGGACAGAACGTGGGAGTCCCGGATGGTAGTAGTCAGGCCCATGACTTCTCGCTTAAGATGTCAAAGAAGTTCGACTTGCACCCTGAAGCTTCATCCGATTGGTGGAGATGCTCTAATTATAAAGGTGAGGTAAGCAGTGGAAGATCTGTGATATCGTAGCGGCGCTGGGAAGCGCCAGTCCCCGACTTCAACTTCAAAAATTGACGACAAATTGGTAGTAAACAATCTATCTATATAATAATCAGGCGCTTCGCAGACCTGATGCAGCACTACTTGAAATTTGACAATAGTATTCGAGCCAGGCTAATCATCATCAGCCTCCAACTCAATGTCAAGATGTCATGGCTCTCCGTCGATAACTTTGAGTTCTTAGCAGGTGACTGACCTCCGAGCTCGTTAGTAGCCTTCCTTTTCCTTGGAATCATGGAGAGCTTTCTTCGTGTAGGCTGCACATGGCAGCAACTACATACGCCGAAATGACTGCTTTTGAAACAGGCATTAGTCATTCCCGCTCTCGATCTGTACGAATATCTCTCACCTCTGCCAGCGCATTCTGTTTGAATTCTAGACGAGCTGATACGTCCTTGACAGAGCGCGAGACAAATTCCTGTGATAAACGTTCAGTATCGAGCACGCCAAACTCACGAGCAAGAATCTGACAGAAAACAGTCTTATCCGAGAGTAAATAACAGCTCAAGAACGAAAAATATGCGAAATAGATATCACCCAAAACACTTGCTCCAGCATGAAATAGGTGTAGCACGCGTTTGCCGGGCATGATTAGCGAGTGCATCTTCGATGAGAGACCTTGTTGTAGAGTGTGCGATAGCGTGACGCTAATCAAGGAATACATGTCTGGATGTCCGTGCGTTTCAGCTTCTCTAAACGGCGAGCAAGATAATCAACAGATGCTGAAATCCACTGTAAACTTGAAGACATGGCTTTAGAGGCTTGCACAGCTGCTGGATCGAGAGCAGGGAGATACCCTGATGACAGGAAGAGTACGTAGAGCAGTTGCCACCTCGAAACCGTACAAGTTCTGAAACTCAGCAGCAAGTAAAGTGCCCCCGTGATCTTGTGCAGGTGGGACTGATGCGGTCAAGAGACTCTCCGACTCGGAGTCGTACTGGGATGGTTCGAGGGAAACACAGACATTTTGAATATCATGATTAATGACAGCAAAACAAGCACACAGAAAGAAACCGAAAAGACACACACACAAGTTCAGCTCTAAAGACGACAGACAGACTTCGAGCAAGTTGTTGATGATGAGTTTATGTATGACATCATCATCTATTGTATCTATATCGATGAATCATCAATCATTAATCAACCGTACAGTTTTTTCGAAAGTGTTCCCACGCATCGAGGTATACACTGCAAACTGCCGCAAACCTTTGGACACATATCCAAATCGGGGTACCATGTGCCAAACCTTTAATAATATTTTCTGAAGGGTTTTCTCGTCAGAAATTGCTGACAATTCAAAAATTTGCCTGAGCGAGCCAGTGGATGTGTGATCTAAGATATCTTTACTAGGAACCTGACAACATCTATGAGACCTCGGTGGAACATCGACAATCGTAGCTAGTCGTTATACTGGATTAAAATATCTTTAATATCTGGTTTCAATAGGTTGCACAGAGGTCTCGTTTCATATGTTGTGCAGATATTTCATTTCATATGTCGCACAGATATCCCATGTGTTGGGTCACACAAATGTCTGATTTCATAGGTCGCACAGATGTCTGGTTTCATAGGCCGCACAGATGTCTCGTGTCATAGACAGGAAGTATATATTTTGGTTGATCTCGCACACACCTCAGCCATTCGGAATCAATCAGATAAAAAGATTTAAATGGAGCACGCTGAGCGCTATTGTATTAATAATGGCGGGGTAGACATGATGATAATTAATGCGTAGATATGTATAGTGTTTAATGCAAGTGAAGGAAGGTCTCGTGAAATTATTTACCAAAGGAGTGAATAGTGCTGGTCATGGTGCGAAGAGCTTCAGAACAAGCTTCGTAGTACTAGGGAACTCAGCCCCAAAACAACGAGTCCTGAATAGTCATCTGCCACTGGGGACTAGTTGTTTTCAGGAGCTTAGGAACGACCATGCTCCCTGGAAACTCGACAAGGTCCATTTGAAAGTATTCAACGAGTATGCTATGGAATGATCAGCAATTGTGCACACAGCGGAATGACAATATACTTACCTTCATACTGCGTTTTCGTATATGCTGTGAGCTGACTTTGCATAATCTGGTCCTGCCTCTTCCCTTGCAGCTTGGTGGACAGCTTTGAGCGAGCAATCCACATAATTCCAGAATTTGCGGGAGGTGAACTTGGGAGGCTTGCCGTTCTTTCCCTTGATGAATCCAGAACCGGCATCGTCATCCTCATTGCCTTCGGGTTCTTGCTGGATGGTTTTCTTCATCCTGATTCTGTTCTTCCTCTCCGTTGTCCATTGTGTGCTCTCCCCCCTCCAAGGTTACCATCATCATCAGCCTCGTTGCTCACGCCAAGTTTCTCCTTCGGAACTTTGTCATTCGTATGGTCCATGTCGTCTTCGGCATGTCTGCATGCTGCTGGTCATTCCTCGTCTGCGTCCATGTCTGCTTCGCAATCGAGTGCCATTGCAATTTTGGTGCGGAGGTCTGCATGAAGAGAGGTTTGAGTGAGCTTGAGTAAAGGTCCTTGAGTGGGATAGCTTTGTAGTCGCCGACTCTGATCAAGAAGATTCTCAAGCAGCGCCGCTAGACCCCGTGTTAAACACTTGATAACTTTTATTAGAATTAAAACATACCAAAAACGCGTATATCTATTCCAATGACCAGCTTCCACCTCAATTATTCCATGAGCGAGTGACTTAGTTGTGTCCATAATGCTCATGCATTTGGCGATCAATGCGACCAACTTAAAGATGGTCAGTGTCATGATGGCTCGTATGGACTAATGAAAAAGATACCTTGGCCTTGAGGTTGCCACGAATAGACGAGAGCAATTCACTGACGATCTTCAAGAGCTGTGCCAAAAGCTCGACATCTTGAATCAGCGCAGCCGGCAATTTGAACACTTCACGATGATTCTTGATAAACTCCTGCTCTAAAGTCAATTCCTGTGCATGCAAGAGGTAGTGTAAAAGGTACCATGGTGTTTGTGTGTGTGTCGGTGACATAAGCGGTAATGTTTGGCGACAGGAGACAGGCTGTTAAACGACTCTGAAGCGCCGACTACATTTCAATCTGGTCAGCATGGTGCCCTCTGAGAAGGCAAATAATGACCTTGAAATCCTTGGAATCAATCAATTCTTTCAACTCGAGGAGAGCAGCCTTTTCTTGATCCTCGTTCCTCTTGTATAAGGCAGCTTTCAAATCAATGAGCATGTGAAAAATGGATCCGGTGTAGAGACTCGTGTTTCTGCAGGCTCATATGGGCTCATATTACGAATTCTGATGACTGGCCTTCACGGCACAACTCGCACCATCACCCTCTAGTCATTCCCTATAGAGCGCACCACTTTCCCGCGGAACGCGCCATAGGCGCGACACTTTCCCGCACAACGCGCAGTATTCCTGCGTGCGCGCCTTGCACGCTTTTCTCGCGCTTAAGCGCACTATGTTGCACAGCATCCAGGAGCATCCATCCATCGTCCAACCAGTCCCTTGGTATGTCCCTTTTCGTTATCTGACCATATTTGGCATATTACACTTCCCATTTCGTCATGGACCCTTACTTTACATCACTTTACATCACTTACATACTTAGAGTGCTCCCTATTCGGCTCCAAGCCCTGGGAGAGCGCTTAGGTAGAACTTACATACTTTCATGTTCGTTTTACACCCACTATTCCACCTTACCTTCCTACCACTCAGTATCTATCATCAGTTAGTTCCATGCAATGCATGTGTCCTTCATCATCTTGAGGCCCTAGCATCAGTCTATAGCTAGTGGGCACTATCAGTATCCGTCTAGATCCGCACTTTCCCTCTTATCAGTCCCAGTATCCGTCTTCTACACTTGTGCACTGCTTGCACTACCTTCCCGCGCTCCGCGCACCTTCGCACTTCACTTTCCCGCGCGCGCCTTCAGCGCATTTCTCGCGCTTTCACCCGCCATTCACCAGGGTTGTTCAGCATCATTCCGTGGATCCTTGCTTTCCTTGCTTCCCCTTTAGGGTCGAACGTTCTTGCATTCTGCGAGTATAGCAGCTAGGCAGAGCTGAGACTCACTTATACTGGCTGAGCACTTTTCTTATATGTGCCTGCCAGGTTGTGATCCCACACCGGCCTAAATGTTGTCAACAAAAGTGCGCAGTCGTAATCTCGAAACACTGACATCAATGAATTTGTGTAGAACCTCCTGTGGGCATCCAGTCTCCTCAGCGACTTGGTTCGCATACATCTTGAGCTTTTTCGCCTGTGAGGGTGATAGCAACTGAGTCATGTCAAAGCCATCATCAGAGTCTGTTCTCCGGTGGTGCACACCAATTGTGATATTCTCATCAAGAGACGCTTCAGATGGAGTCTGCAAAACGACCCTACTGCTACCGCTAAGCCCATCAACGACAGTGTGAGAGGCTGAGTGACCACTCCCTGGTTGAACTGATGGGATTGTTCCCAGAGGTGAGCGCTCTCGCTGGATACTGCTATTCCTACTTCCAGATGGCCTAGGTGTACCAGAACCAGAAGGTCGTTGAAAAGATGCAGAAAGACTCCTCCCTCGGGGTCCCCCGGCAATGGCTGGCGACAACAGCCTGCTCGTCAATCCAGGCCCTCTGGCCTGTGAACTGCCTGTCTTGTTGTTAGAACTTCCAGACCTCACGGGGAACCGTTGGAGCAACATCGTCGAGCAGGGAGTTGGTTGAGTGAGGGAGGGTGAGGGAGACTGAGGGACATCACCACGCTTTTCCGTTCCGAGTGTGTCGTAAGTTTTGTTCAGCTGCATACAAACATCTGAGTCATGGTCGAGCACTCAAAACAGCCTGAGGGAGACTCGGAAGATAACATTAAAGCAATACAAAATGTATATATGTAGTATACCTGTCCTGGAGAATTCTAAACTACATCCCTCCCATCCTGGAGGATTCTCAATTACATCCCCCCTGTCCTGGAGGATTCTCAATTACATCCCCCAAGCAGGGCAGCTTTCAGTCTGCCGCTCTTGCTGTTTTAAAGCAGAGGGATGTTCGCACACTGGACCTCCGGTAAGATTCCCAGCAGTTCAGGCAGCTGAAAAGTTTTTTCAAGGGTGTTTCCGTCACGCTCGTTCACCGGCCGGGGCTCAAGAAGATTCGTGGCTTAGTGCCCATCCCGGGGATGCATAAGATAGTCCGAGAAATGGGGTGGGTGCTGTGACTGCGACTGTGTGCGAGTGTGAATGGCTTGTGCATGAGCCTGAGCCTGTCCAGGCTTGCTGTTGGTGATCTGGGTGCATCTGTGCATGAGCCTGAGCCATCCAGGCTTGTTGTTGGTGGTTTGGGTACATCTGTGCATGTGCATGTGCAGTGCGAGGCTGCAAACCTGGTAGCTCGGCTTGCGTGGGGTTAACGGCAGAGGTGTGGAGTTGGTGTGTTGCCAGAGGAGGTTGTGAGCGGGGGAATGTGACTGTGTAAGTAGGGTGCATAAGGGGTGGGGGTGCCACATGCGCTCCTCGAGGACCTGTATTGGGATATGAAGGCAGAAAAGGAGCCTGATGATGATGTGGGGCTTGCAGTGGAGGTCCCATTGGCAGCGGCAGGAGTGTAATATGAGGCTTGCAGTGGGGATGGCATGAGTGATTGGTGGGATGGGACCATTGGACCCTCCTGAGTGGGTGGAGACATGTGTCTCGAGGTCCCAGCAATGGGCTGCCCAACATCTGATGGCATCGTCTTCTTCCTGCCTCGTGTGCTGGTGCTGCTTGCATTCTTTCTTGGCTTGGTGGCTGCCTTTTTGGTGGAGAGTGTGATCAAATGCAGGGAAGTGGTGCAGTTGCATTGTGGACACCTTCCTCCATGGCGGTTGCACCTTCTTGAGGGCCCAGGGTTGTCACCTAATTTCTTTGCTGCCTTTTTATCTTTCATCTGCTGAACAGCTAAATTCCTAAACCTCAGCCGGATTGGTGACCCTCAATGGCGACTCGCGAAGCGCCTCAGGTATGACCAGTCGGATATGATCACAGTTGTGAATTGAGTAGGTATTGAGGAAGAAGTGCGGAGTAGGCTGATGGTTGATGACAGGCTTCGTTCGAGTGGTTTGAATCTGTTCTTGAAGTACATGTTGCTGGCGCATGTCTACGCATTTGGAATCAATGCAGTTGTGTTGAAGATTGCATGAGCAAATGACATCCTGTATGAATCTTCAACAGATGACTCTGAGTTTCAGAATATGTTACTTACTGACGCCATTGAAACTATTTCGTCGTTTGTAAGGTCGAGACATGGTAGAAAGACTGAAGGATGTAATGTAGGTCCGAATGAAAATACTTGCAGTGCGACATGGTCCACGGTTTTATCGATGTCGTGTGATATAAGGATCTCACGGATGCGTCCAATAAGCATCTATACACACATCAATGATTGATTACGGAGAGGCTCAAAATCATTTACCTGTCCATCCGCAGGTCATCGGAAAATGACGTGGCCATTCAAGTCGACTCGATCTCCCTTACTCGTCACTAGTGATTTGCCATGGTAGTAGGAAACGCCAGATCGAGAAGTCTTAAGGATGTTAGCACAATGAGTATGCTTCCATTGTACTTCGTCCATTCATTGCACTTTTCCACTTGCGCCAATGACAGTATCAGGACTTCCGGTGCCTAATGTACACTTGAGTAAAAGCACAACAGTATGCTGCCTGACTGACCTGGTAGTGGAGGCTCGCACAAGATACTTGATATACCAAGCAGGTGGGCCTGTTCTGGGCGTTCGTTGATATAACATAGCACCTGCGCTCCTCCACGAACCCATTTCTTGACATTGCGGTCAAACCAATATCCACCAGTGGCCACTGTGTTTCACGATGTCTTGGTATGCGAAGAGTCGACAAGTATCCCTGCTGGGCGCTGCGTCGATTACTGTGAATGCATGACAGTCGGAAAATGTGATTAAATGATTCATATCTCTCGGTGGAGAATATGATTGCGGGTCCGAAACGACGGATGAAAGCTGGAAGATGAATTAAGAAGTGAAACTTGGGCTTGCTGATAAGAATGCTCGGAGCACATTGCGCTGTGATGTTAAGAAAGTCCTCGATCGTTCGGGATAACCTTGCCTAATTACAAAAGATCAATCAGTCTACAACACGTTTCAACATTTCAGCAGTGCGAACTCACAAGATATTCTTCGGTATCCAGTATTGTCGTGTGCCAAACAAGCGCGACAAGTTCTCCGATGATGGACCAACCATTGACAACTGTCTGAGGGACGAGGTCGTACACCAGGAAGGGCATAACTTGGGCCAGGCTCTTAAAATGTTTGCCTATCAAACTGCCTTTATAGTGACATATGTAGTCCGCATTGAGAGAGGGTGCGTTCAGTCTGTCTTTGTCGACAGACTCGAGGCGGCTCTGAAAGATGTGCAGAAACTTCGCTTTCTCGAGGAGAAAAACGCTCTGACCCCAAAAGTACTTCACCACACCCAACAATATTGTATGCAGGATTTCAGTCGGTGTATCCAAGTGCATGTTGATCCCTGCGGGACAACATTGTGAGTGCGGCACAAACACCATCATCCTGAGCTTACCATTCATCCCAAGCAGCGGATTCATTGCGTCATTGAGTGTGGCACCTTGTAGCAATTCCTCAAACTCCTTTTCGAGCGTTGCGGTGACTTCGCTTTCGGCTGTTGCTGGTAAGCCCGCCCCTCGTTTACGAAGTTTCTTTCTGAGTTCTATGAGAGACTCGAGGATGGACGCCGAGGCGCTGTCACGAACACCTGTGGAGGAAACAGCACTCTGCACTTTTGTTGTGGCACCCGATTTCATTGCAGCTTCAAATTGATGTTGAATGTCTTCAGTGGTCTTTTCGGGTGTTCGTAAATTACCTGACTACGAGTGCAAGATTAGATCAGGTGAAAGACGCTGTGATATGTTCGCACCTTGAATATACTGTTATAACCTTCTTCAGATGCTTTATATTCTTTCATGCCCCCAACATCACACATCCTGCAAAAATAGTTGCAATTGAGACCTGCGTGACTGCATTCCTCAGCTTGCATAGGATTGTCGCCAGCAAGAAACAGTCCAGACGGAATAAGCATGACCTCCTCCTCATCTATACAGTCCCACGTAACAATGCCAGACTCTGCTGCCTTACTGCAAAAACTCAAGAGAAATACAGAACAAGTCCAGAGAAACATACCGAAGAGAATCTTTCATCCCGCGCATTAGTTCCATTGGAGTGGCATGCGGTGACGACGAGACGAATCGCACAAAGAACTCCTTCTCGAGCATTTCGCAGGGTAGATTTGCATTCAACATGTAAATGGTGTGATGTTTATTCCATTGCTTCGAAACGTTTCACGAAACATCGTCCATAAAGATTATCAAAGGAACCGCATATACCATTTGGCCCTTCACCTTTTCGCGCAATGGATTGGGCCCGAGTGACCCGTATTTAGCAGATGACGCTGTTGCATACATACATAAGTTCACATCCACTGAAAAAGATGACCGAAGTCTAACCACCAGTGAGTCCACAGTCAAGCTCATTCGTTAATGAAAGATCTTCATATGACTGTGCAAATATTGGAGTTGGGATGATTTCCTGTTCATCATTAATAATGAATCCTGCCTATCAAACCGTTTAAAATTGTACAAAACACAATGAAGCTCACTCACATCAGTTGGTTCAGCAGCGCGACCTGAGTGCATAGAGGATTTTGCCGTCGGATTGTTCAGAACCTTCAACACCACCCTCAACAGACGGAGAGCCAAGGAAAAACTGTTCTGGGATAAAGTAGGCTCCTGAAGAGTCCTTCAACAGCTCATTGACAAAATATATCATCCCGTCCACTCGAACTGCGGGAGGTGATGGAAGGTCGAGTAACATTTTTGTGCCGTTGAAGACCTGCGTCATCCCCTTTCCACCATCTTCTGGATAATCTTGCATTGCGAAACACGTAAGCGGATTTGCATAGTCCTGGAAAATAACATACATACAGCACCCTAACTCGAAGCGGCAATAGACGAACCTTTGCAATTGCATTCGCAATATCATTCAGGTAGAATATATTCCCTGACCGGGCAGTGACTTTCTCAATTGGCTGACCAACAAGATCTTCAATGAAGAGTTGACACTTCTTGGTCGCATCAAGTGAGGGTACATTTTGAACGCCGAGCTCTCTTGCCCAATTGAGTACCGCTTTCTTCTGGGCATCAGAAAACGGCAGGCGCGGAGAGCTGAACAGAAGCGATGTCACAAAATCCTTAAGATTGTAAACATGTGTTGCATAACTGATAACGGCGAGTATACTCACCGCTTGTGATGGCCAGGGGTAAGTGGGATTATCAGGAATGATATCTTTAAGAGTGTACTTTTTTGCTGGAGGTTCATAGTCTGTGAACACATTTAGGTACAAAACAAAGAGACAACTCGAATGCACTCACCGAAAATATTGATCCCAAAGTCAGGTGCATTATAGTCACATAACTCATCCTCCTTGTTCATAGGCGCAAGTGGTGTCGAGAAGGGGATTTCACCAGAGGCAAGATTTTCTTGCAGTTCGGCAAATAGATCGGTGAAGCGTTCGTTGAACTCATACGTCCGACTTCCAATGATATTGAATAAGTGCTCAGAGAGTGGGACCTCCAAGTCAGCCTCGGGCACGCTGTACGAGTCAAGATCCATCAGGCCATTATCACCATCCATTCCGAATGATTCAACCTCCACATCCGAGTCCATCCTGCGTTGTTGAGGCAGCCGCAAGTCCGTCTTGAAAACAGTATGAATTTTTGATGCTTGACCGTTCTTGAAATTTTTGGTGTGACGCGAGTGCATTTCGGATAGGATGTGCTTCTGGATAAAGCGAAGTTCCATGGTACGGTGCACACCATTCTTCTTGGGGCATACTTTGCAAATGATGCGGCTCTGCGCATCATTGCAGAATTGGAAAACTGTAAGAAATGTTATATTATCACCAGACAGACAAGGTATATAATGTACTTGTGCCGTCGACAAGATCATCCTTCATGACTGATTCGAGTCTTGAATCTGGATCTTGAATGCGTCGAAATGTGAGTGGGAGAGGTGGCGAGTCACGTGGCATGCAGATGCGCAAGAACTCCAAGTCCAAAATCCCACACTCTGAATTCCTGTCAAGCGCTTGCACACAAGATAACAATGCCTGGAGTGCTCACCAATATTGCAACTGTCTATCCTGATGTCCAAAGCCAAAACATGGATGACGCTACGCTCAAGCCGTTATTTTTCACTATCAAATTTGCCGGTACCCTTCCAAAGCATCTGATAGAACAGAACATAGTATGTTAACTGCCTCTTGCAATTTGCAAGACTTACTTACGTTCTTTCGCAGCCTATCGAGATATCAGTCTCAATTGCTGAGGAATATGGATGTTTTGCCATGCCTTTTGTCAAAGCTATGTCCATGTCGCCAGCGATAGACCAGTGGCGATGCGATATTACTGAAAGCGAGTCCAATGTGAGCAAACTTTGCTGCGTCTGACGTGCTGAAACTTACACTGCGCTTTAAGTTTTCCGATGGTATTGAATGTGTTCCCTCTCACGATGAAATCCTCATCCCGTTCTTCCCCCTTCCATCAACGTTCGACTACAGAAATCGAAGCGATTGGGAGAAGCTATCAAAAGAAATTGAGAAGTGGCTCGTGCAACTCAATACTAAGTTGCCGCAGTGGATGTGGGGACGGGATGCATTCTGGCTGGCATTCATTGCCGCATTTCCCTTCTTCCCAAGAGGAACGTGGCCATTGTGGAATCCCCGCGTACCATTAGAAGGCGCATTCATTGAACAATGGTTGGAGACTTCGGGTCATAGTAGCACCACAATTGGCCAGGAGACTTTGGCGATCGACTTGGATGATGCCGATAACTTGGGGGAGATATGGGAGGCATTTTGTAGGGATGCAGCCCTGTTCTATCCTTATCCCCTCATTTCTGCCGACTAAACTCGTTACAGCGATCCAGATGTTTTTTAAAGCAGGTTAGATGTACAGAAGTACATACCTTATCATTGTGCTCTCACTTGTCATGTTATGCGTCTCGAATGTCAATTGTATTTTATGCGATGTGACGGTTAATGGCCGCAGGAATATAGAGAACTTGCAAGCTTGAACAACCTGGCCATTGCAGGCATGGAATTGTGTGATTTAAATCATATAGACAGAAAGATAGCGCTCAGATATCTGTAGGATATCTGGCAGATGTCTGTGCTATGTCTCACGCCAGATCTCAACCACATAACTTATTTTAATCTCCCTCAGATGTTCACAGCGCGACATTTGTACAGCCTGTGACTCATACACACACAGCCTATTACCACCTTTGTAGGAGATTGGGCAAAATTCTCTGATAGACCTCCGGATTTGCGCCTTTACTCAATGATTTTTTTATTTATCACACAAACACCCACCACAAATACAAACCAGCTGGTTCCCAGGAGCACTAAATCATTTTCTCGTTAGCTCGGTTTCGCCCAAAGCGGCAGTTGGTAGTGTAGGTGTCTGGGGATGTGGATCCGACAAAACCCTCCTCCCACATTCGTGGGAAGTCGGGGATAATTTTAAACATTGCATAGAAATCTAGCTAGTAGTACAGTACACCACAGGATAAAACGAACTAAGAGGAATCTGTGTGCGATATATGGTACCACTCCTTATTTTACAGCTTTCAGCATTAAGCGCAAGATGACAGCCGCATCCTCCACTCTCCGAGTGCTTCGACAGTCTGTATACCGTGACTATATAGTAGTTTCATAATAGGCAGCATGTTTTCGACTGATACCTTCGCCGGCCGGGGGGACATTGGAATCGCCGATCATCCGACAATAAGAGCAGTTTGACTCGAATTGGTAATCTTCCAACGCATAGTCTATTCCTGAACTAATACTACTGATAGTTGCAGGTCTGTCCGTGCTGAAGAGTCGCATCAAACCTACTTGTCCGGTCGTGATCGCGTCAGGAAGTAGTGGATTGCGGGTAAGTTGCTAAAATTCTGCAAAGATATAATTATGTTAACTTTGTATGCGTCTTCCCTATCTACTAGTATCTGGAATTGACGTGAATGATTCATTGAATGTACAAATGAACCTTGCATCTCCCGGTGGCCATTCGAGCCTTCCTCCACCTCCTACTTTCTTTCCTCATTTCACCCATCGTTTCTGATTCACAAGAGCATTGGTATATGCAGAGCTCTTTGTTCAGTATAGGCTAAGACACATTCCTTTGAGGTCCACCTATAAGAGACTACTTTTCCTGCAGGCGAAGGGATCACCCACTTATAGGTGTGCTCCATACCTTAGCACTCACCAGACGTCAGTTCTGAAGGAAATCATTTTGCGTGTAGAGCACTGCGACGGAGCACTTCACGCAGCTGAGACTCTTCAAGAATGGCGCTTTTCACGAGCATACCCAGTCTATCTATCTTGTGGAAGGTGGAGTGAAGGTAAACGATCTTCCGGAACAGGCGAGCGTCATTTGAAGCGTCAGAATTAAGGAAAGGTAAGAATTTTGCGTGTAACTTGTTAATACTTGTGCTTTATTATTAACTGCAGTTCTGTCACCGTCAAAAGCACGCGAAAACGAATTGTTAAAATCTTTCGCGAGCGTCATGTATCTTACATGGCGTTTTGTGTCCATAATTCCAATCCCGATGCGTATCAATGTGGCATATTGACTTCTTTTGATAGGTTTATTGGAGGTTTGGAGTCAGCACAAGTCGCTCCATCTAGTCGGGACGCCGTGCGCCCGTGCCCGCGCAGTTTCTGAGTCAGCTTTCACCTGGATCTATCAAGGCAACTTACAACTGTCATAGAAATATTGCTGGTTCAGATGCAATTATCGTGAACCTAGGCATGGTGTCCGATGACACAGGTGGGCTTATGACAAAGTATGGCGCCAACTTGGTGATGATTCGATCACAGATACACGGTTATTGACTGACTATATTTTCCGGTGCGATCACATGGATCGTGACAGACCTAGACCTAGACGAGCGAAGGTCACTGCACCTTTCCGACCGATTTCTCAGCAATTGAAAGCTAATTGTTGGCCAGCAACATCTGTCGAAAACATCATTGAGATTATCAACCCCTTCTTTTCGACGTAGGGCAAATCATTTTGTTGGTGTCTAAGTTAACGTCTGCTGTCAAGTCAATATCTGTGTACGCATATATGATACTACACAAGTTTGCGTCAAAATACAAACGAAAACCAGTCAGATATCTTTAAGAGACTCCATACAGCTACAGTATCTCTAGTGTCCTGATGTCCATCATGTTATCAACAGAAGTCATGTCTTTAACCTGGGCAATGATATCATGATCCGACGCGATCCTCTTGAATTCTCTGTTGCGTTGCCGCGCTAGCAAGAATGCACCGAAAGGCTGTCCAAGGCGAACAATCAATCGCAATGCTCGCGAGTGAGAATCCGAATAAACCAGCTCGTTTTGTGCAGCGGGTGAATCGTGTAACGGAGAATCGATCACGGACCAATTGTCCACGCTCTGCATATCGTCTGTAGGGTCATCCAACTCAAGGAGATGGCGACTCCATGGACGAACGAGCAAGATCGTCTGCCAGGCGGGAGGCGGCCTTGCCGGCGAGAACGGGGTGAACTTGTCTCCTGTGGTGATCTGCAGGTCGTGAAGCCCGTCCGATTTGAGTTCATATGTATATGCGTCCTGGTCTCGACCTGACCTTTGCCTGGCTTCTGTGACGGGGAATACCATGCAAGGCAGATGTAACCGGCGGTGCGCAAAATGGGGAGCGTTCAGGTAGTCGAGTGTCTGATACAATTTCGAAGCCAACTCTAGAGCCACAACACCTCGCAGCGAGGAGACCGATGACTGAATCTCATCTTCAGATACAGATGGTAGCTTGCACGGTGGAGTTTTGTATGCAGTGATGTCGGCTGGTAGACAGCTGTTGAACTCTGATGACTTTCCGACCCAGTCCAGGGCAGTAATGTCCCCCGACTGAGCTACAATTTCTTGCAGGAGCCTCCCGAGTGCGTTCTGCTTCTTCTCGCCGTAATCAACACGTAGGCGGACGCCAAAGACGCCGGATAAGGAGTATGCAATATCTTCCTGTAACGTGGTAATACGTGTCGACGCCCACTGAAGTTTCTCTCGGGCGTCTCTCATCCCGGAACGGAAGGCCACGACAGCTCGTCGATCTATGCCCGTTGCGTACTCCAACTCCTGCATTATTGCAACGGAATCCTTGTGGTTGGGAGTGTGATGATCGAGGTAAAGTGTCCAATTCTTCTGGTAAAATAGAATGACTTTGGGAGCGAGGAATTCTTGAACCGTCCATCCGCGTGTGTTCCAAGCGCTATTTGCCAGTGCCCCAGACTTTGAGGAAGGTAGAACGTCCGACAGGTAGACAATCGTGAGTGTGGAGTGGTGATACCAGATGAACATGGAGTTGACCGATTCTTGGAGCTCAACATTGTTGCTCTTATCGATGCAGCATGTATCGCTCCATGCCCAGCGATACCCCAAACCACGAGCAGTTTTACAGAAGGACTGCAACTTTGTGATGCCGCCAACCGGATCCAAACCATAGACAACCTTGCCTTGGATATCCTGCAACAGCGGCTCCTTCCCTTCCCACCTGTGTGACAGCATGGCATATTGGAAGTACCTCCTTACCACTACTTCGATGCGCTTCATTCGGTGATCTGGATACATGATTGTTGATGATACAAGCTCCTTGTAATTTATGCTCATTTTGAAGGTGCGAATCTGCGCCTCTCGATCGCATAAGAGACCGGTGGTGGTGTCCAGTACACGCAGCGGAGCATTGTCAAGTTGAGCATCGATGACCTTTCGAATAGCACGGTCCACTTCGGATGGACTGAAATACTGTTGGCGCAACTCTGCAGAAACAGTTAAAGCATGTTGACGTATGAGTTATTGAGGCTTACTTCGTGCCCGAGTATCGGGAGCATTGTCCAATTTGAAGAGCATGATTCGGAAGGCTTGTATTGCTTCATCGTAACGTTGTGCACCATGAAGCGCTGCGTGCTTCAAATTGTATCCGAGATAAGATAAAGAGTTGAGTTCGGTGACCTATATGTCACCACAATAAGTATAGATTAAAAATGACGAATGCCATCACACCTTCTGTGCATCGAGAAGTGCTTCCATCCATAGCTTTTTTCCCAACCTTGCTTTGCCGCGCTTTACAAAGACGACATCAGATGCAGAATCCATGTTGATCACTGCCGAGTAGAGGTCAATAGCCCTGTCATAATCGCTTGCAGCGAGGGCAGTGTCTCCGTTGGTAAGAAAGAGCGCGCTGCAGTCTTGTTTGAAAGCTGAGTGAAATACCGGTGAGGATTATAACCTCGGGTGACAAAACTGAAAACTTGCCAATGGACCAGTCAATGCAGCTGGCCTTCGTTCTTTCGTCGATGTTGTCCATCATAGATCTGTGTGATTCAAGAGCCTCATAGACTTTGCCAGCGGAAAGGAAAGCCTGGCACCGTTTTTGGTGTGCAGCGAGCCACAACGATTTGAGATCCCAGCCGAAGAGCTGCACAAGGGACTCAATCATGAAATGCATTTCGGGTGTGTATGAACGTACCACCACCAAGTCCTCGTATATTTCATGAATGTCCGATTTCGATGATAGATTGCTAGAGTCGAGAGCAGTAGTGAAATGGTCAACGGCCTCGTCGTGACATGCGCCATCCAAGGCTTTGATTCCGAGTTGAACACGTAGATATGCCTAATGTGCGAGTTGGAAAGAATCTTAGTGTTGATGACCCAGCGTGGCTGCATGATACTTACTTGCACGATATCACATGCGCGAGTATCGGCATTCGGACAACCGGCGGTGAGTTCTTCGAGGAGCAGGCTTGCCTCATCATGTTGATCTGCATTGAAGAGGGCGATGGACTGAAACACGGAATGAAACAGATTGTATGCGAGGTAACTGTGAAGTACCTTGATCAAGAGCAAAAAATGAACGGTTTCTGAATCTTGGTTGGTGTACATGAATGCAACATCAAATGCTGCCCTCGCGTCCTGAATGTCGCCTTTTCCGCAGAGGGCAATACCCTTAGAAATATAGCCTGTCAATGAGGGCTGAATGCTGATGGACTGTGTCACCATCGAGTTAGCATTTTGTAAGGGTGCATCAGTTGTATGACTCACCTTGATTGCATCCTGAAGGGCGCAGTCCCAGTTGTGTTTTCGGGCCATTACGAATGAGCGATGGGCGTAGAAAGTATGGTTGTTGGTATCTGCGTTGATCTCTTGCGTGAGTAGTTCCTCGGCCGTAGACAAGTCTCCATTTATGCATGCATCCCGGGCTGTCGTGATGGTTAGGATCTGCACGAAACATGCTCGAGTTGTGGAATATGAGACAAGGACAGAAACATGCCTTTAAATTGATGTAGTCGGGTACTGCCCACTCTGAGATCATCTTGTCACCACCTGCGCTGAAGATGTGCTTGCCGTCCACGGAGAAAGTGATACATTGCATCCAGGATAAGTGCTGGGATGTGGCAAGGGTTCTTCGATCTGAGAGCCGCCAGAGACGAACGTGGTCGTCATCAGATGCAGAGACGACGAGGGTACCAGTAGGGTCAACGGCAATGGCATTGATATCGCGAGTGTGGCCCGTCCAGGGATCACCGACCTGCTGCCAGGTCGTTATATCCCATTCACGTATGGTAGGATCGTCATTATTACCGCACGTGAGAAGGCGAGTGCCATCGGGCGTCCATGTGAGTGATATGTTGCGCGATGTGTGACTCTTGAAAGATGCGACGCGTTCCCTCGTGCCTGGATTATAAATTTCGATATTGTCGTATGTTGCGATGGCAAGATGTTCTCCAGACGGCGAATACCGAACGTAGATGACTTTACTACTAAACTTGATTGGATCTCCTTGTTGCTCCCAGGTTTTGGTATTCCACAGTTTTGTCATTGCGTCCCTTGAACCAGTGGCCAGCACTGTTCCATCAGGAGAAAAATCCAGCGAGATTCGACTGGAGTGGGCTTTGATGGGTTGGGTGAGTGATTCTCCAGTTTCTCCGTGCCAGATGATAACCTCTCCGTCAACATCACCGCTTGCTATCAATTGCCCATCTTGTGATACCACCAATTTCCACACCCGATTGCGATGTCCCTCCATCTTCTTCAACATAACACCTGTCTTCAGGTCCCACAGACGAAGCGTCTTGTCGTTTGAGCCCGTAACCATCCGTCGTTTATCGGGGAAAACTACGACTGCGCTTATGCTTTTTTCATGGCCTTTGAACTTCTGCAGGGGTGTGTGTAAGGCTGGTAATGAGTTCGACGGGAATTGATGGATCATGAGTGATGAGTGAGTGGGAGTTAATTCACTAAAGATACGGAAAGCAAGGGCATGCCTTTATATCTAAGCGAGCGGTTCATCAAAGCGGAACAAAGGGAATTCCATCGTCAACGGAGTAGCACCCCTTACACCTCCTTCCCACACACAAGTGAGAATGGGTGTGAAACCGAGTGCAGACATGTGAAAACGAGCGAAAATGAGTGCAGACGTGTGCGGATGAGCACGAGCAAGCACAGAAATACACAGATATGAAAAAAACAACTAGAATGACTAAAAATGAGTGCGAGCGAGTGAAAACAAGTGCAGGTAAGAAGAAACACTCACAAGTGAACATATGTGTGCAGACAGGCACAAGCGAGTGCAGAACATGAAACATGGAAAAAAACTAGCTAGAATGGGTAGGAGTGAATAAAAATGAGCAGTATGACACTTACGAGCGAGTCTAGTACCGTATAGGCTACCGTGACTACGTATACGAGTCTGTTCGGCCACGAAATTTGAGCGCAGCTGCAATATATCAGTTACGAGATTGTATGAGATTACAATATTTCCCTTCATGTGAGAAGTCTGGAGCCAGTATTGAAGTCGCTCCATCTCAGAGTGAGAACGCTGTGCGTACGCGCCATTACAGCCTGGAACTATCAATGCCGCAACGGCGCAACCTAAAAGTAACAACTCCCATTTAGATATTTCTGGTCCAGATATAGTAATCATGATGAACCTAGGTATGATGTCCGATGACACAGGCCTTATGACAAAGTATTGCATCAGCCTGGTAACGATTCGACCACAAATACACGGTTCTCCAGGACACATTGACTGACTATATTTTCCGGTGCGGTCACATAGACGGGGCCAATAGACTTAGACGAACGAAGGTCACTGCACCTTTCTACTATACAAGTTTGATCGTCAGGGTACAAACAAAAATCGCTCAGAGATCCTTAAGAGACTCCATACAACTACAGTATCTCCAGTGTCCTGATGTCCGTCATGTTTTCAACAAAAGTTATGTCTTTAACCTGTGCTTTGATATCATGATCCGACGCGATCCTCTTGAATTGTCCGTTGGCCTGCCGTGCGAGCAAGAACGCACCAAAAGGCTGTCCAAGGCGAACAATCAATCGTAATGCTCGCGAGTGAAAATCCGAATAAATTGGCTTAATTTGCGCAATAGGTGAATTGCGCAACGGGGAAGACCGATTTTCCACGCTCTGCGTATAGTCTGCAGGGTCATGCAGGTCGAGCAGATGGCGACTCCACGGGCGAACAAGCAAGATCGTCTGCCAGACGGGCGGCGGCCTTGCCGGCGAGAACGGAGTGAAATTGTCTTTTGTGGTAATCTGCAGGTCATAAAGCCCGTCTGATTTGACTGCATACACATATGTGTCCTGGTCTCGACCGGTCATCAGCCTGGCTTCTGTGACAGGAAATACGATGCAAGGCAAATGCAACCGGTGGTGCGCAAAACGAGCAATGCTCGTGTGATCAAGCTGGACATAGAGTCTCGAAGCCGAAGCCACAGTGAAGGAATTTTTTCGCAGCGAAGAAATCGCCATCTGAATCTGATCTTCAGACAAAGATGGTGGGGTATATGGCGGGGCTGAATATGAGATGATGTCGGCAGGAAGACAACTATTAAACTCTGATGATTCTCCAACCCAGTCCAGGGCAGTAATATCGCCCGACTGAGCTACGATTTCCTGCAGGAGCCGCCCGAGTGCGTTCTGCTTCTTCTCGCCATAATCAACACCTAGGCGGACACCAAAGATGCCAGATAATGAGTATGCAATGTCTTCTTGCAATGTGGTGATACGTCTCGACGCCCACTGTAGTTTCTCTCGGGCGTCTCTCATCCCGGGACGGAAGGCCACAATGACTCGTCGATCTATGCCTGTCGCATACTCCAACTCCTGCATGATCGCGATGGAGTCCTTGTGGTTGGGAGTGCCATCGTTGAGATAAACAGTCCAATCCTTCTGATAGAAGAGAATGACTCTGGGAGCGAGGAATTCTTGAACCGTCCATCCGCGTGTGTTCCAAACGCTCTTTGCCAGTGCGCCAGGCTTTGACGAAGGTTGAACATCCGAGAGGTATACGATTGTAAGCGCAGAGTGGAAATACCAGACGAACATGGACTTGACCGATGCTTGGAACTCAGCATCATTGCTTTTGTCGATGCAACATGTATCGCTCCATGCCCAGCGATACCCCAAATCACAAGCAGTTTTACAGAAGGACTGCAACTTTGTGATGCCGCCAACCGGATCCAAACCATAGACAACCTTGCCTTGGATATCCTGCAGCAGCGGTTCCTTTCCCTCCCACCTGTGTGATAGCATGACATATCGGAAGAATGACATCACCACTTCTTCGACGCGCTTCATTTCGATATCTCGATGCGTGATTGTTGACGAGACAAGCTCTCTATACTCTATGCTCATTTTGAAGGTGCGTATCTGCGTCTCTTGATCGCATAAGAGACCAGTGGTGGTGTCGAGTACACGCAGCGGAGCATTGTCAAGTTGAGCATCGATGACCTTCCGAATAGCGCGTTCTACTTCGGATGGCCTGAGATACTTCTGGCGCAACTCTGCAGAAACAGTTAAGGCATGTTCATGTATAAGTTATTGGGGCTTACGTCGTGTCTCAGTGTCGGGAGCATTATCCAATGTCGAGAGCATCATCTGGAAGGCCGCAATAGCTTCATCGTAGTGGTGTGCGCCATGAAACGCTGCATGCTTCAATTTGTATCCAACATGAGATGAAGGGTTGAGTTGGATGACCTGTGGATCACCACAATGAGCATAAGTGAAGAAACGATAAATGCCATCGCACCTTCTGCGCATCGAGAATTGCTTCCATCCACAGCCTTTTCCCCAACTTTGCCTTACTACGATTTGCAAAGACAGCGTAGGATGGAGAAGTTAGATTGATCGCCGCCGAGTATAGGTGAATAGCCCTGTCAAAATCGCTTGCAGCGAGGGCAGCATCTCCACTAGTAAGAAAGGGCGCGCTGCATTCTTTCGTGAAAGCTGGGTGAATTCGGGTAAGAATTGTAGCCTGCGCGACATTACGGACTTCGGACTTGCCATTGGACCAGTCAAGGCAGTCGGCCTTGGTATTTTCGTCAGTAGAAACCATCATGTATCGGTATGATTCCACGGCGTCTTGAAGTTTACCTGCCCGAAGCAGTGCATCACACCGTTTCTGGTGTGCCTTTTGCCACAAGGACTTCAGATCCCAGCCAAAGAGCTAGACAAGACACTCAGTCATGAAAACATGTATGCATTATCTTAACGCACCATGGCCAAGTCGTCATATATAAAATGAATGGGTGATCCTGATGAAAAAGCACTAGAGTTGAGAGCGGCAGTGAAATGTCCAGCGGCTTTGTCATGATGTCCGCCATCAAAGGCTTTGATTCCGAGTTGAACGAGAAGATATGCCTATTGTGCGAGTTGCAAAGATGAGTGTTGATGACCCTAGCGTGGATGATACTTACTTGCACGAGACAACACGGGAAAGTATCGACATTCGGACAACCAGCAGCGAGCTCTTTGAGGAGTAGGTTTGCCTCATCATGTTGATCTGCATTGAAGAGGGCGATGACCTGAAATATGGAATGAAGTAGAGAGTGTGCGAGGCAACTGTAACATACCTTGATCAAGAGCAGAAAATGAACGGTTTCTGAATCTTGGTCGGTGTACATGAATGCAACATCAAATGCTGCCCTCGCACCCCGAATGTCGCCTTTTCCGCAGAGGGCAATACCCTTGGAGATATAGCCTGTCAATGAGGGCTGAATGCTGATGGACTATATCACCGTCGAATTAGTCTTTCATAAGGAGGCCATGATCAGTGCGTATATTTCACCTTGATTGCATCATGAAGGGCACGGTCCCAGTCTTGTTTTCGGGCCGTAACTAAATGAGCGATGGGCATAGGAAGTATAGTTGTTGGCATTCTGCGTCGATCTCTTTGGTGAGCAGTTCTTCAGCGGTAGATAAGTCTCCATCTATGCATGCAATGCGGGCCGTTGTGATGGCTAGGATCTGCACGAAACATGCTCGATTTGTGGTATATGAGTCAAGGAGGGAAACATGCCTTTGAATTGATGTCATTGGGTATTGCCCACTCTGAGATCATCTTATCGCCACCTCCACTAAGGACGTGCTTCCCGTCTACGGAGAAAGTGACGCATTCCGGCGAGGATGAGTGCTTAAAGATGGCAACGGTTCGTCGATCTGAGAGCCGCCAGAGACGGACATGGTCATCAGATGCGGATGCGACGAGTGTACCAGTAGGGTTAACGGCAATGGCAAAGATATCGTCAGTGTGGCCCGTCCAAGGACTGCCGACTTGCTCCCAGGTTGTTGTATCCCATTCGCATATGGTAGGATCAACCTCACTGCCGCCAGTGAGAAGGCGTGTGCCATCGGGCGTCCACGCGAGTGACAAGTTGTATTCTTTGTGAGCCTTGAAGGATGCGACGCATTCCCTTGTGCCTGTGTTGTAAATTTCTACATCGTTCGTTGTTGCGATGGCAAGAAAATTTCCAGACGGGGAATACCGTAAGGCAGCGGGCGACACCACCACACTCAATTGGATCCCTTTCTGGCTCCCAGGTTTTGGTGTTCCATAGCTTCATTGTTTTGTCCCATGAACTTCCAGTAGCTAGCACTGTCCCATCGGGAGAAATATCCAATGAGGTGATTTCAGAGGAGTGGGCTTTGATGGATTGAGTGGGCGATTCGCCAGGTTTCTCCGTGCCAGATGAATAGCACTCCGTCAGCATCACCGCTTGCTATCAATTGTCCATCTCGTGATACCGCCAATGCCAACATCCCATTGCGATACCCCTCCATCTTCTTCAACACAACACCTGTCTTCAAGTCCCACAGACGAAGCGTCTTGCCGTCCGAACCCGTAACCATCCGTCGTTTATATGGGAACTACTGCGACTGCCCTTACGCGTTCTTCGTGGTCTTTGAACTTTCGCAGGGGCGTGGTGCTTGCAATAGGCTTCAACATTTTACTGGAGGTTGATAGTGTTGGGCACCGTCGAGGTGGACTTTGGAGGGATTTTGGGTGACTTTCTCTCAGCTCCAGGGGTGCGTGTATTGTGCATTTTATGTTGCTTCCCTGCGTCAACTCGTTTCCATAGATCTTCAGGTCACTTGAGGCTGTTTGCCTCCACGCCTCCATCACCATTATTACGGCAACAATGCTCCTGGTACCTCTGCACTGTATACATAGGCCCGACTCTTCGGTCTCCACGGCTTCCAATATAATGTATCCCCTCACATCTACTCGTGATAGGGCAGTTGCTACTATCCTGTATAGACTCAAGATCTGCGTGTGCACCACATGCAATCGAGTTTGTTGTACAGCCTCGGAATTTCTTTACTATCGTCACCCGAATCTAAAACTACCAACTACATCCCACAAGCAACGCGAGGTTCGTCTTGGCATCTTCCATGCCAACACAACATCCTGGTTACAGAGACCCTGATAGGGTAGATGACTCGCACGTCAACAACACTTTTAAATAGCCTATTTCTACTCCCCTGCTAAATCTTACTTCGGAAATAGAAATATACAGACACAGGACAAAAATATCGCACCTGAACACACGCCAAGGGCGAGGCTGTTCCTCTACATCAATACCACATACGGAGGCCCGACGAAATATCTTCCACAGATGTCAGTCTGCACAGCTGCGAATGCACCTATGTGTGCCTTATCCGTCTGCGGGCTGGTTTCATTCACATTGGGATAGCGAGGAAGAGTGGGGCTGCCAAGATGGCGGGTGAAGCCCCATATCAAGGCTATATTTTGAATATATCAAGACACTGAGGGAGGAGGGTCGACTGGGTGCCGTGTTAGGCGACAGCATCATGGATAGAAGACTCTTCGCCCATCCGCTTGACGCCCGAGATGCGAGTGGGAGGTCCGAGACCCACTACTTCATCTCAGCTTTGAGTTGCACTGCGTATTCAATGGACCGAGTGATGATTAACGAGGTGTAGGAGTTGATATTTGTTTGAAAGACAACGCACAAGCAAGCCAAAATCGAGAGAGGGTAGATGACGACGATCACGATGGGAAGAGTTTGATACATAGAAGGGAATGTCAGACGCAGAGAAGCAAGGTTAGATCCGCGCACGCAAGAGATGTAAGGTTTTATTTCAGGAATGAATCTTCCTGTAGTTCTTGGCTTTAGCACGACGCCCGTCCTCTCGTTGTATGCGATCGTGTCAATCCCGTTTCAGCGGGTATGACAGTGTTGAAGGGAGGCCCTCTCCGCACTCTCTCAAGACGTTTTGTAGCGGACACGGACTTGTGATTGAGATGGTGAAGGATCACATGGGTTCTCGGTGAGGGCAACTTGAAACCACGAGTACAAGTTTCGCCAGCTAGTCCTCAGCGTTGCTCGACGAGGATGCATTGGGCTGTGCAGTTACTTACTTCAATTCATCCTTCTCAACCCGACCATTTGTTCTGTCGTCCTCATAGCTCGTGGGCACTCAGAATGCCTGGTGTGCTCATGGTGACAATATTAGTGATGTTGTTTGGCAAAAGCCTTGAATCCAAACAACCAGATGTATTAGCACGGTCCACCCAAGTTCAACTATGACTAAGTAAGCCAAACGTGACAGGACAAACAATCTTTTCCTTTTACCACGCCTTGAACATTCACTCATGGATGGATTTTTCAGGGCCTATCTCGAGTAATCATAGCTAACCGTTTGGCACCAGAACAGATTATTCTAGAAATCTGCTCTCTTGTGGTGCGGATTCAAAACCTGTCGACATGGACAATTCTTCGGAGGTTCTTCCAGCAAGCGTCCTGGCCCAAGTGGTTAACACAACAGAATCAAAATTTGTTGCTGTTGTTCTTCGCAGGTTCGAAACCTGCCTAACAACAGCGTTTTTTTCTATCGGAACACGCCTTGAAGATTTACTCATGGACAGTTCCTCGGGGGATCATCTCAACTTCGTCCTCGCCAAAGTGGTTCCCACAACGGAATCAAAATCCGTTTCTCTTGGACTACGCAGGTTCGAAACCTGCCGAACACCACTGATTTTTTTCCTATCGGAACACGCCCAATTCCTCGGAGCAACTTCGCCCTGACTGAAGTGGTTACTGCAACATAATCAAAATCTGTCTCTTGGACTGTACCAGTGCAGGTTCAAAACCTGCCAATGAGTTTTTTTTCCTTCCGAACACGCCTTGAAGATTCACTGATGGACGGTTCCTCAGAGGCTCATCTCAACTTCGCCCTGGCCAAAGTCGTTACTGCAACGGAATCGAAATCTGTCTCTTCGACTGACACTACCAGTGCAGGTTCGAAACCTTCCGACGAGGTTTTTTCTATCCGAACACGCCTTAAAGATTCACTGATGGACAGTTCCTCAGAGGTTCATCTCAACTTTGCCTTGGCCAAAGTGGTTACTATCACAGAATCGAAATCTGTGTCTTGGACTGTACCAGTGTAGGTTCAAAACCTGCCGACGACGTTTTTTTTGTCTCAGAACACGCCTTGAAGATTCACTGATGGTCATTTCCCCGGAGCTTCATTTCAACTTCGCCTGGCCAAAGTGATCTCTACGACATAATCGCAATATGTTTCTGTCGGACTTGCGCAGGCTCGAAACCTGCCGAAGACAAGGTTTTTTTCTATCGGAACACACTTTGACATTCACTCATGGATGGATTCCTCGGAGGCTCATCTTAACTGGTCTTAACCAAGTGGTTACCACAACAGAATCAAAATCTTTTCTCTTGCAGACGGTTCGAAACCTGCTGACAACATTTTTGCAGTGTATAGATCCTCAGAGCTCCGTTTTAACTAGGTCCAGACATTGCGCCGAAACCTCCTTTTTATGTGATAGTCTGTCCATGAAATAGAATTCACCTTCTCGTCTCGTGTGGATCGTCTCAGAAACATAAGGTATATTAAATGTCAATATTTAAATTCTCATCGATGCACACGTTCGTATTTGTCCATGATCCTGCAAACATCAGCATCCCGCGCCTCTCCACCACACATTTCCCCGCTGTTGCCCCCCATGACGTGATACGGCTCGAATTCAGTAGTGCAAGAATGTATAGTTAAGTCATTCGACATAAACGTGGTGCACAAGTATCGAAGAATACAACATCATCAGGTATCACATGCGCTTATGGGCGTGCACAGAGAAAATGGTCTGCATAAAATCCTTTTGTTCTTGGTCTGAATTACATACTATCCTCATGTTGAAAGATCGACGAGCAGAACAAATGTACATCGCGCTTATCCTCTCCGTTACTTCTTCATGCAATGCACGACTTGAGAAAGTATTAGGAAAAAATCGAAATAGATCACTCGGCGAACTGGATGCTCGAGACAACTTCATCGCGGACCGGTGAATACCGGCGATTGAACCTGCCCGCCCGTGATTAACATGTTTTGTGCCAGAAGTGAAAAGATCATACCATGCCAATAGCGAATTCGCAATTACTATTGAAGAATAAGTCAGAGTTTGCTCGCGGAAAACGATACAACTCAAATTACAATTGGCGTTGATAATATATAGACCAAACCAGACACCTAACAAGTTGAGTTTTGTGAAATGTGGCAAAACAAATGCACCAACTGTTTTGTAACGTAAGGAGCTGAAATGTATTCAGTGTCAGCCGAAATTAGCAGAATGGAACTTACCAAAATGGCGATTGAAAACGTCGCTAAACTTCCAACGATTCAAGATCGCAAAAGCACATGAACAAGAATTACAAGACCTACCTAGCTACCAAACAAGTTTCTACGGTCAATTGTAAGAATTAAAATGATTCAGAATGTGCGCCGCCTACCGAGTACCCACGCAATTAACCGGTCAGCTATTGTAGCCATCGACACAGTGCCCGATGATCTCTTCTTCAGAGTCCCGGCAATACCAAGGGTAGTGAAGATGTCAGCTGCCGCGCGAGAGGTAGATGCGAGTAAGATGATGACGTGCTGTTGATTCTGGAATGCTTCGAGGCTGGACATGAGAAATGCGTGGATAACGAGGATGAAAGCTACAGTCTGCGCGACCACACATAATGTTCCTGAAATAATGAACAATATTGGGAAACCGGAAAGCTTCCAGAGCCTATGGCTGTAAAATAACTGACTATTCGTTGGGCATGTGAGATATGCTGAAACTTGACACACTTACCTGCACAGTAGAGCACGTAAAGCTACTGAGCAATATCAGTATGTCCGCTGCGATGGGAAGAGTGTTGAGAACGGATGGATGAGTATATGAGGTAACCGTCATGGTCCACAGCGTGACAATTAAACAGAGAAAGTGTCCCAGTTGAAATGCCCTGAAACACATGTCAGAGCGCGAGGTGCACTAGTAGAAGGGCAAACCATACGCCACAGTTGTCACCTGTCCAGACGTAAGAACATGATTGTATCACGATGCAATAAAAACTTGCAATGATCTTCAAGGTCGGAGGATCTTTTGGGAACAGTTTGAAATACATAAAGGTTTGGGCAACAAAGCAGCCGTAGAACCCTGCGCTCAAAAGCGCACCAACTTGCATCGGTCCAATAACGAGGCGAGGGTCAAAGGTAATCATGACGGAAGTTGGTTGTTTTTCTTGATTTGACGTGGGTTTTATCGTCCGTGATATAGGGGTCTTTGATCAGTGTCCCAACAAGCAATAGCTATAACTCACCTGAGACACAGTCAAATAAGAGTCCGCGACAGATGCTGGTCTAATTGGGGGACATATTCGAAATACATTCATAAATATGTCTCGGGATATCATGATGTATCGGCATCTGGAGTCCATAGAAAGTTTCTGACAGGGACTGCTTATTATGTAATTCATGGAGGCGCTCGGTTGCGCCACATAATTATTTAGCTCATTCGAGTTGTGTAATGATCGACTTCATAATAACAACAATTGTGCGAGTGATAGACCACGCACCCTATTTAAAAAACCGCGACGTTTTAGGTACGAAAGATTTTTTCCCCGCTGATAAAACACGACTTGAACACTTGTCAGCGATCGAGTCGATCGAACTTGAGACACCTAGTACTAACTGACAAATACAATGATTTTGTTCATGTAGACTTCACGACACGGAGCTGACCACAACCATGATGTGGACTACCATATTCGACCTTACCTGTCACAGCGACGGTCGAGGAGGTTTCATAATGGGTAAGTGATTATCTTGCTGGTCGCTGACCTTATGATCAACTTCCTCAGAACGCGGAAGGCCGTTGCGTGTAGGTTCCATCCGATCATCCACGGTTCGTGTTTGCATCACACCGGTGGTGGGCCAACAGGCAACGCGAGATCATACCCATTGATCACAGCATTTTGAGGGATGCGACTATGAACTCTTATCTTGGTACGTGAGGCCTCGACTGAATTGTGCATGCAACTTACGCTGAAGAGCCGTAGACCTACTAAGCACCATGGTGCACGCGTCAGGATCCAACGTATACTTCTGCCCCGTCCTCGACTCGGAACTTGTCCGAACATCATATCTCGCGTACGTCGCTGCCCTGGCCATACTCCCTTATGAAACCAGGATGTATTTCACTGACTCCGGTCATCCATTCAACCAACTCGTAACGTGCGTGTGCTTTGGATGCGCATTGGGGTCGAAAGGTCTCGCTTCTCGCGTCCTAAACCGCTACCCGTCCTGCAACGGAGGACTTTCAAAGTTAATTGTATCCCACATCGCATAATGCTGTTCGTCCTTTCTCATCAAAGTCAATCTCCATGACTGACAGCGTCTTTCAGGATCATGGATAGTATATCCTTGCGTTCAATCGTCACTGACGTGCTATCTCGTCACCTCGAACTGGATAATCGACCCAGCGAGTCTGACCTGGGAGGAGGCGGAGGCGGTTTAACTGGTAACGCAGCGGAGCAGAAGCAGTGGCGGATTCGTAAGGAGTCTTTGGGATCAGAATAATCTGCTGATTCTAAACCAGTCGATGGATAGCCTTTGTTAGCCATGGTCATATTTAGCGTGAGTTGTAGAGGCTCGAAACCTCGCAATTACCACCCGCATCTAACATTATTCTCATCTCACCCCTCTCTGGACGCGCCTGCACGACAGCATCAACACGCAGAATCTTATAGCTGTACAGGCTAGTCTAGATTATCACTGTGTTTCAGTGGTCATCTTCTGTAACGCGGTCCACACATGTGAGATGAGAAAAGAACTCCTTGCAGGATCTTTATTACCCTCAACAGTATCACGAAAAGGCAATGAAAGTCGCGCCAAGATATTCTACCTCGTACATTGATAGGGGGAATATACCAGGTGGGACCTGGAATGGTGGCTGATGTAACTCTAAATAGTGCGTACGAACCAGAAATTTCGTTCTAGTCGCCTGTTCCAGAGTCGTCTTGTGACTTTCACAATTCGTTTTGCGTGCGAGACTGGGAGTGCCGGTACCGTGCGTAACTCCGTTTGCGCGCGGTTCTCTTTAATTCTTAATATGCAGTGACCCGATCTCGAGTCCTCAGGCTGTTCAGCACTGAACTCCAGACAGTTTGACTCAGTTACATGTACAGCTAAAAGATTGGATGATACATGTGAGAAAGAAATTACAAGTTAAGGCATGTTTCTATCAACCGAATTTCGTATGAGAGAAGAAGGGATTTGTGATGCGGCTAAATGAGCGAAGTAGCGGATATTCGACTAAGATCATAACTTGTCCCAGATCTATACAGTCGAACAGAAACTAATCTTCCGAATATGTATCAGAATCAGGATCATAATCATAATCAGAATGTAATAGTGCCTGCATATAGTCCTCCCCAGAAGATTCATCCCTGCAAATGTGACAAAGACAGCCACCGCCCGAACCGTCGCCGCCCACCAAGCCTTCTTCATGCCCGTCCCAATCGACGTTTGTAACCACTTCCTTAAGGAGCTGCACCCTATCGTCCATCAAATTCCTGCACTTCACTAGTCGGAGTTCGTGTATACCGACACCATGACTGGCTCGCATTATGACAATGTCCTGAAGTTCTTCAGCTTCACCGCATCCAAAGTCGATATTCTCAAGCTCTAGACCATGAAGCGAGGGATACGCCATATCCGAACTTTGTGTGCCTCCGCTCTGTAGCACAGCGACCAGGCTTCTAATATTACAGGTCCCGCTCAGCTGGATACTTTCGAGCTCCGGAAGGTCAGCGGACCCTACACGCCAGAAATCGTCTCGGAGGTAAAGGGAGGAAGTCACAAACAAGCTTTGAATTTGGCGACGAGGGACCATCTGACACATATCAAATATGATGGGTGGCTTTCTAGTGGATGAGCTGCATTTGAATTGAATTGAGAGTGGTATATCATCGTCACGAGGGTCCCAAAAATACTCAGATTTGAATGCCGTTGATGTGCCGAATTGGACGCCGAATGTATGGTACGAAAGACTGGCGCGCATTGACCGAAGGATATGACCAGGTCCGCCAGGATCCTTGTACATGGCCGAAAATAGGTCAGAAAGACAGCTTCCAATTGGCGCGAGATTGAGAGAGATCTTGACATTAACGGGAAAGGCTAGACATGAGAAGAGAGATACAGCATTTCGGAGGGTGCAGGCATCCAACTGCTATACTTTTCAACCGAGTGAGTGGAACTTGGTCGGAGAGCTCGGCGTCATCAGAAATTCTGGACGACAGCCCAAGCGTAAGCTGCTCCAACTCAGGCATACGTCTCAGAGCTGACAGGAGCTGCGATAGAGTAGGATAAGAGGCGGATCCTATTCGTCTCAAATCTAGAGTTCGAAGCCCACTAAAGATACAGGACGTCCAGCTGAAGGTGCACTCTGTAAGCTCAACGCTCCGAAGTAGGGGGGCTTGTCCTTGAAAAATAGCATCCGATATGGGCCTGATGACTCTTGTGTGAGATTTCCTCGCAACCGAAAATTTGAATGTTTGAAGCGACGGTGCGGGCTGCGATGATAAGCGGTCCAAAATGCGATTGACCTCCCACGGATATGAGCACAACTGGAGGAATTTGATTCGAGGTAACTGTGAAAAAATCCGCTGGAAACATTTTTGCAACGAGCCCGGTGACTTGTAGATGACAACCAAAGCGGCTTTTCTTCGATCTCTCAAACATAATGTCTAGCCAATTAGCAGAGACACAATTGAGAGAGGCCCAAAGAGTAGGGCACTCGAGGGCCACCTGGCGCCAGTGCCTGCAGACGTGCGTGATTATCATGGAAATAGGAGCAGCACAAGGGCGGGGTGTGCCCGTATGACTCTTGAGAGTGTCCTCTTCTACGATGTATGTGAAGACAGTAGTGAGAATCTCGGGTGGAAGCCAAGATATACAGGAGAAAGTGATCCTGCGAGAGCGAAGGCCACCCATGTCCTCGTTGAATCCGGCTATGTCTTTGTCGACGTGGCTGCAAGTCGCGCGACAGTGCTCAATGACGGTGGACCTCGTTCTAGGAATAATATCTAGGGAAGTAGAAAACGTCATCACCTACGGGGGTAATCAGCCTAGTCCATGCGAAATATCGGTCAGAAAATTACCTCTTGTTGGCTGGATGCAAATCAATGAATTTGGAACACTGAAGCTTGCGTTATGTATGTAGTATGTTGTGTTGTGCCCCCCCGATCGCGAAATGGACAAGCTTCAGCGTGTTCTGGGTCGAATTGCGAGCGGGAAGTGAGACGTTGAAAGTAGAGTATGCTTCAACAAGCTCCAGATGGCCTGTTCCCGCCACAGTATGTTATGGGTTCTATCCATAAGTAAGTACTATAAGTATTGGTGGCCCGGAATACTAATATTGTCATTAATGGAATCTTCCCGCGCTGACCATCCTTAATTCTTGCACTAACCCTAATTTTATGACATTTACCCTGAGGTGAATTTCGTCGTTTAAATCGACTTGATTCATGATCACCGTGAGATATTAATAACGGCTGATAACGATCGATAACGGTTTCAAAAATTGACTCAAACCCATAAGCATGAAGTCAGCTCTTGTGAATGTAATACAATTCATCATTTTGTGTGAACAGAGGCCATAATCAAGAATTCGCAAGTCAGAACATCATTCACCAAAATTATCGTAGCTGTTGATATAACAACGGGCGAAAACCAAACTTCAGATCTTTATATGCCATAATCGGGTTTAATGCATTACGTCGTCTTTACTTTCTGTCTACGTTCTTGAATATCTTCTCTGGTCATGCGCGTACCGAGAAGCACATCCCAATGGACGAAGAAAGGCTGTGAGAAATTTGACTTGATCCCGATGGCCTGTACGCCTCGTAAACACTGCTTTCGAGGACAGGCGGTAGTAAAGGGGCATACCTGATGATGTATGTCATGATAGTCTGAGTTATTTCCGCTAATCAATTGGAAAGGATCAAATGGGAAACTGTATCCACAATGATCGTCGACACCCTTGCCTGTGCCGTAGGCGAAGAAGAAAATGGTCTGTCGTATAGAAAGACAGGCGACTCGCTCTGCAATGGCTATGCCCAGGGTGTCTAGCAAGAAGCCTTCGAAAGGATGGCTGTAGAATGCCCCGAAGGCATAAGGAACGTAAAGTTTGTGGTGCACTGAGTGGATCTTTCTGTAGAGATATTGGTTTGTGTGCATCAAGCGGTGGAGGAAGTATTGCCAAGTGTCGAGGACAAACCTAGAAAGACATCAGAGGGAGTCACGGTACGTTGAATGGCAAGTACATCGCGAAGAAGATCTGCGCAGCTGGGATTCCCCACCAGTACAACCAATGGGTCATCTCAGGCCCCCGCAGCTCCAATATTTTCATTCCCATTTCCTTCCCAAAGAGACGTCGCACGACCAAGACCAACATTCTTCCCAAGCCCTCCATCTCGGTTTGACACCGCGCAACCGAGACCTCTGGTGGCTCTGTCAACCACGCTAAACCCACCAGAGTTTGCATCACATTTTGGAATATGACGGCGCGTGCGACCTCCCAAGGCGTTGCCAAGTTTTTGGATTTGACTTCCTCGGACTCGTGAATGCGATATTTATCGAGCCATCGCCAGCTAGAGATATCAAGACAGTGGAACATGAGAGACATGAGCCAAAACGTGAGCACCGGCGCAGCAAGTGCGACGTAGGTGTCTGGAATGTCATCGAATATACTTTGGCGGAGAGAAAAGTAGAATGGGATTCTAATTGGGGGAAGACATACGGATTCGCCTATCACGAAAGCCGGGCAGGTCGAGTTCATGCTGACGAGGAAGAGTCTTCTGGAAAGTTCTAGTGTTGTTGGCAGGATTACTGGCATAAATACTCCCTACACCATAAGAAACTCAAAAGCGCACTGCATTCAGGGTTGCGTGAAACCGGAGGAAGGCACTGCTTAAGCCTCTTCGTAAACCTGGAACAACGATCAAAATGATTTGGAGAATTGCATGATGGGAGTGAGTAACACTGCTTAAGCCTCCTCAGGAACTTCAGGGCATTTTCTCCGCACGGCTGATCTAAGATGCCTTTGAAATTGGAATGTTGTACGGGGATGGAGAACAAAATCCATCATAAGACCAGTCGTGTCACTCTACAGAATATCATAGGGCTCAAGGGAAAGGGATACATGATGCGCTCACTTTAAGTATGCGGATCACATTGTCCCTACCTTGGTCCGATTCAACCTTTGTAAGTGCATCCTCCTTCCAAGCTCAGGAATTGCAGCCAGTTGCAGGCTGTGCAGCATCATTTTCCGATGCTCTTGGCAGGATCGGATCTGATGAATACAACTGTCCTGATGGGATTAAGTATTAGGAACGCGACTTACGCGAGTGATCGTTGAGGCTGGACTGGCCTCCACAATATTCGCAGCGGAAACTCGTCACAGCTTTCACCTCCAGAAGAATGTCGAAATGTGAGGGTTAATATTTATCAAGCCACTCCCTGATTCCTGAACGGACGTAAGTAAAGTAAGTACCTGGCAAAGTTGGCCCATCATTGTGGCTGTACTTCCCCTCGTGAGAATAATAGCTGGCAACATAACGGCACCGGCGCCAGCCCGACCTCGTTTATTCCTTGTACTTATGTTTTGTGCCCATCTAGGGTGTGACATTGGAGCGGTGTATCCGCGACTGTGTGCCTGCGTGTCGCGAGCAAGGCAAGAAGTGGTGAAGAGCACTACGCTACGACAAAGCCCGAAGGACACTGAATGGCTCGCTAAACTACGGTGCTACTCGGCTGCCACTCGGCTCCTACCCCCGGGGTCCCCTACTCCAACATGGGTGAACCCGGGTGGCACCCGTACCCAATCCGCGGGTAGGTGGCACTCTGAAGGCCTACCCGCACCCGTACGGGTCAGACTATCACGGGTTTCATCTGAAACTAGTTTATGAGGTCTGTCACTTGGTACTTACCTCATCGAGCTTGATTTTGACGAGTCTGGTTCAGGGCATTCGGCCGTCAATCATTTCTCGTTGGGGTACTAGACCACCCGCGGGTACCTGCGGGTACCCGACTTTAGCAAATGCTCTCACCCGTACCCGCGCCACCCGCCACCCGTACCACCCGCCCCACGTTCCATCCGCGGGTGGCACCCGGGCGGGTACCCGGGTGGCCCTCACCCATGTCACACCCTATGCCCATCGAGCTACATTGCCTTTTTGTTTCGTTTTGCGTTGGCTAATCCTATGTGATTCTCTTCGACTCATACCACAGACTTGATCAGTCTTAGCCAAGTGGTTACCAAGCGTGATGGGACAGAAATCTGTTGCAGGTTCGAAACCTGCTCAACGTTACAATCTTTTTCCTTTCAATACCACGCCTCGAACATACGCTCGTGGATGGATCCTTTAAGGTTTATGTTAAGTAGTCATAGCCAACTGGCACCGACATGTTTGAAACTTGCCAAATGACGGGTATCGGAACACGCTTAGCTTGAAGATTCGCTCATGGATGATTTCCTCGAAGTACCATCTCAACTTCGTCACGGTCCTGGCTGAAGTAGTTACCAAAACAGAATCTAAATCTGTGTCTTGGATTGTACTAGTGCCGGTTCAAAACCTGCCGACAACAAGGTTTTTTTTTCTATCGGAATTTACAGATTCACTCATGGATGGTTTCCTTGGAGGTCTATCTTAACTAGTGGTCTTCAAGTTATAGCCAGGTGGTTACCACAGCAGAATTAAAATCTGTCAAACATGCCGACAAGTTTCCCCCCTATCTATCGGGATTCAGAACACACTTTGACATTCACTCATGGCCGGATGTTCATCTCAACTGGTCTTACCTTGACATTGACTCATGGACGATTTCCTTGGAAGCCTATCTAACTGGTCTTGGCCTACCATAACAGAGTCTATGAAATTCTGTTTCCCTTGGAGTTGGTTCGAAACCTACTGACACCATTTTTGCGGTGTATAGATCCTCGGAGGTCCATCTTCACTTGGCCCAGCCATCGCTCCTTGAATGTGATAGCCTGTCCATGAAAAGGAATCCACCCTTTGCGCCCCACGATGGTTTCAGTTTTTCCTTAGAAAGTTTTCCAGTTATCATCCATAATTTATGGGCGTTTTAGAAGATGATCCAACGAGAATACGATGCCGAGAACTTAAACACCATTCATATGCTGCCACTAGGTGTTTATTCCATCAAGCTCGTTCACTGTTTATTTACTGTAAGTTATTCTCATTCATCACTCTCGATTTCTTAATGTACTTGCAATATCACCTGACCAAGTGAAACCAACCTTCGTGAGTTGATTGTGTTACGACCACCGTTAAACATGCATAATGTTAGTGCTGTGGGCAGAACTATTTGCAAGCAGTTCTGCCGGCAGGACTGGCAGAACACGGCAGAACCAGGGTTGTGCCAGTGACACCCGGATGTGACCCACATTGACAAGTTACAAGACATTTGCCCCGCACCTCCATGTCTTCTCACCGTAACCTTTTCAAATGCTCACAGATGCTTGCGGTAACATACCTAGCACCTCTGCTTTCTGGATCAATCGTCGAGCAAACAGGTCAGCCGAGTCTGCTCAGTGCTCACTACTCTCATGGCATGCTTATATTTTGTTTTTTCTTCTTCATAGAAGTATCGCCCCACCGATCGGACACGAGGAAATGGAACTATACCCTCTGACTCACTTTCCGCCACTTGTTGTGCTGTCAGAGAAACCCAAGAGGCTGCGTCACACTGTAATGTGGCGTACTAGGTTGTCCCAGTTGCCAATCTCGCCACACATGTGCAGAGGATAAAAGGATGTACATGCAGTCGGTTTCTTCTCATTCTCCTGATATCACTTTTCATGTGTACGCATGTGGCCAGCGCCCGATATGCTTGCGGCTGCCCTGCACGCCTTCTACGGATTGGACCTGACTACCGAGTGCACGAGGGACCTTATACGATCGTGAGACACTCATTCTTCTCTTCGCTAATTTCCTCTGAGGACTTGTATTTCGTGCAGGACTGTCTTCGCACCACTTGCAAACGGAGCGCGTTCCACATACACCGCGTCCATGACTGCAGGTATTGTATAAACGAGTCAGTGCTTGCTCTGTTTTAGCGCCACTGTGGCAAAGTATGACGTTCAACAGGATGCAGTACCGTACGGAAATATTGGCCGAACTGTGTAATGCGAAACACTCGGGTCCACGTTTCTAAGTGTTCGGCACGAATTGGCCTCTGTTGCAATACCATCAAGCCGCTCAGTTATCTTCCAGCTTCCGCTTCGGCTCACCTTTTCCTACTTGGTCTCTCTTGGTCCACGTGCTTCAGGTATCGGCGTCATTGCGGGAAGAATGTCGAATCTTGAACAGCATCACAACTTCAAGTTCAACATATGTGTACAGTTTGCAAAGCACGCAGTATTTTGTCAGTAATGAAAACAATACAATTTCTCATGATGCGTAAATAGGGGCTATCTACACCACTCGAGTATCCGTGGTAGGTGGTATACGCGCATGCAAAGCATGAAAGTCGGCTCTTGTGAATGTAATACAATTCGTCATTTCGTGTGAACGGAGGCCATAATCAAGAATTCGTAAGTTAGAACATCATTCATTAAAATTATAGTACTTGTTGATATAACACGGGCGAAAACCAAACTTCAGATCTCTATATGCCATAATTGGGTTCAAGACATTACGTCGTCTTTACTTTCAGTCTACGTTCTTTAATATCTTCTCTGGTCATGCGCGTACCGAGGAGCACATCCCAATGGACGAAGAAAGGCTGTGAGAAATTTGACTTGATCCCGACGGCCTGTACACCTCATAAACGCTGCTTTCGAGGACAGGCGGTAGTAAAGGGGCATACCTGATGGTGTATGTCATGATAGTCTGAATTATTTCCGCTGATCAATTGGAAGGGACCAAATGGGAAACTGTATCCACAATGATCATCGACACCTCTTGCCTGTGCTGTACGTGAAGAGGAAAATGGCCTGTCGTATAGAAAGACAGGCGACTCGCCCTGCAACGGCTATGCCTAGGGTGTCTAGCAAAAGGCTTTCGAAAGGATGGCTGTAAAATGCCCCGAAGGCATAAGGAACGTAAAGTTTGTGGTGCACTGAGTGGATCTTTCTGTAGAGATATTGGTTTGTGTGCATCAAGCGGTGGAGGAAGTATTGCCAAGTGTCGAGGACAAACCTAGAAAAACATCAGAGGGAATCAGGAGACGTTGAATGGCAAGTACATCGCGAACAAGATCTGTGCAGCTGGGATTCCCCACCAGTACAACCAATGGGTCATCTCAGGGCCCCGCAGCTCCAATATTTTTATTCCCATCTCCTTACCAAAGAGCCGTCGCACGACCAAGACCAGCGTTCTTCCCAAGCCATCCATCTCGCTTTGACACCGCGCAACCGAGACCTCTGGCGACTCTGTCAACCATGCTAAACCTACCAGAGTTTACATCACATTCTGGAATATGGCGGCGCGTGCGACCTCCCAAGGCGTTACCAAGTTTTTGGATTTGACTTCCTCGGACTCGTGGATGCGATATTTATCGAGCCATCGCCAGTTAGAGATGTCAAGACAATGGAACGTGAGAGACATGAGCAAAAAAGTGAGCACCGGCGCAGCAAGTGCGACGTAGGTGTCTGGAATGCCATTGAATATACTTTGGCGGAGAGAAAAAATAGAATGGGATTCTAATTGGGGGAAGGTATACGGTCTCGCCTATCACGAAGGCCGGACAGATCAAGTTCATGCTGACGAGGAAGAGAGTTCTCTGGAACGCTCCAGTGTTGTTGGCAGAACTACCGGCATAAATACTCCCCTACACCACCAAGAAACTCGAAAGCGCACATTCAAAGTTCATGAGTTGCATTTTTTGACCCGATTGCAACGATCAAGATGAAAGCTGCGTGATGTGGGAGGCAGGCACACTGTTTAAGCCTCTTCGGGAACTCCACTCCCAGAACAACGACTCGGATAATTGCGTGATAGGAGAAGTAAAGCTGCTTAAGCCTCCTCAGGAACTTCCAGGAACTTGGCCCCGCAGTCAACATCTGCAACCTGGTGTTAAACACTTTTGTCGGCGAGTTTTTCGCACAGCCAATGTAAAATGCCTTTTAGTAAAGCCATGAAATTGGCTTATTGTGCGGGAATGGTGAACAAAATCCATCTAAGACCGGTCGTGTCACTCTACAGAATATCATATAGCTCAAGGGAAAGGAATACATGATGTGCTCACTTTAAGTATGCGGACAACTCTACCTTGGTCAGTTGCAGGCTTTGCAGTATCATTTTCCGATGCTCTTCGCAGTGATCTGCTGAATACAATTAAGTATTAGGAACGCGGGTGATCTTCCGTGATCGTTGAGGCTAGACTAGCCGCAATTAAAAGTAGCCGCAACGCTCTACAATATTCGCAGCGTAAACTCGTCACGGCTCTCACTTCCCGGCGAAGAATGTCGAATGAATGTGAGGATTATTTATCACTGAGTGGACGTGAGTAAAGTACTTGGCAGCCCATAATTGTGGCTATACTTCCCCAGACTTCCCCTCGTGAGAATAATAGCTATCGCCGGCGCCAGCCCGACCTCGCTTCAAGTTCCTGTGGTGCCCATCGAACTACTAGTACATGGTCTTTTTGTTTCGTTTTGCGTTGGCTAATCCTATGTGATTCTCTTCGATTCGTACTACAGCTAGGTATTAATCACTCTTGGCCAAGTGGTAGGCATGACAGGACAAAAATCTGTTGCAGGTTCGAAACCTGCTCAACAATCTTTTTTCCTTTTAATACCACGCCTTGAGCATTCGCTCGTGGAAAGTGGTTACCACAACAGAATCTGAATCTGTCTCTTGGACTGTGCTACTAAGCGTCGGTTCAAATTTGCAAAACCTGCCGACGACAAGGTTTTTTTCTATCGGAATTTGATTCAAGATTCACTAGCACTCATGGATGGTGTCTTTGGAGGTCTGGTCTTATCATAGCAAGGTGGTTACCGCAACAGAATCAAACATGCCGACGACAAGTTTGTTTCCCCCCGATAGATCGATCGGAACACACTGTTGACATTCACTCATGGGGATGGTTTCTTCATCTTAACTGGTCTTACCTTGACATTCACTCATGGACGATTTCCTCGGAGGCCTGTCTAACTGGTCTTAGTCAAGTGGTTACTACAACAGAGTCAAAATCTGTTTCCCTTGCAAAGCACGCGTTCTTTTTCCAGTAATGAAGACAATACAATTTCTCATGATGTGTAAATAGGGGCTATTGTCATTGCGAAGGAAGTTAGATCACAAACATTATCGTAGCTCTCATAACCTAGAATTATACAGCAAAAAAGGTGATGAAGGAAAAACATTAGGTTGCATGAGCGAATCGTGTAGTCCCGAATTGAATTCGTTGAATAAAGATTGACAAGACGAAAACCAAAAATCCAGGAATCTATATGGCATAACATCGAAATCGGTGCATCACGTTTTCTTGACCTTTTCCCTGCGTGCTTGAATATCTTTTCTGGTCATGCGCGTCCCGAGGAGGACATCCCAATGGACGAAGAAAGGCTGTGAGAAATTTGATTTGATTCCGATGGCCTGTACGCGTCATCAGCACTGCACAGGAGTAGATGGTAATACAGGAGCATACTTGATGGTGTATATCATGGTAGTCTGCGTTGTTTCCACTCATCATCTGTAATGGATCAAAGGGGAGATTGTATCCGCAGTGATCGTCGACAGTCTTACACGTGCTGAACGCAAAGAGGAAAATAGTTTGTCGCACTGAAAGGTATGATAGGCGCTCTGCGAGTGCTGCGCCTACGCTGTCCAGTAAGAACCCCTCCAAGGGATGGTTGTATAATGCCCCAAAGGCATAGGGGACATAGAGTCTATGATGCACAGAGTGGATCTTCTTGTAGAGATATTTGTTCGTGTGCATCGAGCGATGGAGGAAGTATTGCCAGGTATCGACGATGAACCTGGGTAGATATTAGAGGTAAGTCATGCCGGATTTTGAACGACACCCACAATGCGAATAACATCTGTGCAGCTGGAATTCCCCACCAGTACAGCCATTGGGTCACCCCAGGCCCTCTCGACTCCAAAAACTTCATTCCTATCTCCTCTCCCAAGAGATGCCGCACGACCCATACCAGTGTTCCTCCCAAGGCCTCTATCTCGCTCTGACACCGCGCAACCGATATTTCAGGCGATTCTATCAACCATGCTAAGCCCAGTACAGTTTGCGTCGCGTGTTGGAGTAGGACAGCTCGTGCGACCTCCCAAGGGGTAGCCAAATTCCTGGATTTGACCTCTTCTGACTCGTGAATACGATATTTATCAAGCCATCGCCAGCCAGAGATGTCAAGGCAGTAAAATACAAAAGAAAGAAGCCAATAAGCGAGCACAGGGGCAGCGAGTGCGATGTATGTGTCTGGAATGCCGTCGAATATCTCCTGGCGGAGGGAGAAGTAGAATGGAATTTTAACTGGGGGAAGGCATACAGTTTCTCCAGTTACGAAAGATGGGCACGTTGAGTTTAATGTTGACGGCCCTCCGAAGAAACCGTACGAGAAGAGTTCGCCCATCACGAGTCGACGAATGTGGTCAAAAACCCGTGTTGAGGGTTCGAAAGTTTGATGTGGCTTATATAGGCTTGTAATTATATCGCGCCCAAGTCATCGGCATCGGAGTTTTTCAGAGAGAATAAATCTCTCACTCTTCATTACAAGTCCAAGACAACGTCAACGCCAGCGCAAAATCTCCATCCAAACGCTTCAATTCCAAACCTGTGTCGAAATATGACTAAGTTTGCTCCATTCAAACTTTGGGTTCTGCAAGTTCAAGTCCGCACCGCAGTGTTAAATTTAACATTCGTGAGCGTTTTACTGGGCCACGGTGAGAACGAGGAACACTTGTTCGCAAATTGACCTGGACACGCTCAAGCTCGTTCATTTCATGATTGAAGGAACAGGAATTCGACCCGAGTTGGCGGTGCACGTCATATGCCAGTGTACGGTACTAGTACTTGGCTTATCAGGATAATTTGCACCCAGCCTGGATCCAATTCGGACAGCCTGCACACTCGTTTTGATCACTGCGGCTAGTTACTACTAGTACGTCCTTTGTACATTGCGAGTCATGCCACCGCTAACGCCTTTATCCTTTTGATGTTCAGTTACTCGTTCCCGTACAGGATCAAAGTAGAATAGTTTCCTACTCATGGAGACTCGCTCTGGGACAACGAGAGGTAATGTTTTTCTGTGAAATTTTGTAAGAGCTAGACTGATTACTTCCACAGATCCTCATCGATGCATCGATAACGCTTTCTGTTTCCGTATATGGAAGCAAGACCGCCCTCGTTGAGCAACGTGGCGCTCATATTGACGAAGACACGGTTACATTATCCGTGTGTGCCCTTTGGAGCTCGAAAGTATCCATCTAGACGACACCCTATTCAAGGCTTGCTCACTGCGCTCCTGGTTGGAGACGAGCAGAGCTCATGTACATCGTATCCTTCGCTTCGCGCTCTAGAGCTTGAGAATATCAATTTGGGATGTGGGGATCATTCGTTCCTTGGGAAGGTTCTCATACTGCGAGCCGGCTGTGGTATCGGCATACACGCTCCGACTAGCGAAGTGCAGGAATCTGATGGGCGATACTGTGGAGCGGCTTCAGATAACGGTTGCTGTTGATTTGGATGGGCGTTGACGGACGCCGATGGTGGCTGTCTTTGCCACAGCTGCAATGATAATAGTTCTGAGTCTTATGACTTTGATGCTGACGTGCTTTCCGGAGGTTTATTTTAACATGTCCGGACCTAATACATGGCGTTTAACACTTGTGACCATGTTATCAGGCTGCGGTGAAAACGAAGAATGCCGGCCTGAAGCAAATGACAACTGCAAAGTTCAGGTGCGCACAAAGTCCTCAAATAAAGACGACTGTTTTCGTCTATATCCAGATCTGGTTAGTGGAGACTAGCAACCTTCCAGTCTTGTAATCCTCGAGAACCGCATCCCGGTAAATTTCAGGTATTCATAAGGTAGATACAAATGCAATGCTCTACTCAGATAATCAACAATTAGTACGTGTTTTAGATAGCAAGGGCCTGCGTTGGTACAAGAGACAAAAGTGCGAATACAATCACCAGTCGGTCAAGAGGTGGTGACAGTCCGTAACAGTTCGGAAAAAAAGAAGCATCAGATCTCATAAGAGTAGTCCGAATTTTAGGATTCGTGAGTGGGTCGTTTTGATAGATCTAGTTCGGGGCGAGCATCACTGCTCGTTGAGGTTGTTTAAAAGAGTTGTCAGACATCGTTTGGTGACCATGTCTCCCTATTGACCCGTATCAGCGACGCTCTCTGGTGAAGAATGCAGACGAACCTTGAGAAGAACGCTGAATGTCTGATCGCGCAGCGGTTCAGGGAGACAAGCCCTTAGCGCTTCCCTCGCCCTGTCAATCACATCAGCCCCGCCTACCCAACCCACACCTAAAACAAAAAACCCACCTCATATTGTCACTAAGCCTCAAATAACACCTCACGACATGCTTCAACAACCTCACAGCCTGCGTTTCCACCAGCTGATTCACCATATTGCTCAAAACTGTCCCAACGGCATAAAACCGCTCGTAAGTGTGGCAAATGTACGTGAGACCCGTTTCGTCGAGTAGGATCTTTTGGACGATGAAGATGGCGACCGTTTTAGAGAGTTCAGAACCTGTTTCCATTATGCGCAGGCAGAGGGGGATGATTTCGGTCGAGAGGAGAAAGTGGATGACTGTGTTGTTGTCGTTTTGCTAGGGGTTGTGATATTTGGGTTTAGTATTTGAAATTGGAATTGGGATTGGAGGTTGGATTGGGGAGGAATACGTGGAGGTGAGAGAGAGGTGGGAGGGGAAGAGACGAACCTTGACGAGGGCGCCAATAACGCCCAGGGAAGTAAGTCTGAGGTATTCAAACGGCCGCGTTTTCGAGGTCGTGTTCAGGAACGGGTATAAAAACAACGGGATATGCGCTGTCATCGAAACCAAAAAGTCAACCCAAACCCTACCACCCAACCCAAGCACAGAACTCACCATTCAAAAATAACTGTCTCGTGTCCGGATGCGAAGCCACGCACTGGAGCAATGCAAGGGCATTACATACTCGGTTTGATACGTGCGCTGTGAGGTTCGGAGGGGAGAGGAGGGGGTAGACGGATACTATTTCTTGTAATAGCGCTGGCATGATACCTGTACCATTCCAACCAAACCACATCAATCAGCGTCAGTAAACCAACAAAACCATCTCAAAATATGTACCAAAGGAATGCCAAAGCACTAACGCAAGCTCCTCATACTGCTCCCTTTTCTTACTCAACTCTAGCAACGCAGCCTCGCGCGCATTAGGATCAGTGAGGTCAATAACAAGATTATATATCTTGCTCTCTTCTTGAAGACCCATGATGTGCTGGTGTGGGTGCAGGGAGGGCGTATGGCTCTGAGTATGCATGTGTGTGTCGGAGTACCCGGAGAGCGCGGACCCTGCTAAGCGTTGCTGCTGCTGTTGTTGCTGTTGCTGTTGCTGGTATGGGTTGAATTGCCCAGCATGCTGGAGGTATGAGAGCGGTTTGGGGGAGATGAGCCCCGCCATGGCCATGGTTTTTGGTAAGTGTGGTCAGTGATGCGAACCGCTAGTAATGTGCAGTGTGGGTGGGGCGATTGTCCTGACGAGTGTCTGCTTAGTAAGCTAACTTTACAAATATCCGGACCCTACAGCAACGAATCGCGATTAATGGGTTGATAGTATACGCAAGTCCAGGCGTCGTATAGCAAACTGTGTAAATCCACAACCACATGACTAGCCAGCAAACTAGCGCTAAATAGATGAAGAACTGTAAAAGAAAAGAAAAACAAATTGAAAGAAAGACTTGACTCCCCCAAAAACCAAAAGCCAAAGAAAAATCCAATAACTACAAAGGAACGTTCATAGAACAAATGACAATGACGGTATCGGGTGTCAGAACGAACTCGTTTGTGCTATGTTGAACAAAGCGAAGGTATTCAGTGAGCAGCGCACTTGAAGTGAGATGATGATAAGGAATGTGAGCAACCAAGATTAGGTCCCCGAAATGAATGGATGGGGCGAGTATGGGATCGGGTGCGTACATATCGACAAGATACATGGGGGATATATCGTCAGCGGTCGTCATTTCGTCTGGCGGGTTGGGGTGGGGGTGGGAAACGGATCACGAGTAGTTCTTCTCTAGGACCCGGGGCATCTTCTCCATTCGGACATCGTCGCCATCGAACTCGCTTTCGTAGTGCTCGTGTACGACGCCTTCGGCCGGTGAGTCTGTTACGGGCGTTACGGGTCGACTTGATACGAATCCGCCTGTGGAGGAAGTTGCGGTGATCGTTGATACGATCTGTTGATTCTGGGGATAGTATGATCGCCGGAGCATCTTCTTAAAGTCATATGATGCGAACCTATGTTAAATTAAGAGGATACGAGGAAAAATGGGGTGAAATTGCATACTGCTCTTCCATCTGTCTCATTTCGGCACTCAGCGTGTTAACATCTCGCGTCTTCCGTGCTTTAGCCTTCAATGGATTGTCTTCGAGTAACAATTCCTCCAATTCGTGCGATGCATCAAAGTTTGCCTTCTTTGACTGCGGAGGACTTAGAGAGCGAATATTGTTCGGACTAAAAAGGACTCACATCAGGAGTGAACGGTGGCGGTAATTCTTTGGCTTCGAGTGTCGCCCAGTCTATCGGATGGAACCAGGGGTGTCGTTGCATTACTTCATAACCATCATTTTGCTTGCACGTCAGTCTCTTGGAAGGATCGCGGTCCAAGAACTGCACGGAAATCAGCATAAGAGGGTAGGCGGCATGATCCACTCACCCCTTTCAACGCCATCATGCCTGCTCGCGAACATTTCTTATCGGCATCGTCGGGAAAGCGTAAGCTGTCTTTGCTGATGCTGTAGGTCAAGTCGGTATTTGTCTTTCCACGGAAGGGTCTCCGACCGAAGAGAAGCTCGTATGCGCAGACGCCCAGGCTCCACCAGTCGATCGGGTAAGTATAGCCGCGTTTAGCGAGGATCTCGGGAGCCATGTAAGCCATGCTACCTGCAATGCCGGTAAGCATGCGGCGCTCGCTATAATGTACAGCAATATTGAAATCTGTGAGGTGTGCGTGTCCCCGTTCATCGAGTAGAATGTTATCAGGTTTGAGATCACTAGTATGGTAATTATGAAGGGGGTAGACAGATCCGGAATCGGATGACACATACCGGTGCATGATTTTGTGTTCATGAAGGAAGGCTAAGGCTGAAGCTATTTCTGCGACGTAGAAGCGTACTGTGTCCTCTGGTAACGAGCCTAACCGTTCGAGATGGACTGAATGGGTTGAAAACGGACTAAGTGAAGAGGTAGAAGAAAGCGAGGGCAACGTACATCTTAGGTCACCACCGAGCATGAGATCCAGGACGAAGAAACAGTTTTCATCGTCTTGGAAAGCATAACGAAGGTTAACGACGAATGGATGGTCAATCTGTCAGTTGAATGAGTGAGAGATGAAGATGTTGTTGTCCAGGTACCAACCTCCTCGAGTAATCTTCGTTCCTGAATGATATTTGCAACTGCTTTCATCTTTACACACTTTGTCTTGTTAATATATTTCAAGGCATACAACTCTCTGGTCTGTTTGTGCTGGACCATTCGAACCTAGAAATGAGGACCTTGTTCGTTTGGCAGCGAAAATTGAAGTATAACAGGTACAGACCTTTCCAAATGCGCCCTTTCCGACACATCTCAAGAGAACAAAGTGAAAGAGATTAACGTCGCCTTCGAAATCTACCGGCTATAACGATGAATTGGTTAGTTCAAGGTAGAATTAAGGCAAGCATACCTGAGGTCGACAGCAAAAGGGCGCCCATAATGAAAAGGATGGTGGGATTATATTAAGAGGGTAAGGATGAGGGAATGAAGTAAGCAAAAGGGGGGGTATTGTGATATTTCTGTCACGCTCCATGTGACACTGTTTGACTACATTACATAATTCCTGTTATGGACTTATTTTTAGGTATCATAAAAAGTCTTATCGCTGTAGCAGCGCTAGCTTGTATCCCTCAGATATCCATGACTGTCCCTCCTCTAGTCGTATTTGGGCCTTCGGGAGTAGGCAAGGGCACTCTAATCAATCGTCTCATTAAAGAATTTCCAAACTCTTTTGGATTTAGTGTCTCGCGTACGGAGGCTTTCCTTCTAAACCCTCTCACACCATTTAATTGGTTCCCATCCCAAAGATACTACCCGCGCTCCACGTCCTGGTGAGATAGATGGCAAAGCATACCACTTTACCACAGCCGATAACTTCAAGAACCTCATATCTGAGGCCGCTTTTATCGAGCATGCCCAGTTTTCGGGCAATTTCTATGGGACGTCCATTCAAGCTGTGCAAGACGTTGCGGCAACAGGCAAGCGGTGTATTCTCGACATCGAAGTTCAGGTACATTTCTTTCACTCTCTTTCAAGCCCTATCTTCACATGCCATATCCCAGGGCGTCCAACAGATCAAGCAAACGCCCCTCCACGCCACAGTCGTCTTCGTCTCCCCACCCTCCATGACCGTGCTAAATAACCGCTTGCGTGGTCGCGCCACAGATTCTGAAGATGCCATCCGACGTCGTCTTGCAATCGCACGTAGAGAGATCGACTACGCTCGTCAACCTGGCTCGGTCGACTACGTCATCGTTAATGATGATCTTGATACAGCATATCAAAAGTTAAAGAGAATTGCAAACGGAGAGTCGGATGCGAGTGGGGATCAGATGCCTCCCTTGGATGATTAGATTTTTCTATTTATACCCAAAACATTAATATTTGGGCTCATCAATATTTACATCATCCCCGTACTAGCTACATATATATAGATCGGTCCTGTTGGAATGGGACGAGTTTGCAGATGTGCCTGGAGTACATAGCCCCCTCCGCAGCATCCCGTTTAATGCCGCTAGTCTATGGTACGGAACTTCTTCGCCCGGCCTTGGTATTGAAGCCGACGTCAACGTTGCCAACCTAAGTGTTCGCTTTCTCTGTCGCAACCTTGACTCGTGACTGCACGCGCCTCCCAACTCTACTAGGCACAGCATGCACTCTGCCCGGGTTGGACATCAGCCCGACAACATGCATTCGGCACCATTGCCGAGATTTCGTTGGTCCATGACAACCGACCACGACGACCTTGAGAAGGAAAAGCTCTGTTACTCTTTGTCATGTACAACGCGTCTGACGTGAATAATCTGCGCACTCAAGAAATGGACACCCATTCATTAATATGATAATTGAGTTTTCATGTGTTTATACTGGACTGACTGACGGGGCGCTCAGCTGGAGTCCACGTCGTAGGCGTTGCCCTGTCCCTCGTCTTCTTTTCAACGTGTTTATCGTGCAGACTACCCTGGTCAATGTCCGTTGGCAGCACAAGCAAGCCTGCTATCACTACGCAGCATGGCGCCACCTATGGTTTCTAATATTAGCCGTGTTCTAACTATGGGAGACAGGGGGGGCGTGCTATACTGACGGAGCTAGCCTCACAGACCCACAGCCTAATGTTGAGGCAGCCTGCAGGCATGAGTCCATCCTTAGCATTTGACACCATCGACTTGCTTTTAAGTCCTTTGCACGACCCTGTGAGACTATCATTCTACTACCTTTTCGCTCACTAGCAGACAATTCCTGTACTCTGCTCAAATGACCACCATGGTCATGCCTCGACGATACATCCGCATATTTGTAACCTGGTTAAGGCTCATTGTCAAGAAGACTGCACTTCGCTCATACAAAATTCTCTCTATCCTCCTGCGAATTATCCGGCGTTGGCAAGATGTCATGAACAAAAAGAGAGAGAACTTGTCAAGAGCGGGGTTCAGCGTCGAACACTCACCTAATCGAACAAGAGCAGTTGCCGGTTTCTGTGACTCTCACTGTGCCCGTGCTTTAAGCACGTTTATATCGTGAGGGGTACCAATCTGAAACTGACGAAACAAATATCGTGGCTCTGAGCCCCATCACACCCGCGGAGATTAGGCGATGCGACGAGCCGGATGTAAAGGGGTACGCAAATTGAATCTGTTAGGCGCGTTTTCATAATGATCCATATTCACAGTACACCAGGGATTATATATGACCTCGAGGTTGGGGGAGGCCCTTTCGACAATCCAGAGTAAGCATTCTGTTGGGAGAGCTAGCCACATCGTCTCGTAGAGAGCTTGCTCCGATAGCGGGATGGGAGCCGCTCAAACACCCGGAAGGGTCTTTATTTGTCTATCACCCATACAAATCGCCCTCCTGCATGACCGGACTGATATCGTCCATCAGAGAGTTTTCAGTACTAGTGTCCAAAAGTCTCAAATCGCAACCAGTGGGCTTCCGAGCAGGCGCATAATGAAGCACGCAAAGCAGGCATCGTCTTGCCTCCATCCGTCAAGCTAGCGTTGAAGCTCATGCAGGGCGGCAAAAAGTTTGGCTACTACTTTGTTGATCATGACAGACGTCATTTTCTGGTTCAAAAGCCGTACATATCGTGGAGACAAAGCTACGCCGGATGTAGAACGCAAACACCATGTCAGTGAGTTCTTTCTTTAGGGTATCTGGCATTGGAACTTGTCTCATCGCGTTGCTTTCAGGGTATGCACTAGAATCACAGTACTGGTCTGTATGGCCTCACGTACGTACTTTGCCGAAGTAAATGCACTGACACTTTCTCACAGCCCTTCCCTACCTTCTATGACTTACGCATCATGATATTGACAGGGAACACATTTGTTTCCAAACAAACGAGGCTCTCTTCAGGAGGCTGCTGTTGTGACTTAAACAAATCATCTTACATGCTCAGGCAGGTGAGCAACGACTAGTTAGCGGTTTACCCAGTGCCAGAATGACTCGTAATAGAGTAGATCACTACTAGTGAATCCCAATCACCTTTTTCCTCTGGCGATGTTTCAAAGATGCTCGACGTTATGGAGCCCCTTGTGAGTATGACATTCCCCAATCCAGGGTGGCCGAAGTTGTTGATTGTCTTTCAGGTAGTGCTAACAAAGAGTACTTATGAGCACTCTGTGTGTAGTACTGGTAAGCCCAATTACAAAAGTTCAGTTGATTGCTTTTGATATGTTCGTTGATCCCAGCTCAATATATAAAACGAATCTGTGAGCTCATGCTGGTAGTGAGCGCACCCCATTTCCTGATTACTCTGCTAGGCGACGCCAACTTTTTAGTGTCTGGACAATCAGGTGTCCGGTTTGAACCAGGGCCACCATTTTCCCAAAATTTCAGCGCTAGATGGAAAACCTTTTTTAAAGTCGTGAATCTTGTTATGTTTGGATCTCCTGAAGCTCATCGCAAGGCTCTTGACACAACACGGGTCGATGATCGCGTTGTTCAAGTGGAGCGCCGTGAGAATTTAATCGACAGAATCAATTGTGAATGGAATGAATACACAGTATTCGTGAGTTGTACTTATTGCTTCAGCTTGTCCACGAGATTAATGTCTGTGCTAGTCTACTGTGATGCTTGCTGTCAATATCGCGGTCCCATTTGTCCACTCTCAAACGTCTGCAATTCTTGTATCTTATTTGTCTACCCTTTGTGCCACGGGTTCGTTAATAGTCACACTAGTCTTTGCTAGACAAGTCAATGTCAGCCAGCGATACCCCCATAGATGTTCGGTAAGCATCCTCTTCAATCGCTTGACTTTCATCATTTATTATATCCACCACACCCCGCTCTTCATACTTGGGATGCTACGTTCTAGTGAGCGCCTTGAACGCCTTGTCCTGATGCTCAGTCTGCTGTTTACATTCCTGATTTGGGGGTGTGTCTCCAACTAAATACCATGGGGTAGTGATTCATTCCCTCATTCCCTGACGGAATAATATTGTTGGCTACAACACTGTCTATCGTGATCTTCCGCACTTCTGACATCACCACCGTACCAATTGCAATTCCGATTTGGGCCGCTATAGTTATCCTGGCAACATGGCCCGTGTCCGCTGCCCATATCAGATGCCTTCTGCGCAAGATAAGAGTCCAGATCCTGATTCAGTTGCATTTATATCATTCTAGATCATTGGGGGCTAGTGTGACGACTAGAACCCTCCTCTGATGCCGGGGATTTTGGTGGCGTGTGTATTAGTAACTCAATTTCCTGAACGGAAAGGCACTATCATGATCTCGTTGTACACAGGTCGTAGCATAATTATAGTATGAGTCCATGAACTGATGATGACGTTAGTTGAGGAATTCTACCGTGGCAAAATCTTGGTTTTGCCTCAGTTTTCTGCCCATAGTCACTACGTAGTTAATACCGTTTTCGTAAGAACCGTTATGAAGTCTGGTTCATGTGCATTCGTGCCTGGAAATTGAGTGATCAATGGGTCCGAAATTTGCAGTCCTGAGCGATGGCAAAAATATGTGTTCATGAAGTATAAGAAGTACTAGTGTATCATATATATAATGTAGTACTTAATCTGCAGAATGAGCAGGAGATATTGGGATAGTGCACGTGACTGCCGACACAATTGGACTGCAAAGCCGAGCGGAGTTTAGACCTGTGTTTACTCTGTGCAGTGTGTACCAGTACTTGAAAGTTACGGCATGTTCAGAGTCCAGACATGACCACTGATACTGGTATCTTCAAAGATTACGGCAATGCAGTTATCTGCTACTCGTGGCGTATCAGATGTTTCACAAGTCTCTCTCCTAATCTGAAGGTATTCGAGGGGGTGGCATTTCTCGTTCATTGAACTTAGGAGGGTGTGATTGCTGCAAAATCATCATGATAACTTCTGCCCTCAAGGTTTGTGGCTTAGAACGCGCGGATTGATTCCTTGACAGATACTGCAGACAATGAAGCGAAGGGGCTTTCAAGCTTAGGAATTCTCTCCTCACTAGAAGAGTCACTAACTCGTATCAGATGTTGAGCCGAAATTTGCTCCAGGTCGGCTGCAGTACTTGACATGGCAAGTAAGGCTGGTCTCACAAGCGAGTGATTAAAACTCCACGTTACCACATTTTTGGATCGGAATACAGTGCCCAGTTCGAATGGATAAGCGCATTGACGAACACCGCCTAGCATCCTTGTTTCAGAATATCTCCATTCCACGCAAGACCTTTGCGTTACCATTTTTGGGCGTCAAATAACCCCTTTATGAGGCGAACTAACATGTCTTAGGCTCGACTGTAATCCCTCCCCATGCTGTTCACTCATATTCTTGCTTTAGGGATACCGTGTATTATTGCCCTGGTTGTCGCTTCAGGTCTGACTCGCAGACGTGTCTACCCTTTACCTCTTCCGCCTGGCCCTCGTCAGTTACCAATTTTGGGTAACGCGCTGCAATTGGATACTAAACGACCTTGGCTCACATATACTGCGTGGGGGAAGAGATATGGTTGGTGGCAGGTCAATGGCCTCTTTGTCGAGCTCTTAGATTCAATTTCATACCTGATCATAGGAAAAATCATTCACTCCCGTATGCTTGGGATCGACTTGATCATCATAAACTCCGAAACCATCGCGCGGGAGTTGCTGGACAAGCGTTCTGCGAATTACTCTACTCGCCCTGTTATTCCCACCATCGAATTGTATGCATCGCCTGTTTTCATTCATTTTGGTCTTCATTGACTGATGGTGCAGATCTGGAATGGCTTTCAACACCGCACTCCTTCCGTATGGGGAGACTTTACGACAACATCGCAAGATTTTCCATCAAGTCTTCAGAGCCGAAGTCTCGGTCTCGTACCACGAAATGTACTCTCGCCATGCAAATGAACTAGTCATCAATCTCTTAGGTACCACTAGTGACTTGCATCAACGCATTCAAGTGTTCGTACCTAAATCAGTGGTGTCGTTATGATGTATGGTCCAGTTGACAGTCAATCCTTGTGACAGACACACGGCATCCCTAATCATGGCCGTGACATACGGACACCTTGCTGACGGACATGAAGGCCCATTTCTTACCCGCGCGCAGGAATTCCTTGATATTGGAAAACATATTGTTTCTCCCGAGAGGGCTGCCATGTTCACAGCCTTTCCTTTCCGTGAGTGCCTCCTGTCAACGATATAATTTTGAACATTCAGCACGAACTTGTAGTCGAAAAGTTGCCGTCTTGGTGCTTTGGTGGAGCATTTGCCCTGATGGGACGCTGTAGAGAATTAGCTCAACAGCTTTTGAACGAACCCTTTGATGAAGTGAAGGCACAGATGGTACGTTTACGCAGAGCTGTGGATGGAAATTTCGCCTGATCTGTTTGCGTGAAGGCAGATGGTACTGCTTCACACTCATTAGTCGCCGACTTTCTCAGTCAAGCTCACGATGACGCTGACGAAGACACGATGAAGGCTGTTGCGTTGATGGGATACATGGGTAAGACTTTTTTTACCGGGGCAGAGTTCATCCATCGACGTGAATCGGCATCTTAGGTGGCATGGAAACTGTGAGTTGCTACTTAAGCGGTCCTGATTCTTACTTTGACGTCCCGCAGACTGCGTCCGCATTGCAGACATTCCTGCTGGCTATGGTGCTCTATCCTGATGTCCAAACCCGAGCTCGTGCAGAAATCGACCAAGCTGTGAGGCATGATAAAATGCCGTGCCTTGATGATAGGGCGTCACTACCCTACCTTGATGCTATTCTCCGCGAGGTCCTGAGATGGTATCCTCTCACCCCTCTAGGTTGGTCGGCAGTAATATAACTCTGAATCATTGACTCCTGGCACAGGAATTCCACATGCAACATCAAATGATGATGTTTATGGCGAACACTTCATACCCAAAGGTTCGAAGTCGTATGAGTCGAGGTTGCCATTGACTAATCTGTAGTTCGATCAGGTGCGATAGTGATGGTTAATCAGTGGTATGTTACAATGGAGTGCATGTAATAGCTTGAACTGAATATAGCTCAGGGCACTGTCTCGGGATGAAGACATGTTTCCCGATGCATCACGCTTCGATCCTAGTCGCCATCTAACAGTTGACGGGAAGCTGAAGGATCCTTTCATCAACCATTTTGCCTTTGGTCATGGGAGGTGAATATTCCACACTTGCTATCATATTCAATTATTCACTGACCCTTGCAGGCGTATTTGTCCCGGTAGGCTGATTCTTAGTTCATCTGGCAGTGTTGAGGATGACAAATTCCCTTGGCAGGCCGTTGGTTTGCAGAGACCAGTCTGTGGACTGCAGCTGCTGCCATACTCGCCGTCTTGCGCATCGACCACGCCAAAGACTCAAACGGATACAGGATTGAGGTGATGCCGGAGTTCTGCACCGGCATGGTGATGTAAGTGACCTGGTATATATCCAAGAACGTTTGGCTGACTCTGCCGAAGTCACCCTGAACCATTTCACTGCTCGTTTGAAAGCGTGAACACGGCGAGAGAAGGACATCTTCGAGCGATGATGAATTCGAAGTAGGGGTCGTTTGTACTTTTGATGGTCTGTCATATAATAACACATGGTTGTAACAACGGCACAGTCTACTGGATGTAACGTTTTGCAGCCTCTGTCTTTGTCTAGATCTGATGAACAAGATAATTGTCATTGACTCTTCAGAAGTCAGATCCGTTTCCAAAATCTCTTGACCCTCTGTACAAGATAAAAGTCCAGATCCTGATTCAGTCACGTTTCTATTATACTAAATTATTTGCCAAGGGTTAGTACCGTGTCCTTACTAGAACCAGTTCTCATGCCTGATCTGGTGCTGGGATTTTTGGTGGCATGAGCACTTCTTAATAGATCAGTAGTAGCTCAATTTATTGAACGGAAAGGTACTAGCTGTACTTTATCTCATTGTACGCAGGTCGTAGCATAATTATAGTATGAGTCGATGAACTGATGATGACGTTAGCTGATGAATTCTGCTTTGTTCTGCCATGGCAAAATCCTAGCTTTGCCTCAGTTTTCTGCCCACAGCATAGCTACGTAACGGTTAATACCATTTTCGTAAGAACCGTCATGAAGTCTGGTTCATGCCTGGAAATTGACGGTTCGATGGGTCCGAGATTTGCAGTCCTAAGGGATGGCAAAATTTTAGATGCTGTTCATAAAGTATTTATTTTAGCAAGAAGTGTCTCATGAGTCATAATATGTAGTAATCTGCAGAATGAGAATAGTGGCTGCCGACATTTGGTCTGCAAAGCCGAACGGAGTTTAGACTGTCAGCGAAGAAGCTCCCACATGTATTACTTGCTCGCACACCGGGGGTTTCGACATTTTACCACATTTTGCCACTAGTGAAATCACATTCTAAATGCAACCTAGAGCGCTCCAGGCTAGGTCTAGATCTGCTTTTAATTGAAATTTTGCTAGAGGTAAAATGTCCAAACCTCCGATGCTGTCGTGTTCAGACATGCCTGGCACTGAGTGATACTGGTATCTTCAAAGATCACGGTAATGCAGTCACGTATCTGCTACGTGGCGTATCAGATGTTTCACAAGTCTCTTCTCACCCCTAATTTGAAGGTACTCGAGGTGGTAGCATTTCTCGTTCATTGAACTTATGAGGGTGTGATTGCTATAAAATCATAGCTTCTCCCCTCAAGGTTTGTGGCTTAGAACGCGCAGATTGATTCTTTGACAGATACTGCAGACAATGAAGCGAAGGGGCTCTGCTTAGGAGTTCTCTCCTCACTAGAAGAGTCACTAACTCGTATCAGATGTTGAGCCGAAATTTGCTCCAGGTCGGCTACAGTACTTGACATGGCAAGTAAGGCTGGTCTCACAAGTGAGTGATTAAAATTCTAAGTTAACACATTTTTGGATCCGAATACAGTGCACAGTTCGAATGGATAAGCGCATTGACGAACACCGCCTAGCATCCTTGTTTCAGAAAATCTCCATTCCACGCAAGATGTCGTTAACCTCTGAGTTACCATTTTCGGGCGTCAAAGACCCCTTTATGAGGCGAACCACCATGTCTTAGGCTCGACTGTAATCCCTCCCCATGCTGTTCACTCATATTCTTGCGTTAGGGATACCGTGTATCATTGCTCTGGTTGTCGCTTCAGGTCTGACTCGCAGACGTGTCTACCCTTTACCTCTTCCGCCTGGCCCTCGTCAGTTACCAATTTTGGGTAACGCGCTGCAATTGGATACTAAACGACCTTGGCTCACATATACTGCGTGGGGGAAGACATATGGTTGGTAGCAGATCAATGGCCTCTTTGTCGAGCTCTTAGATTCAATTTCATACCTGATCATAGGAAAAATCATTCACTCCCGTATGCTTGGGATCGACTTGATCATCATAAACTCCGAAACCATCGCGCGGGAGTTGCTGGACAAGCGTTCTGCGAATTACTCTACTCGCCCCGTTGTTCGCACCAATGAATTGTATGCATTGCTGGTTTTCATTCATTTATTCTTCATCAGCTGACGATGCAGAGCTGGACTGGGTTTCAATACTGCATCCCTTCCGTATGGAGAGACTTTACGACAACATCGCAAGATCTTCCATCAAGTCCTCAGGGCTGAAGTCTCGGTCTCATACCACGAGATGTACTCTCGCTACGCAAATGAACTAGTCATCAATCTCTTAGGTGCCCCTAGTGGCCTACTACAGCAACACATTCGAGCGTTCGTACCTCATTCAGTGGTGTCGTTGTGGTGTATACTCCAGTTGACAATCAATCCTTGTAACAGATACACGGCATCCCTGATCATGGCCGTGACATACGGACACCTTGCTGATGGGCACGAAGACTCATTTCTTACCCGCGCGCACGAAGTCCTTAATATTGGCAAATATATTGTTGCTCCTGAGAGGGCTGCCATGTTCACAACCTTTCCGTTCCGTGAGTGCCTCCTGTCAACGACATAATTCTGAACATTCAGCACGAGCTTGCAGTCGAAAAGTTGCCATTTTGGTGCTTCGGTGGAGCATTTGCACTGATGGGACGCTGTAGAGAGTTGTGTCAACAGCTTTTGAACGAGCCCTTTGATGAAGTGAAGGCACAGATGGTATGTTTACGCAAAATTGTGGATGGAATTCTCGCCTGATCTGTTTGCGTCAAGGCAAATGGTACTGCTTCACACTCATTAGTCACTGACTTTCTCAGTCAAGCTCACGACGACGCTGACGAAGAAACGATGAAGGCTGTTGCGTTGATGGCATACATTGGTAAGAGTTTTTTTACCAGGACAGAATTCATCCATTGACGAGAATATGGCATCTTAGGTGGCATAGACACCGTGAGTTACTACTTGACCAGTCCCGATTCTTACTTTGACGTCCCGCAGACTGCATCCGCATTGCAGATATTTGTGCTGGCTATGGTGCTCTATCCTGACGTCCAAGCCCGTGCTCGTGCAGAAATTGATCAAGCTGTGAGGCATGATAAAATGCCGTGCCTTGATGATAGGGCGTCACTGCCCTACCTTGATGCCATTCTCCGCGAGGTCATGAGATGGTATCCTATCGGACCCCTAGGTTGGTCGGCAGCGATATAGCTTCATGTTTACATGGCTGACCCCTTCCACAGGATTTCCACATGCGACATCGAATGATGATGTTTATGACGGGTACTTTATACCCAAAGGTTCGAAGTCGTATGAGTCGAGGTTGCCGTTGATTCATCTGTAGTCCGATCAGGTGCAATAGTAATGGTTAATCAGTGGTATGTCACAGTGGAGTCCATGTAACGGTGGCTTGAGCTAAGCATAGCTCAGGGCACTGTCTCGGGATGAAGACATATTTCCCGATGCATCACGTTTCGATCCTAGTCGCCACCTAACGGTTGATGGGAAGCTGAAGGATCCTTTGGTCAATCATTTTGTATTTGGTCATGGCAGGTGAATATTCCACACTTGCTATCACTTTCAATTATTCATTGACCCTTGCAGGCGTATTTGTCCTGGTAGGCTGGTTCATGGTTTATCTGACAGTGGATTGTTGAGGATAATAAATACCCTTGACAGGTCGTTGGTTTGCCGAGAACAGTCTGTGGACTGCAGCTTCTGCCATACTCGCCGTCTTACGCATCGATCATGCCAAAGACTCAAACGGGGACAGGATTGAGGTGAAACCGGAGTTCTGCACCGGCATGGTGATGTAAGTGACCTAGTATTTATTGAAAACTTGCAGCTGACTCTGCCGAAGTCACCCTGAACCATTTCACTGCTTATTTGAAAGCGTGAACACAGCGAGAGAAGGATATATTCGAGAGATGATAAATTCGAAGTAGGACACGTTTGTACTTGTGGTGTAATAGCACATGGTTGTGACAACGGCACAGTGCACTAGATGGCAAGGTGTTGCAGCCTCTGTCTCTGTCTAGATCTGATGAACAAGAGAATTGCTTTCGAATTCATTGATTCCTCAGAAATCAGATCCGTTTCCAAAATGTCGTGACCCAGCGCAACCACTGGGTTGCACACCGTTGATCGGTTCACGGCCATTCCCCGTTGCAACGTTGGTCTACCTGAATATCAGTCAACAGTAATCAATGCACTCGTACTACGGCTTACGTCTATTGAGCCATTCACGGACTTTGCATGGGTCATGCAACTGTAGCGCAATTTATTAAAATTCGCTTTGGAGCATCATAGTCACATAGGCTGACCGGGCAAGCCTCGTAGACCGACATCCTAACGTTGAACCCTGGGGCTGAAGCTTGGAGGGGTCCATTAATAGCTTAGGCAGCCTGAGCTCGTCCTATGCTTACGGGAGAGGAATCCATGCTCCAACGTTGTGCATGGACACAGGGATATGACACACGCATTGTCCAAGCGGTGATTACAGTGAGGTTCGACGGCATGGATACCAAGTATGTTAACCGAACCAATTTTTTTTAATGGACAAAACTTGCACCTACGATTGAATCTCTAGTTGAACATTAATTTCGACAGGGAGCACGAAATGACTGGATTGAGGAGCAAATGCCGTCAGCTTCGTGCAAGTGCAAGGGGCAGCCGGTTCCAGTAAGTAGTAACAGTACTGGTCCGTATGGCCTCACGTACGCACCTTCCCCCGCTTTACCGAAGTAAATGAACTGACACTTTCTCACAAGTCCTGCATTCATGCCTGGAAATTGAGTGTTCAATGGGTCCGAAATTTGCAGTCCTGAGAGATGGCATAAAGATGTGTGCATGAAGTAACAAGAAGTGTATCATACATATGTAGTAATCTGCTGACAGTGAGCTTAGCACAATGTTGGTGTGTGACATGGCAGGACAGAGAGAAATTTCGGATTGAAGTTAGCGCAGTATGAGCAGATAAACTATAATACCCACTTTAGTAAGAACGTCATTCCAAATCTCAAGGCGATCACTATGCTATTGAACTAACCAATTAGTATGCAGTGACAGCAGAATATTCTAGGGTTGAATTAACATGATCAAGTCACTGTGAGTGGTGGATTATGTCAGCGGATATCACTCTGTTCACGTTATTTCAGCTTGTAGTTGGTCGGTTCTAAAATGATGAAAGACTCCAGGCCCAGGACTTGTTGGTTCGTCTGCATAGTATGTCGCTGAAGAACATCTTGAGACAAACAAGCGACAAACAACGCTTGAACAACGCCAAATTTTTCTCCAACTTCAACTGTCGCGGTGCGTCACATTTTACATCTTGGTGCTCAGGGCGACTTTTTCTAGCCTTTTGCTTTTTGTTAGGATCAACACGGAGAACCCGCTAACTGCTCCTTCACTCGGCCCTTACTTAGATGCGCACAATGCTTCAGCACTCCCTACTGCTACATCAGAAGCCAGAGACCGGGATGCCGCCCAACCACGCAGTCGTTCTCGTTCAAGAAGTCCTGGAGCCCGCAGCACCAGTTACCGTAGTCCTCAAAAGGGCAGGTCTCCCCCTCCTAAAAAGCTAACACATGCTCCAATTGTACGTTCCACATGTTCTCCTCATGTTTTGCCAGGCGCTTATGGGGCGAAGAAGGCGCCCAACCCGTCCCAAGTTTTGGGAGTCTTCGGATTAAGTATTAGGACACGAGCGATATTTAGACGAGGAGTTCTCTCGCTTTGGAAGAGTCGAAAAAGTCACAATTGTTTACGATCAGAGGGTACGGTGGTTTCATTTCGTTACCTTAACCCACAAAAACGTGTTTTTCAGTCCGACCGTTCTCGTGGTTTCGGCTTTATAAGAATGTCCAGCACTGAAGAGCTACTCGCTACATTCAGGAACTCAACGGAGCCTTACGTTTTCCCTTCATGTGTACCGCGATTACTGCCGTTCCGATCGCGATAAGGATAGGGACCGCTATGGTTGCGACAACCGTGATTGGTGCGATCGTCGCAGCCCTCGTCGTTGCTCACCTGATTACAGGAGGCGCGGGAGCTACTCCAGGAATCCTCCTAGGGGTGGTAGCCCTCGCAAGGATTATGATGGTCCTTCAGGCACTGGTGCGGCAAGCTCCTCCAACCGGGCTGAAAACGGTGGTCGTTGGTGATGGTTCAACGTCCAGCTGTCAGCGGAAACCCTCTCGAAGGTGTGCCAGTCGTGGTCACTTGTCTCGGTTGTCGATGGGCGAAAGCATGGACAAGAGGTCGTTCGTACAAGCACAAGTGATTGAAGAGGTTCATGGCGGTCATCCTCCAGCAAGCCTCAAGTTGGCAATATTCTCGTTACTTCCCTATCTTGAAAAAGCAAGACATGGTTTCCGCGTTCGCTATCTCAGACAGAAAGCCAAGTTCAAAGTTCATTTCATCCTCGACTATTTGCCTGTATCCGTTCCACTTTCATATCGCTCTACTACTTTGTTCTACACTATCAATTTTCGCTTCCGCGAAGAGTGGCGAGTCCCGGATTGCGATTGCAAGAAAGGTCGGGCACAACAATCCTGCCGCGTAGCGATTCGGCATATGCAGCCAAGGGGATATTGGCAGGCTTGTGGAAGGTTTCACAAACCAGGCTGACCGAAACTTATGTCTACTTATCTACTCGTTCTGACATTAATGATTGCTCAATCAGGAGACCTGGCATGTATGGCGTTATCAATCAAGCAATTGCCAAGTGCATTTTGTGCAGCGTTTGATGAAACCCGGCGCTTCGTTGTCGGAAATCTGACGAACTTTTAGCGAAAAGTTTCGTCACTACGTCGGATTCAAGTTATTATCGACCATCAGAATGCACTGGTTCCGCTGGTTAATCATGGGCATGTGGCGTTGACGCCAACAGGAATAGCATTAACATGCAGCAAAATCATACACATTTCACCATCACGGCCGCGATAGCTAACCTTCAACTCCGAATCGAAGCTCCCCCCTGGATATCTATTCGTACGTATAATACACTGCCATACAATATCGCTATAACTGTACAACAAAGTACTTACTAGTACAAAACAGTATCCGTCAGAAAACCTTTGAATGTGATATACCAGAAATCATTAGACCTGGTGGGTAGCGGTCCAACCCGTAGAGACAAGAAACCGACCCTCGGGTCCATGGACAATATCAACACATGCGAAACGGCACGACTCTGACGATCTGATATGCGCACGCAGGAGGTCGCGACGGCATTTCACAACTCCGCATATGGAGCACCGCACCTTGACACCGATGTGAGTAAGGATATGCCTTGTTAACCCTCCCCTCTTGAGTGTCTTGGAGCAACCTGCCCACTGACAACTTATCTTGGCGCTGTCCGGGCCAATGACGCCATGTCCTCGCAGGTGGGCGGACAGCGCGCTGGTCGTTCCCTCTACGAATATTCCGCAGGGGACTCCCGGGCCTTCTATTTTACACTCATATGCGACGAGTGGTTGACCGCTTCTTTCCACTCGAAAGAAGGCTTCCGGATCCACGTTTAAGGTGTCGAGAGGGATGTGTATGTACGACAGTGGATCGTTGCAAGGTGAAGCTGATAAATGGGGTTGTTAGGAGGATATGTTGTGCTACGGGTCGGTACCAGAAGAGTTGAGAATGTGGTGAGAGGAATTCTGGAATTTAAGAGTTGCAATGTTTGTAGCACTTGCCGTCCGATTGGAGGTATTTAAGCACCAGGGGGTCATTGGCATTCTACCTGCCACTATTAGCATAAATTGCAGGAGGCGGCCTGCGGCCCAGGAATGTACAACCAGCTGCAATGCTGCATGCAGCGATGTGAGAGTCTTTCAAGTTCGTGTGCAGCAAAGTCTAGGAGCCATCCCATCCAGCAAGACTTGGCAATAACGGATCTCACCAATTCAATGTTCAGTTCCGATATCGCACCAGTACTTAGTCGGGCTATTACTTCTTTGGTCATCACTGAGCGCTTGCTATTGGTCCATATCATATGTACAGCACATCTTATCGTGAATTATCCACACAGGATTTATGCATGGCTTTTCAGCACTTTAGAGTGCCACGACAAGTCTACTAATTGGTCGATGCGTTCGAGCTAGAATCCCACGTGCGGGCCCTTAATGATTGAATCGCTGGTCGTTCACGCCACCGCAGTGACTTCAGCAAACCTACCTGCAGTTGGTTAACGTTGAGACCAGGGGTTCTCCAGCTAGTATTTCCCCCCACAAAAGAACACGGTCTGGGACTCTGCGGCAAGTGAGATTTTTGAACTTGCTATCAAATGGATGCAAGCACTCAAGCACTCACTACTAGTAGCACTCATCACTGAAAGCTCGTATTTTTTTGAACGCATCGAGACTCATCGATTGATATTGTATGATGAATCGGAGACCCTAGGACACCATCTACTAGTATGGGCCACCATTTTCTGATCGCAGGGGGTGATGTCCAACGATGATAGTATCATTATTGGTACACCTGTACTACTCCCATACGTTGATAGGGGCACCTATACTGCTGAGATCCCGAGGATCACTGCCAGGTGTGGATCCGGCTACTTAGTCAAAAAAAGCGTCCCTATTCATATTTTTTATACTCACCTCTCACCCCAAGAATATCGGACCCTCCGTGGTGGAACTCTGCACGTAGTACTTGGTGTGCGTGCGTTTGTTTTGATGTAGTCATCGATACCGGATCGGGGGTCATAAGAGCACTCTGTCAGCAGCGCCAATTGTGAAAGGCACCCAATTGCAAAGTTCACGGTGATTCCAAGCTCTTTCAGACAGTCGTGTCTAGAACACTGGGGTAAAGAAACTCCAGGATTATCATAAGAGCATGTTGCCTGATCTAGCCGGGATCTTGATCGTGTGCCTTTTCCGGACCGGGTGAGTTTCTTTCTTTTCGACATGGCAAATAAGAACTTTTAGAAGTTGGTGTGACACGTAGTAAAGGTAGTAGTAAGAGCTACAAACGCCTGAAAAATGTGTACAAGTTGCAGGAAGCCTACCATATACGAACGTCGGGAGCAAATGCCATATCACATATACGTGTCTTTCAGAATACTAACAAACATAAATATTAAATGCGGCTCAGCTAGCCGAGAGAAAAGAGAGCTTCTTTGTTTTTGAACTCGAGGTCTTGGAAGTTATCAACAGAAGCGGAACAGCGGGAAGCCAGACAGTACAATACACGTGTGGTACGGAACTCTCCGGCAGGACACTTAACCCCATGAGTACTGCGGGAATAGAGTTTCTCTGTTTTGAGCTCCTCACCAGAAGCCGACAAGATATTTCAGGGTGGATCAGATACCTACAATGAACTAAATATCATGATGATACGTGCCTCCCTGGCACATTAATCTGGCAGAACACTAACAACCACGTGAGTGCGGCTTCAAGGTTACTGGTAGGTGAGGTAATGGAAAGTTCTTTGTTTCGAGCTTCCTTTGTTACAGAAGCAGATGAGATATTTCAGGACAGTACTAGGTGGATCGGATGCCTGGACTATGATGGTGTTTCGTGACGTGCCTCTCTGGGAGAAATTAATATTCATATGTTGATCATTAGCGAGGGGAATTCATTTCGAGCAACATATACATCATGCTGTGCAGTCACGCGATCATAAATAGTCACATACAATTCTGCCTAGACATAAACTCAACCACAATCAACTACAGAATAATACAAATACAACAGAGTTTTTCAACGTATTCACGCATAACCAGTCAACAGAATCGTGCCACTACCATGGAGTCACGTAACATACCCTTTGAAAAAAAAAGCGGAGCAAGGCCATAAGTTCGCACGGCGAACGGTTCCTAGGTTATGTTTGAACATAATCTGTACCCTAATATTTGTGACGGAGCCGCATAAGCCACGTCACAGGCGCGTGGCAATTTCACCTGGCCCTGCCAGCGGGAGAGTTCCACAACATCCAGCGACATCGATCGGTTCCTGAAAATGCAGGGAAGAATAAAGGTAAGGCTGAGGCTGAAGAGATTCAGGAGCTTAAGGGGAATGATGATTGTGACGATGAGCAGCTAAAAGGCCGCTAGTTAATATCTCCCTCAGGCCCAGGCCTGAGGCCTGAGGGATACTCAATTCGTTGTCGTTTGCAAGTTGTAAAGGAGCCAAACACACACTTCTTATGATACCGTGTCTAGGGTGTGACACGGGTAGGCGTTACCCGGATATCCACCCGGGTACCACCCGCGGACGGAACGTGGGACGGATGGTACGGATGGTGGGTAACTTGGATGGTTCCATCCGCACGGGTACGGGTCAGAGGTCTTGCTAAACACAGGTATCCGCGGGTAGTTAGTACACCAAATAGCAAATGATTTCGGCCGAGCCAAACTCACTACTTGTTAACCGAACTCCCAACCGACGTCAAAATATGTTGGAATCAAGCTCGCGGAGGTATGAATAGGTACGGATATCACCCAGCAGTGCTGTATCATGGTGCTCATCCCATAAACTATGTTTCAGATCAATATTTGTTGTTATCAGAGCATATCAAAAGTTTATATGACTTCTAAGTTCTCGAGGTTTAAAACTCGATGCACAGTAACCAGTCCATAGTAGACCCCATCATCGAAAGCGTATGCTGCACGGCGCGGTGTCCCAACGTCGGGGGCTAATTCTACAGGCGCGCAACAAACAATAACTGGATCTGTTTCAAAATATACAGCGGAGGCTCATCGTGCCTTGATAGCATTGCGCTGTGAGGTCAATAAACGCCCGTTCCACTCCGTCGCCGACCCTCTTTACATTGAAGAGGTCAAACTCTTGCGCCCCGATGTTCAGGTCCCATCTCCACGCACAGTATCACGCGACATCAACACCATCGCACAGCATCAACTAGTAAATGGGCTGCTGCAGGCAGTGACGACGAGGACACTTTCATCTCTCCTGACTCGATTGAGGCATACCTCGATGCTCCATGTGTCTCAAGAACCGAGATCCAGGCTGCGGGCGGAGTTCTTCAATATTGGGAGAATGCTCATGCTACTCGGCCTCGACTGGCTCAAATGGCCCTTGATTTTTTGTCCGCACCTGGTATGTAGGCTTACAAGTGGTATTGGCAGCAATCTAATACTCCGTAGCTTCCTCAGTTGATACTGAACGAGCTTTCTCTGGTGGCCGTCTGCAAGTCAACCATCTTCAACACGGTATCAGCTCCCAGACCTTCAAAGCGCAGGTTGCCGTTGGATCGTGGTTTAACACACCTCTCATACCTGATCTCGGCGCCGCCACAAGTATCATGCGGCAGAAGATGGTAAAGGGCAAGGGGAAAGAGACAGGACAGGTTGATGCCATCGAAATCGACTCTGATTGATAGTGGTTATGCAATATTGTGTACTACCTATGTCCCTGCAAGTCGTATCTACAGTTCCCAACAATGTACATTTTGTCACCCGCGGGTGACCCGTACCATCTGCGGATCCACCCGTGGGTCCACCCGCACCCGTGGTAATCTCACCCGCACGGGTGCGGGTAGGCCTTCAAAGTTCTATCTACCCGCGGATTGAGTACGGGTGCCACCCGGGTGCATCCATGTCACACCCTAACCGTGTCACGTCAGCACTCACTAGCACTCACTTCTGTGAGAGACTCCAGGACTTCGTCGCATATGTCGCTGAAGAACATCTTGAGACAAACAAGCGACAAACAGGGCCAATTTCTTCTTCAACTTCAACTGCCGTGGACCATGGTGCGTCACATTTTCGGTGCCAAAGGCAACTTCTTGCCTTTCTGTTAGGATCAATACGGGGAACCTTCAGTACTTGTGCCTCACTCAGATGCATACAATGCACCAGCACCCGCTACTGCTACATCAGAAACCAGAGACCAGGACGCCGCCCCACCACGCGGTCGTTCTCGTTCGAGAAGTCCTGGAGCCCGCAGCACCGGTTACCTTAGTCCTCCTCAAAAGGTTAGTTCTCCGCCTCCTAAAAGCCAATACATGCTCCAATTGTATGTTCCTCACGTCTCGAAGGCACCCAACCCGTCCCAAGTTTTTGGGGTCTTCAGATTAAGTATTAGGATACAAGAGCGGTATTTAAACGAGGAGTTCTCTCGCTTTGGGAGAGTAGAAAAGTCACAATTGTATACGACCAGAGGGTACGGTGATTTCTTGTGCATTTCGTTACCCTAACCCACGAAAACGTGTTTTTCACTCCGACCGTTCTCGTGGTTTCGGCCTTATCAGAATATCTAGCACTGAAGAAGCTACTCGCTGCATTCAGGAACTCGACGGAGTCGTACGTTTTCCCTTCATACGTATGCTTTCCTTGCTGATCTCCTTCGTAGGAACTGAATGGACGTCGCATTCGGGTTGACTATTCTGTCACTGATAAACCGCACGCACCAACTCTTGGCAAGTTGATGGGACGTCGTCACTCGACTAGGGACATCTATTCAGGGCTCAGGCTGCGACTCTTACCACCGCGACTCATACCGTGACTCATATCGTGACCGTGATAAGGATAGGAACCCCTACGGTCGCGACAGCCGTGATTGGCGCGATCGTCGCAGCCCTCGTCGTTACTCACCTGATTACAGGAGGCATGGGAGCTACTCCAGGAGTCCTCCTAGGGGTAGTAGCCCTCGCAAGGATTGTGATGGTCCTTCAGGGACCGGTGTGGCAAACTCTTCTAACCAGGCTGAAAACGGTAGTCGTTGGTACTAATCGTTCAGCTGTCAGCGGAACCATTTCAAAGGTGTGCCAGTCGTGGTCCTTTGTTTCAGTGGTCGATGAGCGAAAACATGGACAAGAGGCAAGAGGTCTCGTTCGTACAAGCACAAGTGATTGATGAGGTTTATGGCGGTCATCCCACAGCAAGCCTCAAGTTGGCAATGTCCTCGTTACTTCCCTGTCTTGAAGGAAGCAAGACATAGTTTCCGTGTTCGCTATTTCAGACAGAAAACCAAGTTCAAAGTTCGTTTCATCCTCGACTATTTGTTTGTATCCGTTCCACATTTCATATCGCTCTACTATTTTGTTCTACACTATCAACTTTCGCTTCCATGAAGAGTGGGAAGTCCCGAATTGCGATTGCAAGAAAGGTCAGGCACAATAATCCTGCGCGTAGCGATTCAGCACATATGCAGCCAAGGGAATGTTGGCAGGCTTGTGGAAGGCTTCACAAACCAAGCTGAGCGAAACTTACGTCTACCTATCTTGAACGACTCGTTCTGACATTGATGATTGCTCAAACAGGAGGCTTGGCATGTATGGCGTTATCAAACAAGAAGCAATTACCAAGTGTATCTTGCGCAGGCATTTGATGAAACGCAGCGCTTTGTTGTGGGGAATCTCACGAACTCGTCGTAGCGAAAATTTTCGTCACTACGCCGGATTCGAGTTATTACCGATCATCAGAATGCGCGGCTTCCGCTTGTTAATCACCTGGGCATGCGGCGTTGACCCCAACAGTCAAGAACAGGAATAGCATCAACACAAAGTAAAATCAGTACACATATCACCATCACGACCTCGATAGCTAATCTTGAACTGCGATTCGAATCCCCCCCTGGACATCTATTGGTATGTATAACACACTACCATACATTCTCACTATAATTGTACAACAAAGTACTTACTAGTATCTGTCAGAAAACTTTTGAAGGTGATATATCAGAAATCATTAGACCTGATGGGTAGCGGGCCAACCCGTAGGGACAAGCAAACGACCCTCGGGTCCATGGACAATCTCAACAAATGCGAAAAGGCACGACTCTGAGGATCTGAAATGTGCACGAAGGAGGTCGCGACGGCATCTCACAACTCCGCATATGGAGCACTGCACCTTGACACCAAGGTGAGTAAGGATATGCCTTGCTAACCCTCCCCTCTTGAGTGTCTTGGAAAAACCAGCCCATGGACAATATGTGCTGGCGCTGTCCGGGCCAGTGATGCCGTGTCCTCGCAGGTGAGTGGACACTGCGCTGGTCGTTCCCTCCACGAACTTTCCGCAGGGCACTCCCTCTAGTTTACACTCATATACAACGAGTGGTTGACCACTTTGTTCCACTCGAAAGGTGGCCTCTGGATCCACGTTCAAGGTATCGAAAGGCATGGATACGATAGTGGATCGCTGCAAGATGAAGCTGATGGATGAAGTTGTTAGGAGGATATGTTGTGCTACGGGTCAGCAATAGTCCAGTTCTTAGATGGATGCCCGACGCACCAAAGGAGTTGAGAATGTGGTCAAGGAAACTTTGGAATGCAAGAGTCGCAATTTTTGTAGTACTTGCCCGTCCGACTGCAGGTATTTAAACACCAGGAAGCCATTGGCATTCTACCCAGTGCCATCGCCATTCATTGTGCAATTGGATGCTGTACTTTCCTTTTCAAATGTCTGTAAACATGTCGCATCGGGTATTGCATGAGACATAATACAGTGCACAACAGTAGAATAGGCCTTTCCGTTGTGAACTCAATCTTGGTGCGATAAGGGAAAGTTTTACACTTTTAGCTGGTCACGGCTGCCAACAACCAGCACAATTTACGCTCACCAGAGTGGATAATATTTGAGACCCATTAGCTTAGTATAAATAAAATTAAACCCAATTAGCATACAAGTGGTCGCAATCATGAATCTGCAATAATTTTTTGGGGGGGTGATTATGTAAGCAGTCCCAATCTCGGTCACCGAATTTTTTTCTACTGGCATGCCAGGCAGTCAATTTCCAGTCAAAACATGCCCCCGGCGGAAAAAACAAGAGGGCTTGGCAGTCCAAGGTTTTACAAGCTCCTCGCAGCAAATTCTTTAGTAAAAATTATATTGATAGTGTCAACTTGAGGGACCTGGATGATGCTTGACACAGAAAATTCACACTCAGATTCGATTTCACCACAAAACTTGGTAGTATATGGATGCCTATAGGTGAGAATTTCAACTTCACGTCTGATCTAAGGGTCTTAATGCTAAGCGCTAAGCAAGCAGAATATGCTGTGAAACAATACCACTAGCACATTGCAAATTTGGTGTAGGAATCATGATATATATGGCTATAATGAACAATCCTGAATAAATACATGTATTTCATACACTTGTGACGGTCCAGTGAAAGCTACACACATGTTTTTTCTTCCTGCAAGCAATAATAGGGACGAGGAGCGGCTATCAAATAAGTGGCAGTGCCGGTGGGGTGGTCCCAATTTGAATCTGTCATTTTTTTCAAATCAAAGAATCATAAAAAAGTAACCAGATAGGTTTGTAGCTAGCAGTCATGCCTCCCCTCTCGAGTGTCTTGGAGCAACGCCCACGGACAACTTGACCTAGTGCTGTCCGGGTCAATGATGTCATGTCCTTGCAGGTGTGCAGGCATTGCGCTGGTCGTTCCCCCCACATACATCTCACAGGTTTGATATAGCTGTATGTACATATTATAGTGTCCAAAGCCACGCGTCCTGAAATATCTATTGTGTCGAAACCGAGTCGCACCCTGCCACACCCATGTGATTGACAATGTTAGTGTTTTGCCAGTTAATATTAATATTGTGCCTATGCATCACATAAACTAGTTCACGTTAGCCATCCGGTCTGTCGGGATGCCAGCCTGGATTCCATAGGAATTCTCATGGGACCTGCTCGTGCCCATGACACAGAAGAACGAGGATAACATTTTGGAATTGCAATCTCCAGATCTGAGATCTGATGGATCTGATCTCCACAGGTACCACGACAAAGAAGTTCGTAGGCACAGATCCTGGTTTTGTGAGTCGAAGGGATCGCAGAATGTACGGAGAAAGGAGAACTCATAATTGTCATATGAAGCAGCCGGTTTACGTCGAACTGAGATAAATACGAAGTTCTTGCAATCGAGCATCAATGGACCTGGGACCAAGGAAAGTATGCCGGGTGGAACGCACAGGTACTTGTAATATGTATTCAAACCAATAGCGTCGGAGGCGGCATATGCCGGGACCCATTATGTAATTGCCACTCTATTTACGTAGCGAGGCACGAGCGGAGGAATTCAATAGAGTTAAGTCGTTGTGCGAACAACAAACGTGGCGTTCTCACCTCTTCTCTTTCTGCTGCGTCGACCATTCACACCGTGCATTTCGTCGACTTAGCTTTTCTTTTCCCCACCCTCCTCTCCCTGAGCCATCGCGCCACAGCGCGATTCGGCGCCTCGTTAATCACTCACAGCAACTAAAGAAACCCCCTTGGGGCCCTGAAGAGGCAAACTTAGCCAAGACACAGCGAGGCGGCCCACCCGCCCTCGCGGCTCACCTTTTTCTCATAGGCTAAAGCCCCTTTGAGGCCGGTAGGCGCTACGCGCCTTCGCCCGAAAACCTTCCCGTCTTTCTTCCCTTAATTACGACCTTGTACAAACGTAGCACATTCATTCAGTTTGGACCAAGTCGTCATTGCCTTCCTCTCGAACGTCACGCCAGTGTGAACCTCAAAGACTTGAAGAAAAGTAATTGCCACAGATAGTGGCTCATGCTTGTTTCCCAAATCACTGCTCTCACGGTCGGGTCCCTTTTTTGCTGGCTATATCCTCGAGACTTAGCGAGGACTCGGACAATTAGATTCTACAGAACACTCTCCCCACTAAAGTGGGTGTCGGGGAGCGGAATGAGGCTTTGTAGGTCGGGAGTAAGTTAGTTAGCTTTGGGCGTTAAGGAATGAATATATGATTTTAAGTTCTACTAGTATCCCGAAGAGGGGCTAAAAGGACATCCGAACTCGAGATTTGTTGTTGTTGTGAAGTAAATTGACCTCATAAGGAGACAATCTTCGCAGTCTTTTATTATTTTCCGCTTCAAACGAGGAGACGGACCGTAATAGACCGTAATACAGCTCATGATCAAGGGAAGCATGGAAATTTTAGCTGTGTTCTTCTCTGTGCAACGGGGGGAATTGTATTGTTCAAGTTGAGATCAAAATCAGTCGAGATCGGTTTCCCCGATGAAAAAGTCTCGTGGCCTTTTCTGCTGCGGACACCTTGCACAAACATTATATTCCGAATACCGCGTGACGTCATCAGCGCTTCAAGCTTCAAGCTTCAGCCCTAGTGAGAAACGGTTCTAGCCGCATCGGCGTGGCGAGAGGTGGTAGCAGCGCAGTTGTCGCGTCTAGATGGATAACGTGGATTGAACTGTCAAAGGATGTGTACCGACACTATTTATTGCCTTCGACAATTAACATACTGGCAATGTTATACACAGCGGAGCAGTTGAAATGAGGCACAGATCCTGGTATCAGAGGTCCAAGACGGTAGATCTTTGTGAGTCGAAGGGGTCGCAGAATGTACTGAGAAAGGAGAACTCACAAGTGTCATATGAAGCAGCCGGTTTACGTCGAACTGGAATAAATACACATTCTTGTAATCGGGCATCAATGAACTGAGGAAAGTATGACGGATAGAACGCACTGAGAATGAGCAGGAGATATTGGAATAGTGCACGTGACTGTCGACACCTTGAACTGCAAAGCCGAGCGGAGTTTAGACCTGTGTGCGACTAGTGCTTACTTGAAACGGCGTGTTCAGACATGCCCATTGCCCACTGATACTGGTATCCTCAAAGATTACGGCAATGCAGTCACGTATCTGCTACTCGTGGCGTATCAGATGTTTCACAAGTCTCTCCCCTAATTTGAAGGTACTGGAGGGGGTGGCATTTCTCGTTCATTGAACTTAGGAGGGTGTGATTGCTGTAAAATCATAACTTCTCCCCTCCAGGTTTGTGGCTTAGAACGCGCAAATTGATTCCTTGACAGATACTGCAGACAATGAAGCGAAGGGACTTTCAGGCTTAGGAATTCTCGCTAGAAGAGTCACTAACTCGTATCAGACGTTGAGCCGAAATTTGCTCCAGGTCGACTTCAATACTTGACATGGCAAGTAAGGCTGGTCTTACTAGTGAGTGATTAAAACTCTAAGTTACCGCATTGTTGCATACGAATACAGTGCCCAGTCCGAATGGATAAGCGCATTGACGAATACCGCCTAGCATCCTTGTTTCAGGAAACTCTATTCCATGCAAAGATGTCGTTAGCCTCTGAGTTACCATTTGCAAGTATCAAAGACCCCCTTTATAAGCGAACTAACGTATCTTGGGCTCGACTATAATCCCTCCCCATGCTCTTCACCCATATTCTCGCTTTAGGAATACTGTGTGTTATTGCCCTGGTTGTCGCTTCGGGTCTAACTCGCAGACGCGTCTATCCTTTACCTCTGCCACCAGGTCCTCGTCCGTTACCAATTTTGGGTAACGCGCTGCAATTGGACACTAAACGTCCTTGGCTCACATATACTGCGTGGGGAAAGACATATGGTCGGTAGCAGACCAATGGCCTCTTTACCAAGCTCTTAGGTTCAATTTCATGCCTCATCATAGGAAAAATCATTCACTCCCGTATGCTTGGGATCGACTTGATCATCATAAACTCCGAAACCATCGCGCGTGAGTTGCTGGACAAGCGTTCTGCGAATTACTCTACTCGCCCTGTTATTCCCACCATCGAATTGTATGCATTGCTGGTTTTCATTCTTTTTATTCTTTTTTGGCTGACGATGCAGAGCTGGACTGGCCTTCAATACTGCATTCCTTCCGTACGGAGACACTTTACGACAACATCGCAAGATCTTCCATCAAGTCCTCAGGGCCGAAGTCTCGGACTCATACCACGAGATGTACTCTCGCTACGCAAATGAACTAGCCATCAATCTCTTAGGTGCTGCTAGTGACCTACTACAGCAACACACTCGAACGTTCGTATCTAATTCAGTGGTGTCGTTGTGACATATGGTCCAGTCGATAATCAATCCTTGTGACAGATATACGGCGTCCCTAATCATGGCCGTGACATACGGACACCTTGCTCGTGGACGTGATGACCCGTTTCTTACCCGTGCGCACGAACTCACTGAGATTATCAAAAATATTGTTTCTCCCGAGAAGACTGCCATGTTCACAGCCTTTCCTTTCCGTGAGTGCCTCTGTTGACGACATGATTTTGAGCATTCAGCATGAGGTTGCAGTCGAAAAGCTGCCATTTTGGTGCTTCGGTGGAGCATTTGCACGGATGGGACGGTGTAGAGAGTTATGTCAACAGCTTTTGAATGAGCCCTTTGACGAAGTGAAGGCACAGATGGTATGTATACGCAAAGTTGTGGATGGAATTTTCGCCTGAACTGTTTGCGTGAAGGCAAATGGTACTACTTCACACTCATTAGTCACTGACTTTCTCAGTCAAGCTCACGACGACGCTGACGAAGAAACGATGAAGGCTGTTGCGTTGATGGCATACATAGGTAAGAGTTTTTTTACCAGGACAGAATTCATCCATTGACGCGAATACGGCATCTTAGCTGGCATGGAGACCGTGAGTCGCTACTTAAGGTCCTTATTCCTACTTTGATGTCCTGCAGACTGCATCTGCATTACAGAAATTCCTGCTGGCTATGGTGCTCTACCCTGACGTCCAAGCCCGTGCTCGTGCAGAAATTGATCAAGTTGTGAGGCATGATAAAATGCCGTGTCTTGATGATAGGGTGTCACTGCCCTACCTTGACGCCATTCTCCGCGAGGTCATGAGATGGTATCCTATCAGCCCCTTAGGTTGGCGAGCAGTAATATAACTTTGTGTTGTATGACTGACCCCTTGCACAGGAGCTCCACACGCGACATTAAATGATGACGTTTACGGCGGGTACTTTATACCTAAAGGTTCGAAGTCGTATGAGTCGAGGTTACCATTGACTCATCTGTAGTTCGATCAGGTGCGGTAGTAATGGTTAATCAGTGGTATGTCACGATGGAGTCCATGTAACGGCGGCTTGAGCTGAGCATAGCTCAGGGCACTGTCTTGGGACGAAGACATGTTTCCCGATCCATCACGCTTCGATCCTAGTCACCATCTGACGGTCGACGGGAAGCTGAAGGATCCTTTCGTCAACCATTTTGCCTTTGGTCATGGGAGGTGAATATTCTCCACTTGCTATCATTTTTATTTATTCACTGACCCTTGCAGGCGTATTTGTCCTGGTAGGCTGATTCATAGTTCATCTGGCAGTGTTGAGAAGGACAAATGCCTTTGACAGGTCGTTGGTTTGCAGATAATAGTTTGTGGACTGCAGCATCTGCCATACTCGCCGTCTTGCGCATCGATCATGCCAAAGACTCGAACGGAGACAGGATTGAGGTGAAGCCGAAGTTCTGCACCGGCGTGGTGGTGTAAGTGACCTAGCATGTATTCAAGAACGTCTGGCTGACTCTGCCTAAGTCGCCCTGAACCATTTCACTGCTCGTTTGAAAGCGTGAACACAGCGAGAGAAGGACATCTTCGAGCGATGATGAATTCGAAGTAGGAGTCGTTTGTACTTTTGGTGGTCTGTCATATAATAGCACATGGTTGTAACAACGACACAGTCTACTGGATGGCAACGTTTTGCGGCCTCTGTCTTTGTCTAGATCTGATGAACAAGAGAATTGCCATTGACTCTTCAGAAATTCCAAAATCTCCTGACCCTCTGTACAATATAAAAGTCCAGATCCTGATTCAGTCGCGTTTCTACCATACTAGATTGTTTAGGGCTTGATCGCTGGTGAGTTCTTCTTTGTTCTGCCATGGCAAAATCCGAGTTTTGCTTCAGTTTTTTTGCTCGCAGCACTACTGCTTGGTTAACACGGTGGGTCACCGTTGTCACGTAAGAACCGTTAAGGAGTCTGGTCCGACATCGTGCACTCGTACATGTAAATTGACGGTCCAATGGATCCGATATTTGCAGTCCTGGGAGATGGGGAAAAGATGTGTTCATGAAGTATTTGCTAATTACTTTAGCAGAAGTGTACCATGCATATGCAGTAATCTGCAAAATGAGCAGGAGATAAATACCTGCCGACATTTGGACGCCGATTGAGCGGAGTTGGTGCGCGAAGAAGCCCGGAGCCAAGTCTACGTACGACCAGCGAGTTCATACATACCTAGTACTGTAACTAGATACTAATCCGACTAAATTATGATCGTATTCAGACGCAAATCAGACGTGTGGTTAGGTTCTCCGCAAACCTCTATGTTTCCTATGTCGGAAAATGATCCGATTTGAGGATCTCTCCAGATTCTAACACCTCGGAATTTATATTAATTGCTACGTCGGATTACATACTATTTACAACGTCTTTTCCTACCCTTTTCAGGTCTGATCAGTTTCTCACTTCCGCAGTGCACTAGTGGTATCTTTATGATTACGGTAATGCATGCTACTTGTGGCGTATCGGATGTTTCACACAAGTCTCAGTGCCCTAATTTGAAGGTACTCGAGGTGGTGACATTTCTCGTTCATCGAACTTACTAGGGTCTGATCATTGCTGTGAAATCATAGCTTCTGCCGCATCAAGGTTTGTGGCTTAGAACGAGTAGATTGATTCTCTGATAAATGATACTGCAGACAATGCAGCGAAAGGGCTTAACTCGTATCAGATATTGAACCGAAATTTGCTCCAGGTCGGCTGCAGTACTTGACATGGCAAGTAGTCACAACCGGTCTCACAGGTGAGTGATTAAAACTCTAAGTTGCCACATTTTTGGATCCGAATACAGCAGTTCGAATGGATAAGCGCATTGACGAATACCGCCTAGCATCCTGGTTTCAGAAAATCTCCATTCCACGCAAGATGTCGTTAACCTCTGAGTTACCATTTCGGGCGTCAAAGACCCCCTTTATGAGGCGAACCACCATGTCTTAGGCTCGACTGTAATCCCTTCCCATGCTGTTCACTCATATTCTTGCGTTAGGGATACTGTGTATTATTGCCCTGGTTGTCGCCTTGGGTCTGACTCGCAGACGTGTCTACCCTTTACCTCTTCCGCCTGGCCCTCGTCCGTTACCAATTTTGGGTAACGCGCTGCAATTGGACCCTAAACGTCCTTGGCTCACATATACTGCGTGGGGGAAGACATATGGTTGGTAGCAGATCAATGGCCTCTTTGTCGAGCTCTTAGATTCAATTTCATACCTCATCATAGGAAATATCATTCACTCCCGTATGCTTGGGGTCGACTTGATCATCATAAACTCCGAAACCATTGCGCGGGACTTACTGGACAAGCGTTCTGCGAACTATTCTACTCGCCCCGTCCTTCGCACCGCTGAATTGTATGCATTACCTGTTTTCATTCATTTTGTTCTTCATCAACTGATGATGCAGAGCTGGACTGGGTTTCAATACTGCATCCCTTCCGTATGGAGAGACTTTACGACAACATCGCAAGATCTTCCATCAAGTCCTCAGGGCTGAAGTCTCGGTCTCATACCACGAGATGTACTCTCGCCATGCAAATGAACTAGTCATCAAGCTCTTAGGTGCCCCTAGTGACCTATTACTACAGCAACACATTCGAGGGTTCGTACCTCATTCAGTGGTGTCGTTGTGGTGTATACTCCAGTTGACAATAAATCCTTGTAACAGATACACAGCATCCCTAATCGTGGCCGTGACATACGGACACCTTGCTGATGGGCACGAAGACTCATTTCTTACCCGCGCGCACGAACTCCTTAGTATTACCAAACATATTGTTCCTCCTGAGAGGGCTGCCTTGTTCACAGCCTTTCCTTTCCGTGAGTGCCTCCTGTCAACGACATAGTTTTGAACATTCAGCACGAGCTTGCAGTCGAAAAGTTGCCGTCTTGGTGCTTCGGTGGAGCATTTGCACTGATGGGACGCTGTAGAGAGTTGTGTCAACAGCTTTTGAACGAGCCCTTTGATGAAGTGAAGGCACAGGTGGTATGTTTACGCAAAGTTGTGGATGGAAATTTCGCCTGATCTGTTTGTGTCAAGGCAAATGGTACTGCTTCACACTCATTAGTCGCTGACTTTCTCAGTCAAGCTCACGACGACGCTGACGAAGAAACGATGAAGGCTGTTGCGTTGATGGCATACATTGGTAAGAGTTTTTTTACCAGGACAGATTTCATCCATTGACGAGAATATGGCATCTTAGGTGGCATAGACACCGTGAGTCGCTATTTAAGCAGTCCTGATTCTTACTTTGACGTCCCGCAGACTGTATCCGTATTGCATACATTTGTGCTGGCTATGGTGCTCTATCCTGACATCCAAGCCCGTGCTCGTGCAGAAATTGATCAAGTTGTGAGGCATGATAAAATGCCGTGCCTTGATGATAGGGCGTCACTACCCTACCTTGATGCCATTCTCCGCGAGGTCCTGAGATGGTATCCTCTCGCCCCCCTAGGTTGGTCGGCAGCGATATAGCTTCATGTTTACATGGCTGACCCCTTCCACAGGATTTCCACATGCGACATCAAATGATGATGTTTATGACGGGTACTTTATACCCAAAGGTTCGAATTCGTATGAGTCGAGGTTGCCGTTGACTCATCTGTAGTTCGATCAGGTACGATAGTAATGGTTAATCAGTGGTATGTCACAGTGGAGTCCATGTAATGGTGGCTTGAGTTAAGCATGGCTCAGGGCACTGTCTCGGGATGAAGACGTATTTCCCGATGCATCACGTTTCGATCCTAGTCGCCACCTAACGGTTGACGGGAAGCTGAAGGATCTTTTCGTCAATCATTTTGCATTTGGTCGTGGCAGGTGAATATTCCACACTTGCTATCATTTTCAATTATTCATTGACCCATGCAGGCGTATTTGTCCTGGTAGGTTGATTCATGGTTTATCTGGCAGTGTCGAAAATAATAAATACCCTTGGCAGGTCGTTGGTTTGCAGAGAACAGTCTGTGGACTGCAGCTTCTGCCATAATCGCCGTCTTGCGCATCGAGCATGCCAAAGACTCAAATGGGGACAGGATTGAGGTGAAACCGGAGTTCCGCACTGGAATAGTGGTGTAAGTGACCTAGTATTTATTGAAAAACTTGCAGCTGACTCTGCCGAAGTCACCCTGAACTATTTCACTGCTCGTTTGAAAGCGTGAACACAGCGAGAGAAGGCCATCTTCGAGCGATGATGAATTCGAAGTAGGACACGTTTGTACTTGTGGTGTAATAGCACATGGTTGTAACAACGGCACAGTGCACTAGATGGCAAGCCTCTGTCTCTGTCTCGATTTGGTGAACAAGAGAATTGCCATCGACTCTTCAGAAACTAGATCCGTTTTCAAAATCTCCTGACCCTTTGTACAAGATAAAAGTCTAGATCCCGATTCAGTCACGTTTCTACCATACTAGATTGTTTGGGGCTAGTATCGTGTCACTACTAGATCCAGTTCTCATGCCTGATCTGATTTTTGGTGTCATGAGGACTTCTTAATAGATTAGTAATAGCTCAATTTCTTGAACGGAAAAGCACTAGCTGTACTTTATCTCATTGTACGCAGGTCGTAGCATAATTATATCATGAGTCCATGTACTGACATTAGTTGATCGCTGGTGAATTCTTCTTTGTGCTGCCATGGCAAAATCCGAGTTTTGCTTCAGTTTTTTTGCTCGCAGCACTACTGCGTGGTGTTAAGGAGTCTAGTTCGAGATCGTGCATTCGTACTTGTAAATTGACGGTCCAATGGGTCCGAGATTTGCAGTCTTGAGAGATGGCGAAAAGATGTGTTCATGAAGTATTTGCTAATTACTTTGGCAGAAGTGTATTATGCATATGCAGTAAGTAATCTGCAAAATGAGCAGGGGATATTGAATACCTGCCGACATTTGGACGCCGATTGAGCGGAGTTGGTGCGCGACGAAGCCCGGAGCCACGTGTACGTACGACCACTCGATAACGGCGACTCGTTCATACATACCTGGTATCTTTATGATTACGGTAATGCATCCATGCTACTTGTGGCGTATCGGATGTTTCACAAGTCTGTGCCCTAATTTGAAGGTACTCGAGGTGGTGACATTTCTCATTCATCGAACTTACCAGGGTCTGATCATTGCTATGAAATCATAGCTTCTGCCGCATCAAGGTTTTCTGGCTTAGAACGAGCAGATTGATCCCTTGATAAATGATTCTGCAGACAATGCAGACGGTTGAAAGGGCTCTGCTTAGGAGTTGTCTCCCTACTAGAAGAGTCGCTAACTCGTATCAGATGTTGAGCCGAAATTTGCTCCAGCCTACCTGCAGTACTTGACATAGCAAGGCTGGTCTCACAAGTGAGTGATTGAAACTCTAAGTTACCACATTTTTCGATTGAAATACAGTCCTCACAGGTGCCCAGTTCGAATGGATAAGGGCCTTGACCGCACTCGACAAATACCGCCTAGCATCCTTGTCTCAGAAAATCTCCATTCCATGCAAGATGTCGTTAACCTTTGAGTTACCATTTTCAATATCAAAGACCCCCTTTATAAGACGAACCAACGTATCTTGGGTTCGACTATAATCCCTCTTCATGCTCTTCACGGATATTCTCGCTTTAGGGATACTGTGTGTTATTACCCTGGTTGTCGCTTTGGGTCGGACTCGCAGACGT